GTGATGATTCTCCAGGGAGCCTACACATACCGGTATATGTAGGGCTCCCTGGTACTGTATTGTGTAGCCCTGAGGTTGACTCACTTATAATAATAAAGTATAATTATAAGTGAGCCTTATTATTATAAGTTTTCTACCCTTCCTCTCTCCGTATTTCTGCCCTCCCCCCCCCCCTCTCTCTCTCTCACAACAACAACTCTCTTATTGGCCACTGGCTATCGTGAGAATAAATATTGAAAACAACAACAACAACAACAACAAACAAACAACAACAACAGCAACAGCAGCAGCAGCAGCAGCAACAACAGCAACAGCAACAGCAACAGCAACAACAACAACAACAACAATAAACAACAACAACAACAACAACAACAACAACAACAACAACAACAACAACAACAACAACAACAACAACAACAACAACAACAACAACAACAACTTACTTGATGGGCATGGGCAGGTCCTTTGGAGCTGGACACAAGCTTGTCGATACAAAAATACCGTACGAGGTGAATTGCTATTGATTGATTGATTGATTTTATTTGGATTCGCGAGACCAAACGAGCAGGAGTGCTCAATAACAGGGTAGCGAATGGTTGAGTTGTGCTATGTGACAATGTAGTGTGTGCGTGGGGTGGTGGTCGTGGGAGGGGGAGGGGGGGGGGGGGGGGGGTAAGCTGCGGAGGCCCACTACAATGTAAGGGGATGGGAGGAGAGAAGGCCAGCGGGGAGTCAAATTCAGAAGAGGGAGGAGAGAATAGCTGAAGTACACGGTTACTGTGCGAATTCAAATAAACCAAACAAACTGCAAAACAAGTACACATCTCACGAGAATAAAGAGGATTGGAGCACAGAATTGAACTGCTGAAGTACACAGCTGACGAGAATAAAGACAGGAGCACAAAAATGAACGGGAGGCAGTCTACGAAGTGGTGGTACCATCGGTGCATGCACCACGGTACATTATCATATTATCGGCTTTGCAAAGTTCGTGGGTACTGAATATCATGGTATGACCAACTGTGTCGCAGTCTACAACGTGTAGGGAATGGCAGCTCGGCGGAATGCTGGGATGTTGCCCATGGCTCGCACCGTGTCAGGTATATGGTTCCATAACAGGCAACCGCGAGATGCTGGTCGGCATTGGCCTGCTCGGCTTCTGGCTATTGGTTGTTGCAGGCCCAGACTGCGCTGCGCGAGTTGCTCCGCAGTTGCGAACAAACAGTGCCTGCAGAGCAGGACTGGCACGGTTATGAACGCACCGCCATACCAGCACGAGCAGTTTCTGGCGATATACCTCGTCCACGCGATAAACAGAGAGCCTCTCCAAGAGGTCACTGGCCCTGGTAAATCGTGGTCGTCCGAACACCGCCCTTGCTGCGCGGTTTTGGGCCACCTGCAAGCGGTTTAGCTGGTTGTGGGTCAAGCCAGAGCCATATGCTGACGAACCATATATCAAATCCGGCATGATGACAGATAGGAAGTACTTGCTTCGACTAGCTAGAGTGAGGCACAGCCACAGGCTACCGATCTTCCTAGCAGTGCGTGAGATGCACCGGTCAACTTGCGGTTGCCAGGCCATTCGTTGATCGATCAAGACGCCGAGGTATTTCGCGCTGGTGGTGTGCGGAAGGACATCATTTCGACAGCGTACAACCACATCCGGCTGCTGCCCACTGCTGCTGGTAAAAACCAATACATTGCTCTTCTTTGCATTTAATACAAGACCACGAGCGTCCAGCCAACTTGAGAGGGAGGTAACCGCCAAGCTGAGCGCATCGGACACCTCTTGCGCTGTCCGTCTTGCACATGTCAGGGCGATGTCATCCGCAAACCGCAGTGATGATGCCGGCGCAGATTCAGAGGGGACATCTCTGGTGTATATGGAGAACAGCATGGGTCCTAGTACAGAGCCCTGCGGCACCCCACAAGTGCACGGTACAGTTCTGCCCAGTCGGGAGCCCATACGAACGCGTTGATGGCGCCCAGACAGATAGTCCCGAAACCATTTCAGGGCTGTGCCGGAGATACCGATGCTGAACAAGTCCTGGATGAGGGTGGCATGCTTCACCTTGTCGAAGGCTTTACTCATATCTAACAGGCATGTTGCTACAACAGAACCATTGTCTCGGGCTTGGAGGACGGTGTCTGAGAGCAGTGCCAGCGCATCTTCGGTCGAGTGTCCAGGGCGGAATGCAAACTGGGTATTAGGGAGAGCTGGGTCGACGAAGTCAACCAGGGCTTTCTGCACCAGCTTTTCGAGTAGCTTAGAGATCACGGGTAACAGCGACACAGGGCGGTAGTTTGTGGGCACGGATGGGTCTCCGGCCTTGAACAGGGGTGTGACGTGGGCTAGCTTGAAACCTCTCGGCACTTCCCCGCTGCCTGGACAGGGACGCATTAAAGGGGAAGTATACCCTAAAATCAAATTTTCACCAGTTGTAGTCTTCGGGGTGCTGAGTCGAATGGTCTTGGTCCGAGGAAGCTGAGACGCTCCCTTCCTACTTGAATCCCAATCGAACTCGCGCACTTCCACCGAAACTGGGTGACTGCGCCCTACTAGATGGGGATTTGTATGCAAAATGTCACTAAAAGCGCCATTTCGTTCTTATAAAAGCACGGATGACCGCGATTGGCCCATATGTTGTAGTCTTTTGGACGCTGAGTCGACTGGTTTTGGTCCGAAAAGGCTGCGATGCAGCGTTCCTCCTTTATTCCCAATCGAACATGGTTGAAGAAGCGGTCACGTGCTCCTGCGTACACCAGTCACCTGGTCACCGTGCCTGCAGGGTACAACTTACTAGCGTGTTTGACCTTTTTTGGGTGCAGTCCTGTCACTCGAGTTGAACTCGAGTTGAACCTTGGTGTGAAAGTTGTCGCCTGCTGGCGCGGTGACCAGGTGATTTGGGCACCCAGGAGCACGTGACCGCTTGTTCAACCATGTTCGATTGGGAATAAAGGAGGAACGCTGCATCGCAGCCTTTTCGGACCAAAACCAGTCGACTCAGCGTCCAAAAGACTACAACATATGGGTCAATCGCGGTCATCCGTGCTTTTATAAGAACGAAATGGCGCTTTTAGTGACATTTTGCATACAAATCCCCATCTAGTAGGGCGCAGTCACCCAGTTTCGGTGGAAGTGCGCGAGTTCGATTGGGATTCAAGTAGGAAGGGAGCGTCGCAGCTTCCTCGGACCAAGACCATTCGACTCAGCACCCAGAAGACTACAACTGGTGAAAATTTGATTTTAGGGTATACTTCCCCTTTAAACAGTGTGACCAGTGAAGGGGCAAGGATATCAGCGCTATGTTTCAGTACAAAACCGGGTATGTCGTCACTTCCTGTGGCCTTGGTCGTGCTATTTCTGGACATTGTACATTTCTGGACATTTCGAGTAAAATAATTTTTCGTCGCATGTAGAGTCAAGTCAGTCGAGTTGATGAAGTTTTTTTCTTGCCGTAGTTGACAGCTGGGCTGTTGTAGTTTCTCCTCGTGTCGGTGCTTTGTTGATAGCCTTTTCTTGTGCGGCATTTCAATGGGTTTTGTTGTACTATGTCGCCTATGATGAGAATTTTGAATTTTGAGTAAAATAAGAAGTAATGGACGAATTGTTGGCTTCCCCATGTGCACTCCACTTCAGACGCTGTATAGTCATGGACTTGTTGGCTAGAAGTGTGAAGAGGCCAACTGCAGTCCACCAATAGAAAATAATGGTGCAGTATTATAGGATGCCTATTGACCGTCGGCTATTTTACTTTCATGTCCAGAATTCCATACACTGAAATTTAGGCAAAAAATTGGCCTGTCAAAAACGTCCTTTTTTTTTTTTTTTTACTAAGTACACAACCTACTCGTCAGAAGGGGAGAAGACAACAGTGTGTACAATGACAAAACAGCAGGGAGAGTAGGGGCTGCAAAGCAAGCCTGTGCTGGTGAGGCAAGCCCACAACACCGACCTATGGTCTCGGCGTTAACGTGAGCTTGCGCACCATTTCCTGCTATCAAGTCTCTGGGATCACAGCATGAGCAATTGTCACATAATTATTTCAGTTTGGAAAGATGAAGGATTAAGCCATACACTAAATACAAAGATATAAGAAAAATGCTGTCCCTGCGGGAATTTGCGGAAAAAATCCTCGAAAACTTGCGCAAGAAATTGCGGCAGAAAACAACAAAAAATGCGGCGAAAAGTGCGGAACTTGCCAGGAACTCCCAGAATTATTGGCAGAAAATTGCGGATTTGGGCCAAATCACGAAATTTGTTGTATCCTTAGAATCGCTATTTGCGTACTGTGGAAATAACTACAAGCAGGATCATGGAAAGCACTGTATACTGCGTGAAAAGTGCAGAAAAATGTTAAGGTGGCAGGCTACCTTCGGCGCCTGCCGATAACATACATGCATTCAAATGTCTGTAACATTGGCATCCCTCATTATTTTTGCACCAAATTTTCTACACATGCTGGTCAGATAATAAAGAACACTTGAACAACCACCACACGTGCATTTTGACTTGGAGAACAGGATGCTGGACACACCAAACAAGAATATCGCAAAAATGCGGTCAACAAATTTTTGGTACAAGTTTTCTGCAAGGATTTTAGCAATAGCCAGATACTTATGTTACATAATGAGTGTTCTTGCTCAGTACTAGATGCTCACGAAGAGATTTATGCTTCTAGATGTAAAGAATCTGGCTGACACACACATAAAGAAATCACGTAAAGAACGCGCCGTTGGTCCAATTATCTTTCTGTGCCCATACGTCAGTAGATGTGACAAAATCTTCAAAAGTAGAGACGTGAGCACCTTGCAAATTTGACGTAGATATGAATACATATATAGTTTACTGGATTTGGACATACCAAACTGGAGATATGGTGTACCAAAGGTCACACGGTACCCCCCAAAAAGGGCAACTTTTAGCACTCAAAACCCACCAGGACAGTACGTAACGCCTTCCGTCTCTTTGGCCTTGTCTGCATAACCCTTTTTGAAATCCCTTCGAATCACCATCGCCAATGTAGGATGTGTAGCGAAGGCCATTGAGAGCCTCAGATCGATTCCAAATCTTCACTACTGCTGCAGTCTCCATGGCTGGTGTTGAGACATTGGTGTTGATGTCGCAGCTGTCAGCATGTGCAGCCTTCCAGGTGGCAAACTCCGCTGCCGTGACTGTCTTCGTGTCGCGTTTGTTGTCCCAAACCTTGCAATGGTTGGTTGCAATGCTTCGATAACACCTCCACATCCACCACCTTGAGTGTGTCGTACGCAATTCATGTTTGGACACCAAACACAGAAGAGTACCCACGCCGCATCCATGTGCCGTCAGTGCTTACGCCACGTGTGACGGATGGTCAGATCCACTCGCTTGCCGCATAGCCAGTAACTCTGCAGCATGGTGCCGCATGCTATTTGTCCCAACTTCAACTGCTGCATCATGCAATGCTGAACAGTGAGACTGGAACGACCGTCCGTACATGGGCTCAGGCATATCCATGATGGCACAGAACATCCTCAGTGCTTCTCTTCCCTTGCCAATCATCCGCATGGCCATTGCTGAACGTCTGTTCACATCATAAAATCGCATTGGTGTATGTTTTTCAGCAAGGCGGCCCTCAAATACATGCCCACAATGATCGCAGGTAAGCTCAAGAATTGGGGCTGGGCCATATCGAGTCGACTCCTGGACGAGCAATGACCCAGTCTTGCAGTTGGCACAGACACATGATGAGCCAAGAAGACGTGTCAGGGATGGCAAGTGGACGATTCTGCTACCACTGTTGTGCTCGTCCGAACTGTCATCATCATCATCAGACTCGTCGCAGGACATAACCTCATCGCTTGAATCACCAGTACAAGAATCAGATGCCACGGAAGATTGATTTGCAACATCCTCAGATGCTGCGACGAATACGTCCAAATCACCATCTTCAGTTGTGGGCTCTTCACGAGCCAAGACAGTCCTTTTCCGCGGGGGAAGGCACTTCTTTGGCCTGCTGAGAACCCTGCTCTTGCGTTTGTTACCCATGGCAGATGATCCACCACGGCTTACGTCTCCAGCAATGTCAAAACAAAACTGACAAGGCTTGATGAAACAAAGCTACAACAATTATTTGCTTTGCATGCTGACACTTCGCTGACAAAATTTATTTTGATGTCAGCTGACTGTCTACCACGCGTACGTCATGAAGGGCAGCCATTTTGGAAATGATTGCCACGGCAACGGATCACAGAGGAGGCCCGCTAGCTCGCGTCAAAAAATTAGAGCGCTACGATCGAAATTGATGAAAATAGCGCAAAAATGACTTTGGTGAAAATTTTAATTGTTTTTGCAATTTCATGCAATTTATTTCATATTCAATTTTGTAATTGTCGCACTTACAATCCACTATAACTCCGGAGCCACTGGACCGATTGACCCAAAATTTTAAATTCTAATGCTTTGTGGCTACCCCAATCAGAAAAGTATCACAGTTAACCTCAAATCAAAAATTCGATTTTTCCCAATTCTGAAGGTAGCCTGCCACCTTAAAAGAAGTGCAGAAAACAACAAAAAACGTGGGAAATCGCGGATTTTTCAGAAAATCGCGGGTTTGAGCCAAAATCGCGAAATTTGTTGCGTCCGTGGAATCGCGATTTCCTGGAGGGACAGAAAATGTAAAACACACAGCCAGTGACTAGTGGGGTTCCATTTTATTTTCATGTCCAGCGGCTATTCACCTCGTAGAGGCTATCGAGTATCGTCAGTATACCGGTACATGTAGTACAACTAGTACAGTATCGATATCTCCAGCAGCTGGTTACCATTGGTTACGTCAGGCATGCAGCTTTCAAAAAAACAAAACTCACTGTAAAAGTCGAATCATTCACAAGTACAAGGACAAACAGAGTACTAAAATAGAGTATTATCATATTCTCAGAATCCTTCAGTCTAATCTGTGTAAGTGAATGCTTTTTTGTGAAAGACAGTTTGCCACTACATGTACAAATAACAATTGCAGTACTGTCATAGGACAGGTCAGCCCGGAGTGAAGGACGCTCTTTTTTTCCACGCAGCTCGCAGGAGGTTTCTACGTGTGCGATTACGAATTATTTTACTTTGTGTGATAGTTTCACCAGTACTGTAGTTAGTTGAGAAAGCTCTGAGAGTAGTGATGGCCGTTTCAAAGCGCAAGCGTGTAGATGTACGTGACTTGGACTCACCCTGTATGATAGTTTACGAGTCTATCGTACGCCAGAATTGCCAGGCGATGCTGGACAGATGCAAAGCTTTGGGTGTTCAGCTGAGGCCGCACATGAAAACTCATAAGACTGTGTAAGTACGAGGAAATGATCATTGTGTAAAGATAGAACACAGTGATTCGAGCAAGCACACGTACCGTACGCATGCACATAATGATAAGCACCTTTAGCAAACCAAGCTATGAACACAACTCAATGAGTGCGCGATATAAGGAGCGATAGGAACCAACGGGGCGAGACCTGTTATGAACGAGATCAAAGCAGCTAGCTGCTCGATAAGTCGCGCACCCGATCATGAAGACGAAAATGCGTGACTTATCGCGAGTGCGTGACTTGCACTTCTGTATGCGTATACAAAGGTTTTTGCCGTCCAAATTGCAAAAGTGTGCGACTTATCGCGAGTGCGTGACCTATCGCGAGTGCGTGACTTATCGCGAGTGCGTGACTTATCGCGAGTGCGTGACTTATCGCGAGTGCGCGACTTAAAGTGCGTGACTTATCGCGAGTTCGTGACAAAGTGCGTGTAGACTGTACTTAATGGGTGCAGCAGTCTCCTGCCACACTCCCTGTTCACAGTAGGTTGCAGGGTTAACACTTGTTCCGATTTTTCAGAATTGTTCTGACTTTTACATGTCGTTCTGACAAACCGACCGAAAGTCTGCTTCGCCATCTTACTTCGAATGTTCACCAAAGTGCGCTGATCTGATGATTTGAACCCTTGAAGGCCTCAAAAAATCTTTTGGCTTTTTAATGGGGAACTCTGTCCCCTTATAACCCCACCCCCTTGCCCGGGGGTTGACCGGTTCAGCTTTCTACTCATAGCAAAGTGGCAGCCCTGAGGTTGCCTAACACAAATGAACATTGCTTGACGAGTTCAGCGATTTATAAGGGACGACTGTTTGGCGAGAATTCACGTGTTGGTAATGGGTGTAGAGGTGATGGCTTGTTGTGGCTGGTCTTGCACACAGCATTCTCCCAGTGGTGTGCCTGTCACTTGGACTGAGCTAATTAGACCTCTCGGCTGCAGCGTTCCGTGAACCTCTTTCTGGCGGTTCTCTTCATCTCGCCAGCAATAACCTCGCCACGAAGTGAACAGACTCGTAACATGACACATTATCGAAGCAGTGACATAGTTTTACTAAGTTTGGCAACTCTTCCAAAATTTGGCGTAGGCAGCACTGCGGTGGGAACTTAGCACTCTGTCATTGTCTTCCTTTTCTGCACGCTTTTTTTTGCTGCAGAGAAGGTGCTCGTCTGATGACTGGCGGCTCGTGCTCGTGTATAGCAGTGTCGACAGTTGCCGAAGCAGAGTTCTACGCCGACCATGGTTTCGATGACATCCTCTATGCGTATCCGATTGCGGGGGAGAAAAAGGTAAATCCTGGCTCTGTGCCCTGTGCCCGAACAGCGCGGATTGCGATGCTGAACGGAAGATGCTAGAAGGACCAGTTTAAAATTGTTTTGGTTTTGGTTTTTGATTTTGCTCTAGTGCAAGCTTAGTATTCTTTGGAGGTATGCTATTTGCATTAGACAATTGGGGTCATATTTTGTGCGCCGTAAACGCAGCATTCGCTCACTGTCAACACATTTATACCTGTATTGGCACACACAACAGTGGCGAAAGGCTGTGTAGCTATAACTTCAAGTTTCACGCATTTCAGCGATCATCAGACAGCAGCATTCACTATCGAATCCTCTACAAGCAGGCCTAGATATTTGATGCTAGTGTGGAAGCTAGTGCATATGTGTGAAGTGAAGACGTGGCATTGGGACAGTGGTATTGAGTTGTTTGTGAGAGTTAACGGATATAGGTGAGAATAGAGGCGATAACAGGGCAGTGTTACCGAGTCATCGAAGGCGATAGCGACAGTAGCGCAAGACCATAGCAGGCGTGAAGAGAGAGAGAGAGAGAGAGAAAGCACCATGGCGCCAAACCTGGTGCAGGTTGCGCCATGTTGAAAAACAACTCTTGTAACTGATGGTGAGAATTTGGACAGGTAATATTTTGTTCTCGTTTATACCTGTATTGGAATAGTATTTGTGTTCGAAGTCCGAAAAACACGTTGAACCGTCTCTGCTGGGATGACAGCTACGCCATAGCTCAGCTGTTAAGGCATCGCTGACCCAAAGCGAATGTCCCTGGTTCGAGTCCAGGTGGTGACACTTGAATTTTTTCACCAGACTTTTCCCGTTTTCAACTCCCTCAAACTTACGAATAGTTTTTGTGTTGTTTTGTTTTCAGATTGAGCGTGTTCTTGCCCTACATCAGCGTGTGGACAATTTCCACGTAATGGTGGATCATTGTGATCAGCTGGCTCTTCTTCTGCAAAACTCCGAGCCAGTGACTAAGAATTTGGCAAAGCCATGGTCAGTTTTCATTGACGTGGACGTTGGGTACAATCGAAGTGAGTGAGTGCGATTTCCCCCACTCTGTCTGACTTCATGCTGCTTCTGTGCAGCAGTCGTTAATGATTCACACGGCAGGCGCAATGCATGTCGCACGCTTGAAGGTGCAACATTGCCACACTCCTGTGAGTACCCAGCTGAAATCCTGAGTCTGAATCTCTTGTTTGTTTTGTTTAGGAGGGCCGGCTGGGCAAGTTTTGGGCAAGAGGGCAAGTTGCCATGCGCGTACGATTAAAAGTCACAGTGGCAGGGGAAACAGTTAAAATTATCGTTTTGAAAACGGCAAAACACAAGCTCTCAGTGTAGGCTGTGACCCAGCGCATGCTTTGCGTGTGCTTTGTATGACATGCGTGATGAGTTCTGAAAAAGGTAATGTCAACAAAAGGAATTCCGCTGTGGACCAGACAAGCTGCGGTGTTGCACAGTCTTGTATATGTACTCTGATTTCAGAAATTTCCGGTGCTCAATATTTTCGGTATGAGGGCAACAGGCTAGGTTAGGTGAACAGAAATTTTCCGTACAGACAAGCAGTTCCCTATTGGATTATGTGTGTTAGTGTTTGTTCGGTGTATTGAAATTTTAGGTGTGAAACAGACGCAAGAAAGTACCGAAAATAAAAGTACACCGAAAATTTGTGAAATTACAGTACTCTGGCTAGATACTGTAATGTACTCACACTGACACTTGTCATCCAGAGTGGTGAGCTCTTGTCTTACTCTGTCGTGTCAATATAATTATAATTATAATTATGTAGAAAAGAAAGGGACATATGGATACGAGTTAAGAGTAACTCTCCATCACTGTAACTGGATACTATTATACAGTCAGAAAGTGCAATAACTAGGCACGAAACTGACAGAGTACTGAGGCATTCGACGTCCTGACACCTAGCTTCAACACATCTCCGTAGCGCTAACCGACAGTTTCAAATTATAATTATGTGTTATTTATATGTGTGTGTGTGTGTGTGTGTGTGTGTGTGTGTGTGTGTGTGTGTGTGTGTGTGTGTGTGTGTGTGTGTGTGTGTCCCATATGGTGCAGTGGTATGTGCAGCGATTTCCAATCGATAGGTTGCGGGTTCCATTCCCGACGATTATGGTCACACACGTCTTTCTTCTCTTTCTCAGACTCTTCCTGACTTTTCTTTCATTCTCCTGGGTGGTTACCAACAGCCAGTGTATGCCGGAGTATGTGGTGTGGTGTGTGTGTAGAAAAAGAAAAAAAATGGAAAAATGAAAAATAGGGATTCGCTGGCCAGAAAAAGTCACTTCAAACAGCTGTGTGGTGGATACCAGGCTAAAAATAGTGGCGGTCAATTCATCAGCCTTGCAAGCTGTTGAACGGTGTAATCCCAGCACAAGTTGCTATGTCTAAAACATAGCTGTTCGCTATCATCGCTCCCGCGATGGGCATGTCTGAGGTCTGAGGTGTGTGTGTCCCATATGGTGCAGTGGTATGTGCAGCGATTTCCAATCGATAGGTTGCGGGTTCAATTCCCGACGATTATGGTCACACACGTCTTTCTTCTCTTTCTCAGACTCTTCCTGACTTTTCTTTCATTCTCCTGGGTGGTTACCAACAGCCAGTGTATGCCGGAGTATGTGGTGTGTGTGTAGAAAAAGAAAAAAAGAAAAAAAGAAAAAAATGGAAAAATGAAAAATAGGGATTCACTGGCCAGAAAAAGTCACTTCAAACAGCTGTGTGGTGGATACCAGGCTAAAAATAGTGGCGGTCAATTCATCAGCCTTGCAAGCTGTTGAATGGTGTAATCCAAGCACAAGTTGCTATGTCTAAAACATAGCTGTTCGCTATCATCGCTCCCGCGATGGGCATGTCTGAGGTCTGAGGTGTGTGTGTGTGTGTGTGTGTGTGTGTGTGTGCGTGTGTATGCGCGCACGCTCGTATATGTGTGTGTGCGCGTGCGTGCGTTGGCTTACGTACACAACTTGTGTCATCTTCTGCAGCTGGTGTTAATCCGTTTTATGATTATGCGTTTGGCCTTGCTGAGACGATTGACAAGCTGCGGTCAACACATTTAGCCGGCTTGTACGTCCACTGTGGTCATAGCTACCATTGCAAGTCGCCTGAAGAGATCAGAACCGTCGTGAAGGAGGTGGCACGGGACACTGCCCAATTTGCTGCGCAGTACGTATAGGATTTATGAGAAAGACGATGATGCGTATAACTATTGACTGGTGACATTGGCTGCTATGTACATGTGTAAGCGGGCTAAGTAATTGTGTGAAAACACACAGGGGTGGCAAGTGCAGATAGAACTGAGAGGCAAAGTCGCCGCCAGTCTAGTTGGTCCGGCTTTGACCAGGTGACTTGTCGGTTTTTATTTGTCAACCAGCCGTGCCCTGGTTGTGAAGGAGGCATGGCATAGTGTGACTGCACGTAGCTGTCAATGCTATGCGTATCTGCTGTACTGGCGAGACAGGTTCTGGCTGATGTGCTACACGCCTGGATTCAGAGATTTCAAACGCAGAACTCTGCAAGTGACTACAATTTAAGAGTGTGCAACTTGACGATTCCGCAGCCCACGGCGGAGTTATTTTATCCTTATGACATCAGCCTTTCGCGGCCATTTGACTTATCGTATTTCCCTGAATATAAGTCGCCTCTTTTCACACTAAAATTCAAGGGCAAAAATGGGGTTGCGACTTACAATTGAGCATGCCTTACTACTGAAATGAACACAGTACTGTCGGGCGCCGAAGAACTGGGGGTCAGGGTTCTACCCTAGCCCGTTCTTATGTTTAGCGAACACAGCAGTTTTGTTCTTATTCAATGGTACTCGTACAGTCATACTTTTGAAGTACATGTACTTCAAAAGTATGACAAGTCTACATGTGGACTATACATGCATGTATCAGCACCGGTACATGACTGTTGATAATAAATGCAAACCTGCCAGTTCACACGTTTTTGACTTACCATGAAACTACGGAAATGTATCATCCAAACCTACAGCATCGCAGCTACATGTACGGTAGTTGATGCAGAACAACGGAGCGTAGATCCATGTGTCCTGAACCTGATGAACTGACGCCGTGACAAGACAAGCACAGAAAAGCATACACACGTGATCATCCTTCTTTTCTTTCTCTTCTCTTCTGACGAATAATGACGGAATAAAAAAAGTTCTGCCATTGGTATAGCCAATAGCCAGTTGAGTCATCTTTCCAAGGTTCCTTTTGAGTTCCTCTCTCCCCTCTCCCGGGGAGACCCACGTGACCAGTTTTGGTAGTGAGCAAGTACATGTATAGTGAGTAAGTAAGTAAGTAAGTAAGTAAGTGTGTGTCTGTGTGTGTGTATATGTATGTATGTATGTATGTATGTATGTAGAGCTCACTGACTTGTCAGTTTGAGCACTCTGGCAAGGTACGTTCGGGCCTGATTGGAAATTTTTATTTTCATTGCTATCAGGTTCGGCCTCATTTCCTCTGTGCTGCGCTGATGAGTTCAAAAAGAACGAAACAGCATGCTGTCCGCAGATTGAGTATGTATGTATGTATGTATGTATGTATGTATGTAGGACTCAGTATAGAGTCCATGCACTATATGATGTCCAGCACCCTATATAGAGTCCATTGGTCCAAAATCCACTATACAGAGTCCAGGAGTCCACTCAGTTTTGATCAGCTTCATCCTGCCGCGCAATCCCCTATAAGGAGTACACTTTTTCTACAAGTCCCCTATTCACGGTCCAGGGCCAGGGGTCCAGTTTATCCAGTCACGCCGTCCTGTGTGTTGTGCCCCGAAAGAGAACACATTTTTTTTTTTAATTTCAGTTTTGCTTGCCTCGTGGCAGCGCATTCCTTTCTTCACTTCAGCCATGGCTGCCAATTCTGCTGTGCAGTTGCTGACAGTAATCTGTCTCGAGCTAACCAAGGAGGATAAGGAGACGTTCAAAATCAAATTTGGAAAGCGTCTTGTGGTTCTCTGAAGACGTTTCATCAGTGCGCGGGATGAAAGCAGAAATTGCAGAACGAGAAAAGTTCAGCACAGTTCAAATCTGACGAGTCAGGTACACTGACGCTCTCTTTCGTTCGACGCCACAAGGATCCCCTGTTTGGCTGGCCATTGCTGCCAGTAAGACGTTTGAACGGTTTCATCAGAGCGAGGGATGAAAGCAGAAAGCGGAGAAAGAGAAAAGTTCAGCACAGTTGCAATCTGACGAGTCAGATACACTGACACTCTCTTTCGTTCGACGCCACAAGGATACCCCTGTTTGACTGGACAAGAGCTGCCTGTACCACCGTGTCAAAAGGCTGTCCAACTACATGGCAGGACGATGACTGAGGTAAGGAAGCTTTTACTCGTTTCGATTGGTCTGCTGTTCTGTCGTTATGCTTGAATTTTTTTCCATTTTCAAGGAGCGAATCGCGTTTGTTTGATGTTGCTTGAATGAATGCCCTAAAAGTAATCAACCACTTCGTAATAGTCCTCAAGGACTGCAAGGACTTTGCATCAATCGTATATGATCGTCTAGCTATCATCAATTTTTATTTCATGAGAAATGTATTTTTATCCCTGTGGTAATTATGTGAACTCCACGACACTCTTCCTGTAGTATGATGTCGAATACAATGGGATCCACAAACGCAGTGCCAGTGTACTAGTAGTAGTAGGACTAGGAGGATTGCTTGTATGCCAATGACAAGAAAAAGCTTCTCAAGCTAATACTCGTATTCCCTGAAGTAACCGTTTTGATGTCACGAACATGACATTGTGTCAGTGAAACCTCGTGACAACAAATCATTGCATTTCCATCTTGGGGAAGACTGACTGACAGCAACGCTGTACAGATTGTTAAAATCATCTCATTTCAATTTAGTTGCAGTGAAGTGAAACACTGTGTACACTACATATATGTTGGTGTGTCTGTGCGTTTTGAGTGTGCACAAACGATCTTATTCCTCGTATTACTAATAGATTATTGTACCCACCATCACCTGTTCACAGGTCTTTGAGTGGATTGATTTTCATTGAGCATCACATTCGTTGAGAACTTGGTAGTTGTGTGCTCCCATGCATCATTACGGTAATAAGCGTATCCTTGTGCTATCTATTTGTTGCAGGTGTGCTGATCTTCAGAAGCTTGCGGAACTGAGTGCTGCTGAACATTTGCATGGCCATGAGCAATGGTGAAGCTTGCTATTGCACTCTCAGCATGTGCTAGTATTATGCTGACCACTGCACTATGTTACTCTCTTACACTACTACGTGTATGTAAACGTGCGTGTACCCGTCCCCGTACGCATTCGTTTCGTATAATTATTTGTTATCCCTCTTGACTTTACATGTAAATGGGTGGACGTTTGCATGGCTGTTGGAGTTGCGTGTGTATTGTGTCTCTACTCTTTTCTTGGTGTTTTCTTGGCGTTGTATAAGTGTGTGTGTGTGTGTGCGCGCGCGCGCGCGCACAATAATTTGAAAACAAATAATTAATCCTGGGCTCTCCATTATTCTCTTTCGATTCTTGGTTTTTTTCTAGGTATTTTCTTGTCGTTGTGTGGGTGTGTGCATGTGTGTGTGCGTGCACAATAATTTGGCAACACTACATGATTGAGATATTGTAATTTGCAGCGTCTGCGAAGAGACCACTTGATTTGAGGATGGTGTTTGTAGGGTTTTTCATGTAATGACGTGGCTGCAGTGGCGCCTCAATACATATTTTTTATCTTGAGAAGTGAATGATGTAAAGGATTAAAGGGAGAGGCCGTTTTCTGTTTAATATTCACTGCTTACAGCAGATCCTATGTCTATTTTCGAACTCGATAGGGGATGCCTAATTGGCTGGACTTTATACAGGGGGTGTTGTCCACATAAAGACTCTTTATAGTTGATTTCAAAGTTTGGACTCCGTACAGTTGATTTTAGACCAATGGACTCTATATAGGGGTGAAGCCAATTGGCTGGACTCTATACAGGGAGTGATGTCCATCGAAACTTTGAGCTCACAGTTGATTCCAAGTTTGGACTCTGTACAGTGGATTTTGGACCAATGGACTCTATATAGGGGTTGGACATCATATAGGGGCTGGACGCTCTACTGAGTCCCACATGTATGTATGTGTTTCAGACTGAGCGAGAGGGGCATAGCATGTCCTGTAGTTGGCATAGGGTCTACTCCATCCTGCAGCCAACCACCCGATACCGTACCAGGCATCACCGAGTTTCATCCAGGAAACTACATCTTCTATGGTGAGTGGTGGTTGTTGTTGTTGTTGTTGTTGTTGTTGTTGTTGTTGTTGTTGTTGTTGTTGTTGTTGTTGTTGTTGTTGTTGTTGTTGTTGTTGTTGTTGTTGTTTGTTGTTGTTGCTGTTGCTGTTGCTGTTGCTGTTGCTGCTGTCGCTGTCGTCGTCGTCGTCGTCGTTGTTGTTGTTGTTGTTGTTGTTGTTGTTACCGGTGGTGATGGCGGCTGCAGCGACGATGGTGGTAGTGTTGATGATGATGATGATGATGATGAAAACGATGATGATATTGTTGTTGTCATTTTGATTGTCTAAGTCGTTGTTTCCGTCACTGGCGTGACCACTTTTGCTTGTTTGCCCACCTGATTGTAGATCTCCAGCAGCACTGGACCGGTGCGTGTGAGGTTAGTGACATTGCCGTGCGGGTCATGACTCGTGTCATCGGTCACTACCCGGATCGAAATCGTCTGGTTATCGACTGCGGATTCACCGCCATCAGCAAGCAGCACGATGCGGACACGTCTCTCTACGCCAAGTTTGACGATCATTCCGAGTTGAAGTAAGACTTGATGTTGTGAACGTGTTCTTTTCATTTACCGTATTTCCGGAGTATAACTAAAGCGACCCCACTGGAGTATTTGCCGCACCCAAATCTTGGTTACTAAATACAGACATCAACCCTGTACTTCACGATTCATTTGACAAGCGTAGTATAAGCCGCACTGACCTTTTTTTTAGGTGAATTGTGAGTGTATAAAAGGGCGGCTTATACTCCGGAAAAAATAGAACCCTGTGCTGAGTATTGAGCTTTGTTTTGTTTATGCTTTGCCATTGGGCATGTGTCTGCTAGGAGTACAGCTATCCTGCAATAGTGTGGTCTTTAACCCTTTATTTTTCTTGCGCCCTTGTCTTAGAAGCTGCTATCTTGACTAGGGTGTGTTCAGACTTATCGGAGTGTCTTGTATCAAAGCCTGTCTCATGATTATAGAAGCCTGTTTTGAATAGAAGCCTGCTTTTCAAGATACACTGTCGGCACATAAGCCTGGTTTCAGTGTTGAAACACATAGAAATACCTGGATTGAATAGAAGTCTTATGTGAATATAAGCCTAGCCCTGACATCTGCTTCTACAGGAATAAGCCCGGCTTTAGTACTCTTGATTGCGGTATACGTGAATGTACTGTAGTGGGGAGCAGTGCGAAACCGGTAATGCCATTCACACGCAATTTACCATTTTACTGACTACAGATTTGATAAACACTATGAGTGAAACATGTGCAGTCGATAACGAAATCAGTGTTTGGCAATTGTTTGATTTTATTTGCAATGGAGAACCTAAGGTGATTTCTGAATCAACGCTAGGCTACAGCAACGATTTTCCTCGGCAGAGAACAGCAGCTCGAACGAAGTCAGCGTACCGTACCCTCCAGTCGCCCGGGTACGTTATGCGTGCCTGCCGATCCGCCATGTACGTGTATAACAATTGATGAGTGGGCGAGATACTCGTAAGGGAAGCACCGTAGCATTGGCAGATCAAACCCGAACGACACAATGGCACGCCAGAAATGCAAACTGTACAAAACTAGAACAGCCACAAAAAAGGTCGCAGTCTTCTCTTTACGCTCTACGGAACCCTTTCCAGGTCTTATCAGGGGTGTTGTGGAAACCTTTCTGTGATTCTACAGCGGCCAAAATTGTGAAATGCCCACGTGTGCATTTCGCAAAGACATCATTGATAGGTGTACAAATGGTATAATAAGGAACTTGTCTTTTTGTAGTTCAAGTTCTGTACTGCTACTGTACAGGCAGAAAGTTTTGTCGGTCAATAATTTTGTCCAAATATGGCGTTGTCAGGATTTTTGTCAGGATTTTTTTATAGTGTCTCACTCTCCCTGTATTTCATCCTGCCCTTTCTGTCCTCCATCTTCCCTTCGCGCGCCAATTTCTGTGTGTGTGTGTGTGTGTGTGTGTGTGTGTGTGTGCGTGCGTGTGTGTGTGTGTGTGTGTGCGCGTGCGTGTGTGTGTGTGTGTGTGTGTGTGTGTCTCTCTCTATCTATCTATTTCTCTCTCTCTATCTCTCTCTCTCTCAGGTTGTTAAGCATGTCTCAGGAACTGGGGATCGTAGGATCGTCTGATGACCGGCCGCTCAATCTGGACAACTATCCTATTGACAAACGTCTGTTCATTCTGCCGTATCATGTAAGTGAAGCGTGCGCTTTACTCAGCGTACTAGTGCACAGCAGTCTATATAGTAATCGATACTAGTTCATCTGTTTCATTCGGGTGTTGTCCGCTATCGTGCTATAAGAGAACATCTGTGGGTGCACATCGAGTACACGTTCATATTTGCGTGCTTCTCTTACGCCGAGTGTATGCATAGTACATAGAACACGGTACAGCAGTCTAGTCTGCTGTGTAGGATAGTTGCTGACTTGCCGTGATCTGCTGCTACGGTCAGTCAGCTTGTTTGCAAGACACGTCAGGATGGTGCAGACTGATAGTTACAGCATGTGGGGGCGTGCATGTCCCATGGCGGTTACCTGCCACAGATGCACTGATTGACGTCAATGAGCTATGAGCTTGGAATTCTTTAGCTTTAAAGGGGAAGTGCATCGATTTTTCAAGTAGGGTCCAGAAGAAAGACAATTTGATATCGGTTCGAATGGCATATCTCTCGCTTCCATACGATAAGCCAAACTTGCCAAATCGCCAATTGTATGCTCACGTTGCCATAGCGACCAGCGGAGTGATGACTTACGAAAGGCTTAGCTCCTCCACAGAGAAGGTCGATCACTGCATAAATTGGTCATTTTCAATTGTCTTATTGTATTCACGATGTGAAAGAAGTGCCGTGAACTATTTGTCGCCCTTCTCATGCATTTCCCTAGGCTGACTGTGCCTTGGAAATGGTTTCCTCCAGGACAAGATGCTTGGAATTCGCCGTCTCTCCTGAGACATTTTCAGCAAACTTTCAAACCTACGACATTATTTCATTCGTCAATCTCCACCGCCCGTCGTCTCACCTGGCTTCAGAAGATGTTTCGAGAGATAGGAGAGTCGCCAGGAAGCATCACATTCATCTTCAGGAAGTGGAAAGAGCAAACGGCATGGTCCTTGGTTGGGGGAAATGCTGAACGTCTGATTTGTCCCAACCAAGATTTCAGCATTTTGTTCGTCACTATTTTCGCTTGTCTGCTGGTGTCTCCGCGCTCCAGCTTTCTCCTATCGGTGTCACGTCCCAGTACACAACCGAGAGGACTACTAACAAACAGTTCACTGCACTTACAGCATTGAACACAGCCCTTCTTTCACTTCGTGAATACAATACACCAATTGAAAATGACCAAATTCTGCAGTGATCGACCTTCTCTGTGGTGGAGCTAAGCCTTTCGTACGTCATCACTGCGCTGGTCGCTATGGCAACGTGAGTATACAATTGGCGATTTGGCAAGTTTGGCTTATCGTATGGAAGAGAGAGATATGCCATTCGAACCGATATCAAATTGTCTTTCTTCTGGACCATACTCGAAAAATCGATGCACTTCCCCTTTAATAGAGGTTTTTCAAATGATGTCACACACCCCCACTCGGCGCTCTGCTGGCGTGTTGAGTGGCAAAAGATGAAGTGAGATCGAGATTGGCTGCGGCCGTCGCAGTTTCAAATTCAATTTATTTATTTTGTTGACGGGTTGTCGTCTTTCTTTGCTATCCGCTCAGTCCACACTCGCCATTTTCGCTTTACGCTTGATCTTCAGGTTTCTCTTTAGCGCTTTGTTTGTGTAACCGACATTGATCAAGGTCGAAATGGGGAAGAGCTGCTCCGCTGTTGGCTGTACAAGACGATTCAAAAAGGGCGACAAGGGCTGGACAAGATTGCCCTCTGAAGAAAGTGAACCTGAGCGCAGGGAAAAGTGGATAACTGCTCTGCGAAGGGAGAACTGGACACCAGGAAAGCACAGCTGGTTATGTGGAGCACATTTTATCGGCGGGGCGAAGAGTGATGAGCCTTTGTCACCAGACTATGTGCCACGTGTGTTTGCGTTTGTACGGTCCCCAGTCAAGAGGAAAATGCAGGAGGAGTTGGAGGCTTACCACCGGCGTGCAAAGCGGACTCGTTTGTTTGCTGATCAAAGCACTACAAAGGCTGTGGAATCGACTGCGCAACCTCCTACTCCTGATCCTGCTGAATCCGCGTCCACTTCAAAATCTTGCCAAACAGATCTCACCATGGGCAAGCTTCACGATTTGGAGAGTGAAAAGGAGCAGTTGAAGGCATCAGTAGCGAAACTGCAGGCCGGAGTGACGGAGTTGGAGCTGGAGAACGCCACCTTGAAGCTGAAGCAGCCGTCATATGGGTACACTGAAGATAATTTCAAAAATGACCCTGCCAAAGTCCATTACTACTACACTGGCCTGCCTGATGTGGAAATCCTGTCAACTGTCTTCTCTTATGTGTCAAAGCCTCTCTCTGCCCTTGTTGCCGCAATTGCCTTTCACAGGCACAACAAAGTCTGAGTGGTGGTCCAATGGCTTTCACTATGGAGAGGATCTTGGTTTAAAAGAAGACACTGGTTCACACAATATACAGAATGTGATTGATGAGGTACAACAGTGTAATCGCTACTGACATACGATTTGAATACCTCAAAAACTAGAAAACTACCTTATGCCATACTCCATACACAAGATATCCAGCGACGTCATGCGTATACAATGTAACAGTACAAGTTGCAGGATGACGGCATCGTCAGGGGCAGACTTGAGCAACGTACATACCATACGGCAGACTGTGAAATGAAGAACAGGCATGCTGGCATGACCAGTGAATGCTGAACAGTACCTCAGTATCAGTATTCCTGAAAGGTAGGACCACTCCTCAGGCTTTCGACTTCTTCTGGCGAGCTGCCTTGTGGCATTCAGGACAATGCCAGCTCTTACCGGCCTTCTTCTTGAGGCCTAGGCACTTCACATGGAAGAAGCGGCGAGTGCAATTGATACTAGCACACTTCGCTACATCACCGGCCTCTTTCCCGCCACAGTAACAACCACCCGGCGATGACAATGTAGTCTGTGGCAGACCCACTGTGGCTGATGCGCCCGCTGCTGCTGGTGGTCCGTCAGGTAAGCCATCAAAGTTCTTTGAATACCATTTAGCGGCTAGTTCCGGTAGTACTCCAAGTTTGTAGAAATCTACAACGGCCTCCAAGGCTTCAGCCATAAACGGTGCATCAGGAAGTATGCGCTCCACGTGCAGCTCTTCCTTGTTCCAGACTATGAAGTCACAGTGTCTGGCAGCGCACACCTTCAGCTGGAGCTGGACCTGATAGTAGTAAGCACGGTCGTGCTTTAGGCGAAGCTGTGGCAGCAACCCGGGTTCTTCTCCAAGCAGAATTTGCTCTCGTCAGCAGCATCAGCGAATGCCTTGTCCTGGCATGAATAGGGACACTTGATCTCAAGCACACCGGCCCCACAGCATGCACAACTGACAGAGCCATCTGGGCTTGCCCCAAGATACGGGAAGTCAGGAGACAGGTAAAGACCGCACTCGGTCACAGACAGCTCCTTGTGAGCAGCCCCCTGCTTCCTTGCATACAGCTCACCCGCACTGGCCTCATGCTCACAGCCCCATTTAGTGGCTGAAGTTGTGAACGCTTGCGCCTCCGGATAACAAATGGCTTTGATGAGCGACACGGATGGATTGCTGGGATCGGTGCGCGTAGCAGCTTTGAAGCGGGATGCTGTTACCCTGCCAGCACGGTAGCGAAACCACTGCTTGGAGGTAGCCTTTGTGAGCCTCTCCACAGCCTTTGCCTCCTCCGCAGTAACAGTTATTGCGCTGAACACTTTTTCACAGTGCTGCAGCACATCGGCAAAGTTGGCCGTCAACAGTGCGTCGTTGTAGAGCTCTTCTACCAGGTATGGTGGGCAGCCGTCCTGATCCTTTGGAGCGTACCGGTCAGAGAAGGCAGGCATAGTGTTCAGCACCGCACAAGAGCCAGCGGAATCCAGAGAGGCACATAGGGCATCAACTTCCTCAGCTGTGGGATTGTCAAACGGAGCAGGCTTGCTCTTGGCGGAACTGCTGGTAGCTCTTGGTTGTTTATTCTTGTCCCTCCTTGGGTCGGGCACAGCAAGATCAATGTCAATGACCCTAGCATACTCCACATTTTTCATGCTTGGGGCAATCCACTGACAAGGCGGGGAGGTACATGCAGGCTCCACTGCCATGGACGTACGGACAGACAAGCTCATGAGCAAAGCTGCGATGTGCGAGCACGCTTCGCCCAGGCCAGCCATGCGCGTACAATGTGCACAAATCACGATTCCGTCCTTCTCAGCGGCTACCCAAGGTCTCAGATTATCTGCAGACACTGTCTGCGAATGCCTGACCGAAGCTGTCACGAAAAATTTCGTGCTGTCAGCATTTTCAGGAAACGACAGGACGTCTCCAACCCAGCCAGATTTTACGAAATTATAAGCGTCCAGACTTTTGTAGGCTTTCAAGGACTCTTTGGTGTACGGACTAGGAGTATTTACAAGATAGTTATAAACATCAGGCCACTCGATACTCGGGAAAAACTCCACGGCAGAATTTTTGGAGAGGACGTACGGATCGGACACATTTGAACCAATTCGGTCAAGCTTCTCGCGATACCGCTTCTTGGCTACTTTGTCCAGCTCACCGTAGACTTTTCCAAATTCACTAGGCTCCATTTCAGCAGTCATAACAAGCAGGTACCCTCTCAAGAACGCACAAACAAGCACGAATCTGATCGTCAAATCAGCAAAGAAATACTGGAATAGTGCAAACTCAAATCAAAAAGTGCAGCTGTCACCAGGGTCACTAGCTGTCACAGTCTTTTTTGCCACTCAAGGTCTCCTGAGCCCACGCGGGAGCGGCACGTGACCACTTTTCGAAACACCTCTAAAATATAACTGCGATGATCCGGACAGTCTTGGGAAAAATATGCAGGCATGACGGACTGAATGTGCAAGGATCACCTGCTGACACGAAAGAAGAAAGTCCTGCTTAGGGAAGCGTTGTACGGAATTGTTGCAAGAGCATGGCGCACAATATTCACTAGCTTTGCTGAAGGCGTATGGTGTTGTCACACGGTGGCGTACATCGGGTAGTGCCAGGGTCCAGCGGTCTTCGATACTAGTATACTACAGTTGCACTCACTGAAATCCGACCCAAAGTGCAAAGCAGGCGCCCTCAACTAGCACGGCCCTTGACGCCCTGGAAGTGGAATGAATGCGGCTGGGCGTACACATGTACACATACAATGATGTAATCGGAACTGGTCCTGGGCGCCAGCTTTGCACTTCGGGTCAGATTTCAGTGAGCGCAACTGTACTAGTATTCGGAATGGACGCCGTCTTGTGATTACACAACTCGAATACAGTCATGATGTCAGCTCAATGCCGCTGGGGAGAAGAAGAAGGGAATGCCTGTTGCCCTCATTCTCGCTGTAGTGCTGTGTTGTGCTACACATCGATGTGACATCATTGCAGTCTCCACCTCTGACCTCAAGAGTGTACCTGTTCAGAAGCTTGGCTGGTGGTGGGGTGCATCATGATTATGATGCACACTTATGTTAACCCAGTCACGTACAGTCAACCCTGTGAATGATGGCGCTCGACCGTGCAGGAGAGAAGTGTCGTTATTATTCCAAAGGTTGAAAGTACTTGAAAGTACCGTGTTTCCTCGATTATAAGTCGCACCTTTTTACACTAAAATTTAAGGGTAAAAAAAGGAGGTGCGACTTACACTCGAGCGTGACTTACTACTGAAGTCAATATATCAAATCGATATTGCTCAAACCTGAAAATGGGGGTGCGACTTATAATCGAGTGCGACTTATATTCGGGGAAATACGGTATGCCTCCGGTCGAATCTCACGAGAACCTTGATTATTTAAAAGTACATGTATGCAGTCAGATGGTCACTAGGTCTGAACATAGTGTGCTTATTTAAGATAGTGTTAAGATAGTGTGGTTATTTAAGATAGTGTTAAGATAGTGTTAAGATAGTGTTAAGATAGTGTTAAGATAGTGTGGTTATTCGCGAGTTGTTGTTATACCCAAGGTCATTGTTCGCGAGGTTGACTGTACAAGTTTTCGATGTGAACTGAACGCACCATGGCTTGGTTATGACTGCCCTGTGCGATCTGCCCAAGCTATAGGGACTGTACAGAGGATATGCAATTCACGCCATGATAGTACGTGTTCCACTCAAAGCTCTTCTATCTATGGGGTTTCTGTACGCACCTTCCCTATACATGGGCACTTTGCCACTCAGCTAGCTCCCGTATAAGGCGGATTTGACGTCATTGCATATCCTCTCGATTCTCGTATGCTTGTGACTGACTAGCATGTCATCGGTCACCGCGCAATAGATTGCTGAGCATGCCTGACGGACGCCGTTGCTCTGTGTTCCCTTTCGTGTATTTCTACAGTCGTGCGCGGTGGCGGGTCTTCATTCGGTCTACCATGTCGTCGATGAGACTGACACTTGTACCGCAACGTGGAAGCCGTGTCGCGGCTGGTGAACGCAAGGCCCTGGAAACCGTGTCGCGGCTGGTGAACCCAAGACCCCGCAACGTGGAAGCAGTGCCGCGGCTGGTGAACGCAAGGCCGTGCCATACCTGCACGTGTGCTTGGCCGGAACTGTCACACGAAATGTCCCACGAAAATGTTTGTGGGACATTTTGAACATTAACAGTGTGGTGTGTATCTCTCTTGATTCATGGGAAACGTAGGCAAGTGCTTGTTCTACGTGTATCTTTGAGTTCTTTGTTGTTCAGTGTTTTCTCTGTTTCTTTGGGAAGTACTCTAGCTAGTGGCATTGTTTAGCTATGCAGTCACTTTACTTTATTCTCTGTATGGTATGCTGTGTACTTAGCAATGCCAACCTGTACTGAGCTCTGGTAACCTGGGGATATAGTGTGCTCTGGCTAATCAGATTTGTACGAAGAGTTGATTCGTATGGTGGCAAATACACGCCTGCCTGCCCGTACATGTTTTCTAAGCTGCAACGTTACTCTGGCACAGAGCTCTCCTTCCTTGTAGGAGCAGTGCGTACTAGTATTCAAGTCGACTCGCGGATTTCATTTTCTTCCCGGATTCCCACTGTATGCGCCACTGTGTACGGCGGCTGCAGCTGTTTTCTTAGCTCTGTTGTGTAGTGGCGATGTATGTACCGGCAGAGCTTCTATGCCCCATGCCAGTGCATGCAATGCTATGCAGTAGAAAGTCACATAAGGTTGCACATTTTCACAACTTTTGAGAATGCTATAACATGTCGTGTTTAAAAATATAAGATACTAATATCAGGGCAAAATGTGTGCAATTTTATGTATAGTGACTACGCAAGTGTGCTGCCTGTGCAAGGCCCATGGGGCTATAAAGGGATTCTGCTTTGAAATTTGCAGTACTGTCGGTCGCTGAATAACGGGGGGGGGGGGGGGGGTCAGCCTCGTAGCCTAGACCGTTCTCATTTTCATGTATTACAGTCTATGTGCAGCCGAGTCACCGTGTGTACATTGGTATGCTATGCTTGATGAAATTCTAGCCTGGTCGTCCTTCGGCACTCCGTTCTTCGGCGACTACCCGATAGTACTGTAGGCAACTTGTGAGAGGGGTTAACTTATGTGCCATGCTCTGGCTCATGATTGTATTTACCCCAACCTGCTTGACCAGGATGATGGCCTGAGACACACATGCATGCCTGGATCATGCATGCCTGGATCAGGCCATCATCCTGGATCATGCATGCCTGGATCATGCATGCCTGGATCATGCATGCCTGGATCATGCATGCCTGGATCATGCAGGTAGTACTGTGCTGGCTGTCATTGTCAAGTCCTGATTCTCCATACTGAACACCTCACCCAGCCACTGCAGCAGCTGCTTCAGAACAGGGCATGTAAAGAATGGAAGCACTGACATTGGCGTCTACAGGAATTAGCACGGCTTTTATGCGCGACATTACGGCAGCTACAATACTTTTTTAAAAGAAAAGTAGTAACTTGTTATAGATGCCTGGGTGATCTGGCACAGCCGGACCGCCACAGAGTAGTACTAGTAGGTACTGCGAATACAGAGCCACGAGGCACCATGTCCCAGTGCATGCATGCTGCAGTTGCAGACACATGTTCAAGTAGTAAAGAGTACTGTGTACTACTGGTACATGTCACACCATGGCACCCAGTTCATGGTGATGGCCATGCATGCTATCTCGATCTCCGAGTAGTACCAAGAATAGTTATGAGTCTGACATCGCGAATTGCGTTCTTAGTTGAATTGGTACGTGCTACAACTAACCTAATTATCATCCCAGATCCTGGTGATATCCTCGGTACCAGGGTGTTGTGAAAATCTTCACGGACTCCCTGGTCGGCACACTGAGTCTGTGCATTGCATATTGCATGACTGGCCAGTATACAGGAGAGCAATAGCAAATACAATGTACAGCAGTGCATCATGGTACATGCAATACAATGTACAGCAGTGCATCATGGTACATGCAGGGAATATTGTATTTTCCAGAGTACAACCCACGCCCACACCCAAGTTTTTTTGCCACAAAACACAGACATCTATTCTATTTTATCGATCATCGGAGTATAAGTCACACCTCCTTTTTTTGGGGTGAATATTGAGCGTTCAAAGTGCGGATTTTACTCCGGAAAATACGGTAATTATTTGCTCGTTACCAGGGAGTCCTGCGTTACTGAGTGGACGATTTCCTGCTCGTGACTGATAGTCTGCACTGACTTTAGATACTAGGGGCGCGTTCGAATTGTCTTCATCAACTGTTCAAACAAATTTTATAAAGAGATTAGTTGAAGTGTCCCATTAGAACGGTTTCTATCATTTTAGAGTTTTTCAGTGGAATTGTCATGGTGATGGTGAGGTCCGATCAGATCGACCATCTCCACGCACTACGTGACGTACATGTAGCTATTCCAAACTCTTCGAAACTAATCCACCTCTCCCATCGGGTGAGGTTGTGGAGTTTCGAGGAGTTTCCAGGAGCTTCTTTTTTCTGAAGAGGCCAATAAGGCCACCTCTTCAGAAAAAGGAAACTCCTCGAAAGGTCAAAGAGTGACAATTCGAACGCGCCCTTGATCTACATCATGGACATGACTACTAGCACATACTTATTAGCAGTTACGTAGTTCTACGCCATTATTATCATGATAAGATTATTGTAGACCTACTGCAGTACTGGTTCTCACCGGTTGTTCAATGGTTATGTTGAGGACCTGGTCCTGGATCGTGTAGCGCATGCCATTCCACTGTTGGGTTGGTAGTGATGTCGTTTGGTAGAGATGCATCGTATTGATTAGTTATGTCTGCGACTTCATACTCGACTCAGCAGATCAGACGAGTCGACTGTGTACTGATCCTTGAGCCCTGCGTTTGCTCAGCTGCAGTCGGAGTGCAGAGTGGAATGAGAGGAACTTGAGCTGCAACTTGAAAGTCAAGCGGTTTGCTTTGTCCGAACGGAGCGAAGAGCTTGGGCGATGATTATCTGAAGTGCTCCTATCGCTTTGCGTCCCTGCTGCAGACTGCTACTGCCAAGCACAAGTCAGCCCTACATTACCACAATCTGCATGCTGTCAAACCACAGCCACGAGAATGTTGACCGAGCCTAGCCCAGGCCAAGGTTCGGATCGGAGGCTTTGTGTACCTGGTGTACGCCGCCGGTTACCGCCAATGCCGGTTTGCACAAGCAACGGCACGGATGGTCTAGCTGCAGCGGTTCAACCAAGAACGTGATATGTACTGGTCTTGTGAAGTGTCCGCGTACCACGAGGCATGCACTTGGCCAACGTGGCCTCGGACAACAACCAGTACGCATTACAACGCTAGTCGCACTGAGTTGGTGGAGTGGTGTTGCCGAGTGGCGAGGAATACATTGCTACTGCTTGCCACGAATTTCGTAACGCTGCGAATCGATTTACGGGGCTTGTGTGTAACCAGTCGTTTTCGGACGAGAAGGTTTCGACCGACTACGTCGGGAATTATTGCATCATTGCCATCAAGTCAGGCTTTGGTACTCAATTGGCTGACGAACGGTATTCGCTTTCGTCGCCGGACGAGGTACTTCCGCGGTAAAGGAGCAAAGCAGAAAACTGAGACCACGCGGTTCGAGGTGGAGCGTTGGACTCAAGCTGTTTCGGTGTCGACATCGACGGCTGTGTACCCGAATGCGGAGGAGTGCAAGGTCTCCGTCGCACACCGACAGTTGAGCAGGCTGGCTGCAAGTGCAACAGTGCAAGTCTGGGGACTGACCTCCGCACGGGACGCTGTACTTCAGCTGTGATGCGGTTGGCATCATCACGCTTGGCGAATCATCGGGTGGGCCCCAGTTGGATAATACCATCCTCTTGTTAGCAATCATCGATCTGCCGCTCAGTGAAGCTCGCCACCATGGCCAGTACTCCACCAACGCTACAATACCTCCTACTGCCAACACTCCTGCTGTGCGTATGTTTCTGTGAACTGGTGCATGCTGGTGCTAAGGACTATAAACCCTTCAACAATGAGGTGGCTGATGAATCTAGGTTACTGCATAATGCTAAGGAAAAATCATTCAGCAAGTTTGGGGAGGTGGAGCATCCTCCTTTTGACCCACACTGGGAGAACATCATCCACAGGAATGTCCACTGGCCCTGCCAACATGCCATGGACGTGATGCAGAGTTTCTCCGTCCTGCGACTTCAAGATTATGAGCGCAAGTTGTACGGGACGCCGCGCAAGCGCTATCACACGCGCCCCGGCACGCGTGCAGGATCCGATAACGGGACGGCGCCGACACTGTGGCTATGGACGTACCCGAACGGCAGCCGGTTTACCGGAGTCCTGCCCTCGCCGGCGAAGAAAAGAGGTCCCCACCACAGCCGCTCTGGACACCACGGCAAATATCATAAAGGCCGTGGCAGCCCATATTATTCCCAGTCATCATCCTCCTCGTCGTCTTCATCGGACGAGAATGGTAAATCATCATGGCGACATTACTATGACGACATAAGAAACGATGGGAGCCCGTCCTACGAGGAGACGACGCAGCGCCCGCCAGCTGAAGACGACAATTCAAGTTCTATTGATAATGGTGAAGACGATGACAATGCCACAACTGCTTTGCCCCAGGTTGTGGGTTCCACCGTGTCTGTGGTCAACAGCACTGCACCGCAGGGCACAGTGTCGACTGTGTCGCTGATCTCCAGGCAGCGACGGTCCGCCGACGAAGACCTGGAGACATGTCTGTCGACGACCATGGACCTTCACGTAGTCAATGTGCATGCAAGCGCTGGCGCGGCAACACTACTGGTGGCAGGGGAAAGGTTCGACTTGGCCTACGCTACGTCAGCTAATCCCACGGTCCAGTTGAAGGCAACCGACACATACACTGTCATTCACAATAGTGGTGAGTAGCTGATCAGCATTTCGTCTAGGCATCCAACAAGTACTGTATTAAATTACAAGTAAAATAAAATAAATTTCACGGGCTCGCGTACAGGGAGGGGCAAGAACCGCCTTTCCGCTTCCCTGGGACGCCACCACCCCATGATGAGGGGCTGTTAAACTGTATTATTATTATTATCAGTATTATTAGAGCACTGCCGCGTTCAAGTCGGTGGATCCATTAGGTCCACCCACAGGTCTGCTCGTGCCGGATAGATTAAAGTACTTAGGGGGATAATGATTTGATGATGTTGAGCTACGTGATAAAGAATAGTTTCCAAAAAGTTACACTCGGTGTGACACGGGTAAAGACTGCACGCAAGGCAGTGACTAAATAGTCATGCAGGTGGAAGTAACACTGAACAGTGCTGTGCATGTAGTAATTCCGTTTATTCGTTAAACTCTATAGCATGAAATTTTAGGTGTATAAGAACTTTGGGGTCAGGGACCTGCCAGGTTTCGGGTGTAATGTAGAATTAGGTGACCAGGATTCCATTCACATGCAGTGCATAGTCTAGTGCCTTCTAGATGTAATCTATATTTTTAGGTGAGTGGTTTCTGTACCGAATTAAAGTTACACCAAAAAGTAACGTCTTGTACATGCCAAAATTGCCAAATATGCCCTAAGTAAATAGTTGAATTTGTCAGATCAATATAACACCCAACAAAAGCGTAGGCCGAGCAATCTCTCCAGCAACATTGGTCACCGGGGCTGCACACTGGCATTTTCAAGTTCCTGGTTCTCGGCGATGATTTCGGTCGTAATCTGCAGAATATGCGAAAATATGCTCATATCCTTAGCATGCACTCAATATGCGAACCGTGCACGGGCTAACCAAATATTAGGACACATGCCTAAGCATATTTGGCATATTGAGCATATTTGGTCGTTGCTTAATTTCATCTTATTCCAATCCTTGAACTTCTCCAAAGTAGAAGAAAGCTGAAATCTGACCCCCAACCGTACGGGCGAGAAGGGTCAGAGACCTCTCCTTTCGCTGTGATGAAATAAAACGGATGGTGCTTCTCCTTTGTCCCCCCCCCCCATCCCAGTGTGCTGTGTGTATGTGAATTATTCTCCTGCGGTGACGTTCGCTTTAGATATGCATAGAGCGACACACAGACACACAGACACACAGGCATGCAAACAAACTCATACATGCACGCACACACGCACACACGTACGCTGGAAATCCAAAAACTTCAATCTTGTGTTTGTAAGGCTATTCACCTCTGCTTCTAAGACTTTTTTTAAAGTCACAATAACAGGACACTCCTGAAACTACAATAGAGAAAGTTTGACGCTAAATTTAAATATGACATATTGAAATTTAGTGGCAAACTTTTTTGTATGCTTTGCAACAGAGTCACTGTGCAGTACTTTGCCTCATACACACTAAACCCTTACGTTCTCAGACACACCCATGCAAGTATGCATGACATTCCTTAGGAGCATATATTCTCCACCATTAGTTGTTGATCTTGCAACTGCTAACTAGCATGTGTCTCACTTTTATATGTAAATCTTTGCTGTCTATATGCCGGGATGTGTGCTTCTAGGTCGAATTGAGTATCCGCTGTCCAATGAGCACTATGGGTTACCATGCAACGGCGATCTGTACATCGCCACTAGCCGCGTGCAGAGCACGACCAATGTTCTGCACGCCGAGGTAGCTCTGTTCTACCCGCAGCCCGTCAAGCAGCTGCAGGAGGCACAGAACGCGACGATATTCGTCTACAACGCGCTGGAGATGATTGGTCTTCCGGCAACTGTGGGTGAGTTGGTTTGAAAATACCGGAGTGTCTTGTATTAAAGCCTATCTCGAATAGAAGCCTGTTTTGAATAGAAACCTGATTTTCAAGATACACTGTCGGCACATAAGCCTGGTTTCAGTGTTAAAACACATAGAAATACCTGGATTGAATAGAAGCCTTATGTAAATATAAGCCTAGCCCTGACATCTGCTTCTACAGGAATAAGCCCGGCTTTAGTACGCGATTTTACGGTACATTTGCTCCACCAGTGACATACTAACCTACCGTTCGCATCTGCCATCTTCCAGTATGGTGTGTCGCTGGTTCCTTGTATGATATATTTTTCCCCCGTGTCCATTAGGACCAGGGTGTGAAGTTTTTCCCCGCTTTCACAAGCCGTTGAGGGTCAGAGCAACTATCCTTCATGCCCCCTTTGTATGTGTGTGTGTGTGTGTGTATGTGTGTGTGTGTGTGTGTGTGTGTGTGTGTGTGTGATCTCTCTCTCTCTCTCTCTCTCTCTCTCTCTCTCTCTCTCTCTCTCTCTCTCTCTCTCTCTCTCTCTCTCTCTCTCTCTCTCTCTCTCTCTCTCTCTCTCTCTCTCTCTCTCTCTCTCTCTCTCTCTCTCTCTCTCTCTCTCTCTCTCTCTCTCTCTCTCTCTCTCTCTCCCTTCTCTCTTCCTCTTTCTCCACTGGCAGATAATTGCATATCCAAGATTTGCTACTCTACCACACTGGCTCTGAAATACCGTCCTCGATGTGTGCATTGTCCAGCAGTGCTTGCACATGTATGCAATATGTTTCACGTCAGGCATGGAGAGACACAGAGAGAGAGAAAGAGAGAGATATATATATATATAGATAGATGAGAGAGAGGGGGGGGGGGGGGTAGCATCTCACATAATGATATAGTTATGTGTGTTGTGTGCATTTGTGTGTGTGTGTGTGTTTGTGTATGTGTGTGTGTGTCTGTGTGTACTCTCATGTGCAGACGTACTGTTCTTCAGCAGTCACAAGGCGGCCCATCTGATGCCGGCATTGTTCCGTGTGTCGGCCAACATGGATTTGAACAGCGGCACTGACGCCATTCTTCCTGTCGGTACATACACTATCAAGGTATGTAGATTTCTTTTGAGAGGTTGGTCCCTTTCTTAGTTGACCCACTCCTGATCGATCAGGGCATCATAGGGAAATACCATTACATTTTGTAATGTGAGATCTGACTAGTCCTGAACAATATGATGCAACATTGTTGCATGACTTCTTGAAGAAGAGAACATATTTCCTTGTCCTGGCCCTGATTGCCTGACTGTGGGTGGTCCATTGTAATGTCATGCTGATCATACGTTGTACGGACTGAGGTGCGCCAGTGACGCATCATTGAAACTGTCATGTTGACCATGCATAAAAAATAAAAAATAAAATTAATATTGAACATGAACTATAGCCTCCACACGTCCAATGTAGATGTGTGGATCTTTGCCTTCTGTGTGTGTGTATTGAAAACAGGTTGTGCGTCACAACAGCGTTCTGACGCACTGTCGCTTCGTTCGAGTGAATTCGCTGTTGCCGGAGGTGAGCATACAGGTCCGGGCTGGTATGCACTACTTCATCACCCTGCACGGCAAGGTCGACATCAGAGCCTATGGGGTTCGCGGCAACGACTCGTCTGTGCGCGTGCCCGTCTACCCGTCGGGATTGGTGACCAACCGGCCAGCCGACATCCGGCAGAAGCTGTGGACTAGTGCCAAGGTATTCATCATCAACGCATTCCGCAGCACGCGGCCTATCCTATTGAGGCTGGTCAGAAAGGACTTCAGGGTGAAGCTAAACTACAGCGAGGTCAAATTGTTTGAAAACGTTACAATAGAGGAAGGGGATTGCTTCATCCTTCTGAACAGGAAGGACAAATACAACCCTCGCGGTAAGGACAGTTTCTTGTTGCACTGTTTGATCTTTGGTGTCGGCTGTGATGGCAGGCTTCACGCGGCCTTTGTTTCTCTTCTTTGTCCCTACTTGTTTGCAGATCAGCCGCCAAATCTTTATGAATTGTCACATGGCATGCTGCGTGCATGGACGGGCTGAAGACATGAGCTTTTGCAGAGAAATTACCCCCCCCCCCCTTCCCGTTCATGATCCTGGATATGCCCCTGCTCCTGCTCCCCGCAGTGCAAAGTCAAAACTAAGTTTTTTTGGTGACTGGTGTAATAACGGTACAGAGACAGGAAATGCTTGTGTGGACGCCGAGTTTCACGTTCACATCATCATCATCTGGCAACTTGTACTTGCGTCCTAACAATGCCTGGACAAGTTGCATGTACGCAAAAACCTCTTTTAGGGGCAAACAAAACACAATTTGCAATTTATGGTGGAGTAGAACACAATTCAAGCACTGAAAACAATTGCATGAAGGGAAGAATGTGATAAGTAAATTGCAACCCTACTCAAATACAGCAAAATTCAATCCTGGACAAGTTGCCATTATTTGGTTTCCTTACGGTGCAAGTCTGCAATGCAGCAGTTTGTCACCGGACTGTTATGCGTTCGCTCAAACTTAGATGCGTATAGTGCAGTACGTCAGCCCGTGCTGCGCCTTGCTGCAAATTGGCAATGAATGCTGTCAGCTTAGACGAGGTAGTCCAAGCCTTCAAGGGTCCACACATACATGCACGCTGGTCAGAGCTTTTGTGCTGACATCTTCGGTTTTCTCCACGCTTTGTTGCTTGGTCGTTGGTGTCCAGGTAAAGTGCGTGATCTGGTGTACAACAAGGTCCCGGCAAATGATGCAGAATGCTTCATTGTCGCCGATCATAAGGCTGTCGGCCATTCCAGTGGCTCCAGCAGTCTGGATATCTTCTTTCATTGCTTTGACACGACCGCTGTACTGCCAGCTCCTAGGTACGCTGAGGTCGTCATCTACCACGCCCTGCATGGGCTGAAGTGTGATTTTGTAGGTAAGTCTAAGCACCTATCTTTGATCCTCCTCTCCTCCATGTCCTCTCAGCTGATACATTACTACCCTCGGTAGCCATTACCCACGCCAAAATGCCAAACAACGAAGGGGTTACAGAGGAGGAGAGACTCACGGTTGGGTTACGGAGGAGGAGAAGCTGTTGGGTTATGGAGGAGGAGAGACTGTTGGGTTACGGAGGAGGTGGGATTGTTGCATTATTGAACAGCCGAATGGCACCGCTCCCAATATTATTGATAGTCTGAGCACCTTTTAAAAGATTTGAATAACAGACTCTTTTGCTCACTCAACTGCCCTTTTCATATTATAGCCGCCGATTACACGAGTTACTGGGTTTGGATCTTCATAGTGGGGTGTTACAACTCAGCCCATTGGAAATGTCCACCATAGTTTACAAGCGATACATTAGCCCTGGTGACCTACTTTACAGGGCATACCTGGGTACTTCTCCAAAAGAAGTAGTAACTTGAAGTAGCAAGTGTCGGTGGTGTCACAAATATTGCTGGACTTTCCCCATGTCGACCGTACAAATGCAGACAATAAAAGTTAAAACTAATGTGTACGTACTTGTGCATGTATACGTGTATGCTCCCAGATTATCATGCATATGCTTTGATACGTTCAAGAGCATGGTGTTTGCTGGAAAGGATGTAACTCCTGGATCTGGGGCTAGTGGGTCCTACCGGGGTGTGAAGGCAACATTCTACATCTCCCGATGGCTTATTAGGAATTCCCCACCTTTCTTTTCACACTGTCCAGATGTAATTCTAAAGCGGAAGAGCCTGACAGGTGATGGTGGTGATGACGATGATGAAAACACAGCACTCTATACGATAGCTTCAGACCTGGCTGTTGGTCACGGACAGACAAGACTCATCGAGGCCGGGCTCTACCAAGTCAGGGTAAGTTTTGTTGTGTGCATGGCTGGCTGGAACACCAGTGTTGTTGTTGTTGTTGTTGTTGTTGTTGTTGTTGTTGTTGTTGTTGTTGTTGTTGTTGTTGTTGTTGTTGTTGTTGTTGTTGTTGTTGTTGTTGTTGTTGTTGTTGTTGTTGTTGTTGTTGTTGTTGTTGTTGTTGTTGTTGTTGTTGTTGTTGTTGTTGTTGTTGTTGTTGTTGTTGTTGTTGTTGTTGTTGTTGTTGTTGTTGTTGTTGTTGTTGTTGTTGTTGTTGTTGTTGTTGTTGTTGTTGTTGTTGTTGTTGTTGTTGTTGTTGTTGTTGTTGTTGTTGTTGTTGTTGTTGTTGTTGTTGTTGTTGTTGTTGTTGTTGTTGTTGTTGTTGTTGTTGTTGTTGTTGTTGTTGTTGTAGTTGTAGTTGTTGCTGCTGCTGCACCAGCAGCAGCAGCAGCAGCAGCAGCAGCAGCAGCAGCAGCAGTAGTAGTAGTAGTAGTAGTTGTTGTTGGTGGTGGTGGTGTTGTTGTTGTTGCTGTTGCTGCTGCTGCTGCGGTTGCTGCAGCTGCTGGTGCTGCTGCTGTTGGTGCTGCTGCTGCTGTTATCGTCACTGCCATACCTACTTCTGGTTTTTGCTGTAGCTGTGTTGTCTTGGTTTTACACGAGTGCCCTTCATGCTACAATAGAACTTGTTGCTTTGGAGTACAGTTGACATTGTGAATAGCAGCCTTGGGTATAACTTTTTATCAACACTGAACAGTTTCGAATAACGACACAATGTTCAGACCTACTGACCATTTGACTGCATGCTTTCGATCTCAAGACTAACGACAACTCGCGAATAACGAGACTCTCCTTACGTTCGATGGAGGGTCGGTATTCGCAAGGTCAGACTATATGCGCGTATTTTTTGAGCTGGACATGAAAATTAATTCATTCCGTATGCATTTGGCCATCTTGTGCGTGTATTTGTAGGTTTTCGAGAGTGACACTGTGCATACGCTGGAGGAGTACGACACTGCAAGGACCCCTATCAACGCCGAGGTCTACCTGGAATCACAGACAACGTACTACGGTTCTATCCAAGGCATTGCTCACAGCAACATGACGGCGTTCTACCCGCCTACGCTGATCGTGTTTCCGCGCCACCAGCCGCCGGTCGTGCAGAGCCCAGCGACAGAGCGCGTCGTCACGTCTACCGCCAGCACACTGACAGCACTTCACAATCTTACACCCGTCACGGGCTTAGCCGCTTTACTTGCCTTCGTATCACTATAGCCGCGTTTCTGTGCGGAAAGGAGGCTTTACAGTTGAGACAGTCATGTCGGAGAACCTCTATACTGTTACAGGATCCATTCTATAACGGCACACATACATTGTACACTGTTGCTGGTGTTAGGTTATATCTGTAAAAGTATACTTCCCTACTAAGTCCTGTATATACGCGGCTGTAGTTTTGCAAGTTACGTTCTTACTACGCAGCACGTCACCCGTTCTTACCCTGTGAGTAGTTGGTGTTCCTCCCGGTATAGGTTTCAGCGGAGGCTTGACTTTGAGTGACTTGAAATCTATCTAGCACTACATCTATTTTTGCGCTATGTTTAGGACTATTATTTTATGACCGGTGGCGGGGGAAACTTTCAGTGCTACCGGCCAAGGCTAGTATATATAGGTGGAACTATTGCATTGTGCAGCAATTGCTCACGGTATACAGAGGACAGATATAAGTGAACTGCAATTATGGCAGTGGCGTCTTTTTTTTAAACATTTCTCTTCTTTCTATACGCTTCCAGTGGATATGGTATCGGACTCCCCCAGTATTTGTATTGTTTCGGCTGACTGAATACATGTTGCCGTTTTCTTCAAACTTCATGAAATGTCCTTCTTTTTGAGTTTGAGATCAAGATGACGCTGCGCCCATGTGACATAAAAGCACGATAATACATACTTTATATACGATGTAGTCTTGTAGTGCGAGTCCCATAGAAAACGATGCAGGTGAACAATCTCACTTTAGTCTTGCAAATGCAAGTACGTTTTTAGTTGGTTGCATCTGATCATGATCATGATTATTGTCACCTTGTGACTGTGCTGATGCTGTGTTTATTACCGGCATCAATCAGGACCTAAGGCACTGTTTCACGGAAAATCTTTATCCAGCCAGTTTGGACATTGATGGACGAGGTCCGACTGTTGGAGGCGTCCGGAAGTCCCAACCGCACCTCCTCGAGCTCCGTGTGATTTTACCGGCAAAAGGCTGAGTCGAACCGGAAAATCTGCCTTGTCCTGCAGACGACCCGTTGTGGAGACGCGAACGTCGTGTCCCATGGGTATGGACGTACCTGATGGACCGTGCCATGGTTCAGGCGCTAGCCGCTAGGCCAGGATTATTGGGTACCGGTAGAAGTGGGCATCCATGATCCAGGACAAGCACACGCGTTGCAAAATAAAGCAGGTAGAGCTACTACTAGTACTAGAGTAGAGGCCTAGCCTATGTCCATGATGACGGTCGGCCATGCCATGCGGCTCTACGGTTTGTTCAGTGGTCGTCCGGTCAGTGGCCGCCGGTCAGTCAGTCACGCGTGATCGAGTACCGCGAGACTTTTTCAAGTTTTTGTCTACAAAAGTCATGCACATGCACAATCATGATGTAGCTCGTAGATCTACTCGTACATGTACATGACTTTGTGTTTTAGTAGATCTTCACTCTACAGTTCGCGCTGTGATCAGTTTCACAGTCTAGTCGCGAATGCGGAGTAGACTACCAGTAAACAGCTGTGACCAGATCACAAACTGACGAAGTGATAAAGCAGTCCGTTCATTTTGCAAATTTCAGTTCACGTCGTTGGTTTATGCTTTCTCTCTCTCGCTGCCTTTCTCCATCTCTCTGCTGTCGCGACGATGAATAGTGACGAGAATCTGCGTAGAGACTTTGACAGTCTCTACCTAAGAGCGCGCTCGTTGGGTCTAACTGCTGAGGAAATTTGTCAAATACGGAACGTTCAGAATATCGATGAGTGGAAAAGAAGCAAATGGCGAGTTGCGCTCTATCTGAGTTTTGCCATGCTTGTAGCAGCAGTAGCGGTTGGTATCAAGGCAGCAACGAACACCGACGCACGCTGGTTTGCGCTAAGGATGGGATACGGTCAGGAGGACCAGTGCCTCGTGGAAAACTACGAACCAATCGCGGACGCAATGCGCCCTGTCGTTGACTGTGGCATATGCCGGGACGTATCCAGTGTGGACAGGGTGACCAACCTAACCCATGAAGTTTTTATGCAGAAGTATGCGTTCACTGGTCGGCCTGTCGTCGTCACGGACGGCATGAACGGCTGGACCGCCCCAGAAAAGTTCAGCTTCACCTTCTTCAAGACGCTCTACAAACCTGACAGTCCAAACGTGGTGGGGGAGGGTGGAGATGAATGCCAGTTCTTCCCCTACCGCACCAGCTTCGAAACGCTCGGGGAGGTTTTCAAGATGCCAAAGGAGATGAGAGATGGTGTCACGGGCAAACCTTGGTACATTGGCTGGTAAGTGGGGCTATCAACAGTACAAGTGGGTGTAGCATCTCCAGGCCAGGAGATACATGGTTGTCATGTTCCATCTTTGCCAGGAAAAATGCTCTCCATTCCTCTCATGTTTGTGGCGAACTGTTGCTTATGCAGTTGAGCTCCCTATGAAGTCAAGGAACAAAAATGTCACCGCTGAATACTTCAGATTTTTAGCATTCCAGATTGTGGAAATTTTGACTAAAATTGGCTTGAGAGTCGAACCTGTAGTCGAAGATTCACAATGTTTGAATGAAAACAGCTGAAAAGCCGAAAAATATTTTTGTCGTCTGTGTGTAGATGTACATGTATGCTTCAACCATCTGACTGGCACGTGCACGCAGTGACACACCACTTCCACTGCCACTATTTTATGTGCGATATCATGACTAAATCTTGTCTTGGTCCTTTTTGGAAATGCGGAATGCTAAAGACTTGAGCATAGACTGTCATGGTGCAGCTTAGACTGCACGGGGATCATGGCTACATGTATATCAACTACTACAGTAAAACCTGTAACGAAAGACCAGCCTGGTACTACAGACCACTTCGCCTGGCACGGGCGGTCTCACATTCATTATAATGGTTGTGGGGTGCAAACCTCTAACTAAGGACCACCTGCCACTAAGGACCGCTTTCTCTAGCCCCAAGGGGTGGTCGTTAGTCACAGGCTCTACTGTACATGGCTAATGCACAGGATTGGAGGAACCTGTGAACAAGTGGATGAATACTTGTGCAGCCTAAGATGATAGCCCGTTCTTCATTGTGTCATATGGATCCAAAACAGTGTTATTGGCGCAAACACAATCACGTTCAGAAGAGTGTTGCAAAGGCATTACATTATAATGATTATGAGATTCTTTCTATGGGATTACGTAATCACATGAGATGTTTTGTGTGGACTGTGGAGTGGCTAAGCAGGGGTGAGGGCCTAGGGAGGTTCCCAGATCATGTATCCACAAGCACTTCTGGCAAAGATGCTTCTACATCATACATGTGACTGGCGGGTGGGCAGATGACTAGCAGTGCATATCCTGGACTAGTCTAGAGCTCTGTATGAGCTAAGTAACTTACTTCATGTACTGCACATGACATTGTGCAGCACTTATGAAGACTGGTGTCTCCTTGCGGGCCCATCTTTGAAGTGGACTAAAAGTGCCCCCAGCATTGCGTTATGTAACTCTGGACAGTCTGGGCAGTCTGGCCGAATATGCAGCGTAACTGTTGTGGGTTATTTGTAAGACATGAACACTTGTTGCTAGAGTGTAGAGTGTGGCAACTGCAGGTCTCCTCCTGCTGCTGCTGCTGCTGCTGTTGCTGGGGAAACACTGTGACAGAGCTGGCAGGCACTGGAGTACTCTCACTGCCCATACATGTACACATGTACATGACATTGGGTATTTTTGGCAGCATGCTGCCCAAAATTGGATTACCATGAAGGGCTTCCACTGGTGAGCACTTGGCTGGGAAATGGCAGGGCTGCAGCACTCTGCTTCCTGTGTCATTGTACAGAGGCTGCTCAGCTCAGGCACTGGCCATGAACAGATCAGTACTTTGAGGCCAACACTGTGTTTAAAATAGTATGGATTGTCCCCATTTTGTAAGATTTCAAGTTGTAAAATGATAACTCTTTTAATGTCCATACTTGTACTGTACCATACATGGCAATATACACGTGCATAGTCACTCATCCTAACTAAGCAAGGAAATGCAAGACATTGCTCAGTCAACCACATTAAAATGCTGCTCAGGCTGCCCTCAGCTGCGAGGCAGACAGGAACAGCATTCCTCATGCTCAATCTATTTGGCCTGGCCTTGATACTGTACTCGCAAGACTAACGTTAGCCCCAGGGGCACTATTTTTCCAAAGTCCATCACAAGCGGAGCACTACTGCTATTACACCATCCAGTATAAGCAGAAAAGCGAATGAGAAAGGTGTTTTTGTTAACGGTATCAGTAGGCGTACATTGTAAATACTGGTGAAATAGAATGGAAGCTTCAACCAGAACTGCATTTTTACTCAACGGCGTTGTGATAACTTTGCAACATGTACATTGTGGGCACAAGTATTAGTTATGCGATCGAGTCCACCGACTAAACCAGATTTTGAACAGTGTTCATGTTACAAATTTTTCCCTTGGCTCACCACCTGAGTTCTTGGTTGTGATAACCTTAGTGTTATGAGAGCAGGATAGTGACCCTGATCCTACTATTCCTCTGTTGTGTTGTTGTTGTGTTGTGTTGTTGTCTTGCTTGTTGAATGCAGGAGTAACTGTGACCCCGCCGTGGGTAACGTCCTGCGAAAACATTACAAGAAGCCGTACTTCCTACCTGAGGATGTGGAGTCCAGCAAGACGGACTGGATATTCATGGGAAGTCCCAACTACGGAGCTCATATGCATGTAAGTTACGGTCAATAGTATCGCAAGTAGGATCACAGTACTATCACATGTCGTACACCATTAACTCATGATGAGAAATCAAAGTTCTTATTCTTCTCTTGTCAATTCGTTGGTATGTGGAAACTGGGCCAGTCAAAGGCGGACCAACCCAACTACTGTACCATTCCAGGCGCGTAGCACCGCCGTTGGCGGTGGTCCGGCCAGGGGGGTCCGGGGGGATCTCCCCGCGGAATTTTTTTGAAATTAGGGTGCAAAATCCTGCATTCTGGGCACTTTTGGCATTGTTTTACTATGGTGGTCGTGGTCGGGCGAAAAAGTGGTCCGGCCAAAGCCGGACCGGCCGGAGCGGCTGCTACGCCCCTGCATTTGGACCGGCTACTTGTACATCGATTATTATGACTGGCTACGTATCGTCTGCTAGAGTGACAGGTGTTCGTGATAGATATGAAGAAAAAGAGAGTTTTTATTTGTTCTTGACTACATTTAGTCTACTTTCGAATGATGGCTAGCAGGTCCTGCGACGATGACGAGAGGTGCAGATGTGTCAGCAGTGAATGTGTTCTGGGTACATGCATCCGTATCCTGTACCTTTCGTCGGAATGCTGATAATTATTGTCTTTTGATGACAAGTCCCTGCAGCATGCTGTTAGCTTTAAAATCTACAGTCAACCTTGCGAATAACGGCCCTCGATCGTGCGTGAGAAAAGTTCCGCTGTTCGCAAGTTGTCGTCATCTCTGAGGTTGAAAGTATGCAGTCGTATGATCACTAGGTCTCGAAGATGGTGTCGTTATTCGCGAGTTGTTACTACAGTAAAACCTGTAACTAAATACCACCGTGACTAGCGACCAGCCTGGTACTACCGACCACTTCACCAGGCACGGACGGTCTCACATTCAAAATGCACTGTGACTAGCGACTACCTGCTGAACGCGACTAGCGACCGCCTTTTCTTGTCCCAAAGACGACTTTTGACCCGTAACTAGCGACCGCGATGTAGGAAATCAAATGTTGCTCGAAGCTCCTTCTTGAAATTTTGCTGATTTTCCCAAGGTCCTGAAAGGCATCTTTCGATATTACAGCTGAACAAATGAACGCAGGTCATTTTGACTGTGCAGTCGATGTTGACTGCACTGCACCTGTCAAAGTTTCAAGCCCTGTGCAGAATAAACATGATAGGAAACGTCTTGGAGAGCGCATCGGACGCACTCTCTGATCGATGTTACTACTCGGAGGAGAAACGAAGACTGAGCGGCTCTGTCACCCCAGTCATACAGACGAATCGACGATGGCATCAAGGAATCCATAAACCATGCAGCACCACAAGGTCCTGATGCTGACGGATCGCGTTCAAGCAATCGAGAAGTCTGCACAACAAGGACAGTCGGTACGATTGATTGCATGAACAAATTTGAAGCCCAGCGGAAAACGAAACTTACACCGGGAGCGTTTGACTCCTGGCTTCAGAAGTAGCAGCTGAATTTGATGTGTGGAAAAATTAAACTCTTCTCTCTCTCTCTCTCTCTCTCTCTCTCTCTCTCTCTCTCTCTCTCTCTCTCTCTCTCTCTCTCTCTCTCTCTCTCTCTCTCTCTCTCTCTCTCTCTCTCTCTCTCTCTCTCTCTCTCTCTCTCTCTCTCTCTCTCTCTCTCTCTCTCTCTCTCTCTCTCTGACTCTCTCCATCTCTCCAAGTGCTGTTTTACCTATAAAATGGTATTGCGCAAGTTCTGGGGAATTGTATTGGCTGCATTTTGACATACATATCATCTAATGGGATCCATATATGGTCACGCAGTGCAAACCTCTAACTAAAGACCACCTGGTACTAAAGACTGCTTTTGCTGGAACCAAGGGGTGGTCGGTAGTCACAGGTTTTACTGTATACTCGAGGTTGACAGGACGTTTGTTTTCTCTGTGCATGTTCATTTCCTGTTTGTGTAGATTGATGCAGTGGGTAGGGTGTCATGGCAAGCCCAAGTGATAGGCACCAAAGTCTGGAAGCTGGTTCCGCCACCGGAGTGCTGGTATGAATGTCCACACCAGCACGACGTCCTGCTCAACACTGGGGATATTCGTAAGTTGCCGGTCCTCGGTCTCAGTGACCGGAATGAACTAGGTTCCGTAGCTCTTCTGGAGGGACCATAAAAAATTCGGCCTTCGTGTACATGTGGCCTTCTTATCCACGGTCCTGGAAATAACATCCCTTGTTCTTAGTTGTACAGTGTAGTGGTCTTCTGGGACGGGTGGTCGTCAGATTGGCGTGACATTGACAAGTTTAACTGCACTAAAGTATGAGTAAGTTATGCAGGGAGATCTGCTTTGCAGTGACAATATGTGTATTGCAACTCTCCTGTTGTTGGCCCTCAAAGTACAGCGTACCCCTTACAACGTCATTGAGTAGATTAGTCGTCGCTGTACAATTACGGAATTTGTTATTTGGCTTTGCCCGTTGCTTTTGGGAGTCTTTGGCGGTGGACCATGCCGAAGTCACGAAGAAAACCTGCAATATTCAGTCTGGAAAGGTGTTTGTAATTGTTGTACCATCTGTACAGCAGACCTCCCCTCCTTATCCAGGCATGTTGCCACCAGGCACACTGCCCTCCGTATCCAGGAAATTAGTAGGAAATGCCCGCAAGGCTCCAAATCGGCATACTGATTTCAAACAGGATCCTGGGAAATGCATTGTACAGTGCTGGCAACTGAAATCCGACCCTGAGCACATTCTAGCAGCCTCTATTTTCGTAGTTTTACAATCCCGTGTTGGGTCTTTGCGATGTGAGCTCAGGGGTCGAATTTCAGTTGACAGCACTGTACCTCCAACCTCTAGGTGCTGCCTCTGCCTCTGTATCATGTTTAGTAGCGTCATACACAACACACCCTTCAGAACATGCTTCAGGGATGATAATGGAAGTATGTTGGACTGTATCTTCGGTTGTTTGCTGCAGTCGTGGTGGACACGAACAAATGGTTCCACTCAACACTAATCCTGAACAACTCCCTGAGTATCACGATCGGCTCGGAATTCGAATGAACCAACAACAGTCGTCCACTGCCAAGCGAGGGGCCACTTGCGGATTGCATTTAATTCTACTGGCTACGAAGTGTAACGTTTATTACTACTTACAGATGCTGCTACACTATCCTACTCCTCACACATCTGATCTATATGTGTGCAACATCCCCTGACCCCATGCATCTCTACTCTACTACTGTATTGGCAGTGATGATGAATGATATCAGCAGTCCTGTTTCTTCTTCACTCATCATATCTTTCTTCGCATGGCCTTGAAAATCTGTTATGCCTGCAAAGAAATCCTATGTAAATAGAATGGTTATAGAGAATGCAATAATCGTTTGATTGTGTTATAAAAATAGAATCATTTTCACGTAGTATGAATGAAATTTCTCTATTTGTTTTCATAGCATATATTTTATGTTATCCTCCTGCCTCCTTGTTTAGCACAAGTGAAGAAGAAGTGGACCTATCGGTAGAATGAATGAAATTTGCAGCCGTAGAAGTAGGAAATACCATTTTGGTTTCCTGGTTGGTTAGATCAATAAAATACGGAGTGCTAATTAGTTGAGTGTGTTACAGAAATGCGTTGTATGAATAATATTATGAGAACAACAGTAATGTCTACTACAAGTGTGCAAGGGGCATCCTCGGTCAAACCCACTTATCAGTGTGTAACAAATCGAGCATAATAATATTATGATGCACCATTATTATCTGCACACCCTCCATTGTTAAAAGCATGACTCGACTAGTGATAATGTTTGCAGTAATTGATGTGATCCTGGAAATACGTTCTACTAGAGATGGCAATATGTATTTTCGGAATGCTATACTACATCTCTCCACCCTCCGGTTCCCAACGGCATTGCTGTGAAGAATTGCAAACACAATCTCACAGACAATTCAATCCTCCTCTTCCACATCCTCGCCCTTCTTCAATTTCGAAATAACCTGGAACGGCAAAGAAATAGAAGAGGCAAAAATCAAGATGTTCTCAAATTGAAGTAGAAAATAAGCATCTTTGGAGCACATATAGTTAATGTTAACACCCATACCCACGCCCGTACACACACAAAAGTAATGACAAAAGAGAAGTGTTCGCTATTCAGGTCGCATTGGTTCTTCGCCAGGAAATGCCTGCAGAAGTACATGTCATGCACATGTGTTTCAAGAAGGCCTCAGAGACTCTGTGCTCTCCGTAGGCTGCTGCCGCACAATGTCTGTGGACGATGACTGCGGAGCCGGAATCAATGTTGGGATTACATCGGCTCGCCTCATTCCATTATTGCCTCATTCCCTAAGATAAACAACCAGGCGTGCGCCCAATCGCTGTCGGTGAGGTGCATAGGCGAATCTTATGCAGAGCTAGTGCGAGGACCACGGAACACGACGTCCTCCGTGTAACTATATTGGCCGAGGGAGCCCATTATTTAGGCGGTGTGCTGGGATCTGCCAAGTATACGGAAGATTGCTCCTCCGCAAAGTCGCGCTGCTGGGCACAGAACTTAAATCCCTGGCTGGGTTGGCGAGGACTCAGGCACACGCGGCATACGTGGTGTTGACAAAGGGTCTGGCTGGCCGGGGGCAATATCATCTCCGTGCCACACAGCACAGCCCTGAGGCTTTTCGGACCCCTGGGCAGATCCTCGATTCGGAGCTTTTGCCAGCTCTCGTGGATCAGGGGTTTGATCCCAACAGCTCACAGCTGGAGCTTATGTCTCTGCCCATGAGATGTGGTGCATGGCCTTGCTGTGCCGATTCTTCCTTAGCACCATTGGAGTATGCGGCCTCGACAAAGGTCACTGAGCCGTCCGTGAGCCTCATTGTGCAGCCGCGCAAATTAATGCCTCCGGAAGAGGTGCCTGCTGCCGTCAGTCTCCCTCGCAGACGCTGCCTGTTGTGAGCGTGGAACAACCTCGTAACGTTCAGGGACATCCTCCCGGGATGATTCTGTTATCATCTCCGCCCGATGATTTCCACCTGCATCATGCGCCATGGATGGCGATCATTAGCCTGGGGGGGGGGGGGACCCAGCCGGAGGCTCGGGCTTGGATGCTCTCCTCGATGCCATTGGGTCTGTTCGACAGCATGCCCGTCAGTCACATCGGCAGCGACAGAGGAATCATGAAGAGCGAGCGGCAGAGTTGCCGCCCATGCTGCCGCCATCACGGTGTTTTTTTTTGGAGACGCTTGGTGATAAGGAAGTGTTCAATTCGTTGTCCTTCATACCGTCCGTCATAACGCCCGCTTCAATCTTGAACAAATCGGGTTTTCATGATGCTGTGGGTATTTGGCATGGTCTGTCATCGGAGGGAGTGTCCAGTTCGTGTATTCGTATAGGCAGGGTATGACAATATACGACGCCATGAGTTGCCTGGCAGGTGGTTACCCAATAGCAAGACAAAATGAGATCCGGGACATTCTGGCGGAAACCGTTTGGGAAGTACTACTGAACTTGGAGAAGTAGCCGCCACTCAAGCCATTCGAAGGAGAAACATTACCACATCAAACTGCAAACCGCTCTTTGGAGGCGCGCCTGGATATCAGGGCGTGGGGCTTCTGGGCCCGGAAGCAGGATGCCTTTTTTGATGTACGGGTAACGCACCCGAAGGCAAGCCTGCTGTTGCGTACAGACGTCCTGCGTCAGCTGAAGACCCATGAACGGGTCAAAAAGAGAGCATATTGTGACCGTGTAAACATCGTAGAGAGAGCATCATTTAAACTTTTAGTTTTTTCGACATCAGACATGTGTGGGCCAGAGGGGTCACGTTTTTTTGAATTTTTTTGGTATCGCTTGTTGATAAACACCCCGAATCCTGTTTTGCATTATTCTGTAGTTATGGGCCAACTTAGATCTGTATTGTCCGTGCGTTTGCTCCGCTGGTCTATCACTTCCATACATGGTTTGCAGGCATCATACAAGCGCCAGTGCCACAGCTTTCAAGCTGCCGTACCTTTACAGTACGTTGATGTGTATGTTGTCTTAAGTTGCTGTTTTTATGTTTGTTCTTTGATTCCATATCTTGTTATTTTTGGTTTTGGTCATATTCTCGTTCAGGTCTCCTCCTATTGGTGGCCCCTTAACCCTTTTACGGTCTCACATTTGAAAATCGATCACCGGTGATCGATTTTTCAAACTATCGTAACTCAGTCGATTTTTGAGCAAATTCGAACATCTAAATATCTGGGTTGAAGAGAAAGCTCCAGGCTATCCGTAGGAACAATCGCCGAAGCGATAGAGTGAACGGCTGCGATGCTACGAAGCTCGCGATCTGCGTCACGGCTCATTTACGATTTGAGTGGGCGAGCTGGGTCTTGAGGACGGGTTTTTCCCTTTGCAGCTAGCTGTCGCCATAGAGACACGGATTCAAATGAGAGTATGGACTCGCAGCACTCCTCACAAAAAATATGAGCTCGGTGTGAGCAAGGAGAGGGAAATGGCTGTTGAATCTTGTTTCTCGTCGTGAATCAAGCACTGGGGCGATGTCGCTGCGCTGCAGCGCTGGATCCACGGCACCCTTGGTGTCGAATTGTAGCTCGGCGTGTTGCTCTTGTCCAGAGCTTTCCAGAGAGCCCCAGATCACGAAAATCAGCGAAGGGAAACTGAAGTTATGGATGAATCAAGGTACGAAATTGTTGAATTCTGTAAATAGCCTCATTTTGACTGGATTCTGAGACCGTGAAAGGGTTAATCATTGAGTTCCACAGCACTTTGCGTTTCTTCTTTCCCTCTATTGAATTTTGATGTATTTCGTGTTTGCTTGCCCGTATCAGAGGCTGTTACAATCATGATGATGGTGGCTAAGTTGCAAGTGAAGAGGTTGGCGAGAGAGAATCAATCAGTGTCAGCGGTATTGATTCAGCCGAAAGTAATTGCATCTAGAGAGTGATAGTGACGATCAAGATGAGATGGCAGACCTAAGTCGCTGGGTTCCACTGCTCCTGCCTCTATTGTCAGAGTATACGTTAAAAGGACTCTTTTCGGAAACCGTATCTACATCGCATCGCTGACTCCCGAGACCTTGACCTGCCTCACCCCTGGCCATCTTGTGAACGAGACAGCCTGCTCAAAGGCCTTGGTATCCTTGATCTTATACGCTCTGATCTGGACAGCATGGAGTGGCAACATAATGTCATCATACTGCCATTTTATCAAGAAGTACCCGAAGATGTTTGGTCCCAGTGCCCAGTCACAGAAGCTTTGCAAGAAGTTGTCCTGTTTCGTAACGGCTAACAGTTTCACGGATACGCGCTCATCATCAATGCAGACTGTCATGGTCCCCATGGCTGATGTTCTCAATCACCATTATAATCACAGTGCCCAGCTGGTGGTCAGGGATGGGTAATTTGAGATGCGCGCCTTTCGCCGTATTCACAACGGAGAGGATGTGTATAGTACCTGTGGGAGGACTGGCCTGCATGACTATGAAGTGATGCCACTTTATGACTTTACCATAGGATCACCGCTTGACTGCAAGCCATGCGCTGCTTATCTACCTGTCCGGCTATGTGAAGACTAAAGGATATCACTATTTCACACAGAACAAGTGTATCTCAAGGGAAATGCGCTCGAAGTGGTGGAACTCTGCGCCAAAAATGTGCCAAAAGTACCCAGAACACAAGATTTGGTGTCTCTTTTTACAAAATGTTCCAGGGAGAGCACCCCCAACCTTCACACCCCACTCCGTCCTTTGGTCTTACCAGTTCCCATGCCCCTCCTACGCCCCTGGTGTGTGTGTGTGTGTGTGTGTGTGTGTGTGTGTGTGCGTGCGTGTGTGTGTGTGTGTGTGTGTGTGTGAGAGAGAGTGTGTGTGCGTCATGTAGTTGATTTAGATTATCCAAGCAACAGTCGATGCTGTTCCTATTTGCATTGATCACTACTTGAACAGTACAGATCCATTCACTGATAGCTCTTACGGATTTCAGGCGAGCGATTTCCTTGTTATCGGCATTCTTGGAGGCATCGTTCGTGATCAACTTGACACGAGAAGCATACCTAGCGAATGCAAGTGCACAAGACAGGCATACGACACCTCGGTGAGAAGCAATGGCAGCGTACGGTTAGCAATCTGACACCGAGGATTTCCAACCACTCCGCCTTTTGGCCCAGAATGGACGCAGGCTGGAGTACATGGCCTGTTATAAAGTGAGTGCCGCCAGACACGTCACCATGGTAACCATACTAGTAGTATAGGATACATAATACATATCTACACTGTACACTGTACACTGTACTTCGAAGTATAGACAGAGCTAGTGGAGTGTGAGTGGTAGTTACAAGATTACTGTCATCGTGACAGGATTGAACACTAGCACATACTTTGCAAGATCAAGTAACTATTGATATGACAAGGGTCATGTACAACATACAGCCATACGAATGCATGTGCTCCGTAAACGAATACTCTCTTCGCGTGAAGTTGTGAACACGGATATGCTGTATTCGATCTCGTTGCAACAGTGTGCTGGAAAAGCAAGCAACAAGAAAGCACCAGGCCTTACGTAAGTGACACTATGGTCTCATCGCAGTTGTAATCTGCTGGTGAGATGTTGACAAACATGAGCGTCTTGGCATTTCCTCCTGTCCAGGCCCACAGAAAACAAAGAAAATGAAACCGTTTCAACTATGTATGATGCTATTGTTAAGGGCATTTTGGCAGCTCTTTTGCCGAAGAGCAGCACACTATGCAACTTCAACTCCACATGTACATACGACTGCCCAAAGATATTGTGTATACAGAAACTCGTGGCCTGTTCCCCACTATGAGTGCTCCTACGTCATTCCTCGTCGGAAGCGTAGCCATGGCTGCTAAGATCCAAATGATCCATACCGTCAACATCCACAAATACGTACTGCATAGTAAAGAAATGGACCAAGGAACTACAAGTTACGCTATAATGTCCAGTAACACTACCAGTTACTAAACAATCAGCTCATGCGATAACATACGTAAATACGTACTTGCCTGAAAACATTGACCTTGTATTCACAGTTGTTTCGTAACTTGACACTATTATCTCCTCTAATAAGTGCCCCCCCCCCCACACACAATACAATCTGGTTGACTGCTGAGCTGTTTATGATAGCATACCCACTCAAATACATGGAGAAGCCCCTCTCGAAACATTGAATGCCACCACCAGGGCTCGAGCCATAATTTTATTATTTTATTATAATTATTTGCTATATTTACTGCTTACCAAGAGAGTCCTGCATGAGCATAGTGAGCTTGTTGTTTCTGTACGGGATATGCCCTTGCCCTGTGGATAGTGCAGAGATGACATCACCGAGAGCGCTCAAGCTCTTGTTAATGGATTGCGCTTCCTGAAGAGCAGTTGATAAAGCACAGGAACAACAGAGAGCTCAGTTACATGCACGTGCCAGGCCATCAGAGACCACCGCTCAACGTAAATCAAGCTCCCCTCCGCTGTGTCAAATTCTGCGGAAAGGCTGAGAGTTGCTGACGCCTCGAAATGCCATTCAGTAGATCTGGTGGGAGTGCACAGAACGAGATGAGGTCACATGCCGATAACATGCACAATCGGTACAGTCTCCACCATGCTTTCTTTACATTGCCTTCTACTAACTAAACTCTTGACTGGCTAGCGCTATGATTAAAGTCTTCTTCCCAGGAAAGTTTTGGTACCATTTTTTCTTCTTTTTCTTCGGTTTACCTTCAACCTCTTCAACGGTATTTGAGCCAGAACTGAACGTATACAATGTGTGTGTGTGTGTGCGTGTGTGTGTGTGTGTGTGTGTGTGTGTGTGTGTGTGTGTCTGTGTGTGTGTGTGTGTATTGTGCTTGAAGGGGACGGTTGCACTTTTGTAGCTCCGTTTTATCTGAGTTTTCAGTCGTTCCTCTTACTAGTCTTAGGCCACGAGGTGGCTCTGGGTCCACCAGAGTCGCCCCTGGCGTGTTTCTGAATTTGCTGGGGCGAGGGTTCCGCGATGCGGTCGCCAGGGCAGTGGCTTTTCTGTCACGACCGTTGTCGTCCTCGTCTCTCCATTCGCGGTGGTGTAGCTGACCCCCGAAATGGTTTCAAACTGCGAAGCTCGGAGTACAGTGGTGGCAGAGGCATGAGCTGTGAGTGGAGACGGTTGCTGGAGATGGATGGTGATGAAGGGAGAAGAGTTACGCTGCCTGACGACGCGTGGGAAATTGTTTGATCCTGCAATTTCAGTTCGAGCGCGGTGGACTTCTAGACGATGTGTCCTCATGGCTGTTTTTCAACGCTTGGCCTATCGCTGATATCCCTGCGTGGAATGTTCTTCCAGTGGAGTCCAGGTGGGACTTCGGGTGCCCACACTCCATCACCTGGTTGATTGTTTCGGAACTGCAATAATACAGGTTCAAATAATTATTGTTTCCTTTTTGTGCGTATCTCTTGTCATCTCTCTTTTCTATACGTCGCACACCAGATGTACTACTATCGCTGTCTTTCTCCTGCTATCTCTCTCTGCTTGCTGTTTTTGTTTTTGTTGCCACTGCCCCTCATCATACCCATGCTTGGGTGGAGGGCGGCATGACCCGTCAGGGTAGCTGGCAATACAGTACAGAACAGTGTGTGTGTGCAGCGTTGCAATGACTGCAAGGACAGCAGTCGCACCATGTCGCATTCAGCATATTCCTGGCAGCTAGTTGCACTGCAGCATAGCTCTCCATTCACGTTTATGCCAACGATGGCAAAAGGAAACACGATTCAGCAGATGGTGCAATAACTTATCTCCCGTGGTTGGCTAACACCCACTCCCTTCGGATGGAGTTCCTGCTGCGCCTTGAGATGTTGCGATAAAAAAGAGAATAAATATTGACACTGATGTGTAACTCGTGTGGATTGGTTGACGTACGAAAGAGTGGATTTCTTCTGCTCTCCTTGGTTTCCAGCTTTCTGAATTACTTTGCCAAACCTACGCCGGAGAGCATGGACAATGCCATTCTTCACTATGTGTTTGCATGTCTTCAAACGTCCGCCGTCCGCCCGCCCGTGGTGCACGCCATCATGCAGCTGGTTGACAACCTGCTGAACAATGGCAACAATCAGCTATCGTAGTAGGGTAAGGTGCGGATGCAAGTTTTTAAGCTCCGCTTACTTTAGCTCCCTGTGGCAAAGAATTCGATCTGGACACACCAGGAATATGGCATTTAATATGGATATCGATCTCGCCTTGCTGACTTTCAAAGAGCTGCGGCATCTTGCCAAGCAACATCCTATTGACGGAGCCAAGTCAAAGAGCCGAGTTGATCTTACGGTTTCCCTAGGACAAGCTGTTGTGGGTGTAACCCCGATCAACGCCCATGAGGTCAGTACTAGTAGAAGTCTGAAGTCTCTAAACGAGCTTGTATGTGTAGTGATAGAGCTAAGAGAGCAACTTGAGCAAGCGAAGCATGATAATGCCATTGTTTCTTCACTTCGGGATGAGGTTTCCAGCCTAAAATTGGAAGTACTAGAGCTGAGGAACTTCACAACAGGCACACTTTCTCAAACTGCCAATGACACCCACAACCGTCGCACAAGTGCTAATGAAGTTACCGTAGAGCCCTCCCTGTATGAAACTGACACATCCATCGCCACTGCGCCCCAAACACAGCACACCTCCACATCGCAGCATGCACGCTCAAGTTCAAATGACCGTACTACCGGTATGCACTCGCAACCACGTGCCGCTTTCCAGTCCAGAGACACTACAGCACCTAGACCTGCTGGCAACGGTCACGTCACTACGGACAGCAGTTCCCGCAACAAATCAGATGGACAGAGCTCTTGGGTAGATGTTGTACGACGTCGAGTCACATCTCGATACGTTAAGCCTATGCCCATGATCGAGACAAACCCTGTAGTCCTGACAGGTGTCGAAAAGGTGGAAAAAGCGATATTCTATGTAGGAAACGTCCACATGGGCTGCAGTGCCGACTCCATCAAGGATTGGTGTAAAGAGCGTGCAGTGGATGTGCTCAACTGCACCATCTTGGAATCCCGTACCTTCAGAACAGCTTACGCCAGAGTGACATTCCCAGCCTCAGCTACGGAAAAGGTACTGGGTGACGGATACTGGCCTGCAACTATCCAGCGCGCCGTAAGAAAATGGTGGTTTGGAGATTGAAATACCTGGTAAAACCTCCACGTCGTCAGAATGATGGCTTCCGCACCGCTGAGCGCCCAGGCCTTCCCATATTTTCCTAAGAAACATAATAATATTATCACTATTGTTACGATTAATTGTCGCTCCGCGTCGAACAAAATCCCCGAACTCCATGCATTATGTCGATCCAACACACCGACTATCCTATGTCTGACAGAAACCTGGCTCTGCCCGATACATATGCTCAGTGTACCCGTTTATACGTGCTTCCGTCGAGATAGGCCAATACCAGCGAACCAAAGAGCCCAGTTCCGAGGTTATGGTGGTGTTGCCATCCTTGTACGAGATGGGACATTTTTTCATGCAGCCCAGCGCTCAGACCTTGACTCTCCCCAATGCGAGACCATATGGGTTGAGCTTCGAGTTCCTGCAGACCTGGGTGCTAATCCTATACTCATTGGCTGTCAGTACCGCCCTCCTTCGCAATCAGCCACATATCTATCCTGTCGCAGAGAAAGTCAGGCGTTCTGGTCCATTTTGTTAAACTGAACACTGTCCCTGAACATCTCAGCATGCAAGTATAATTGGTTTACATTCGCACGGGACACTCGCAATGGCCCAGTATTTCCCAGAGCTTTGTGAACTACAGTCAACTTCGCTTATAACGACACTCGGAGGGGCATCAAAAAGGTGTCCTTATTCGCGAAGTGTCATTATACCCGAAGTCTCATTATATGTATTACAGTTGGATGGGACTTTGCTCTGGGCATGGAAATTCTGTCGTTATTCGCGAATTGTCGTTATATTCGCAGTCGTTATTAGCGAAGTTGACTGTATGTTTAACAAATCTCCTATCTTTTCAGCATATTCGTAGTGGCTCATGGAAATGAAGACAATATCCAATATTAGACAGTTCATAGACCATGTTAAGTGTCATGCCAAGTTGTAGGCTCACTCGCCTCTTTTGCTAGCTTATCTCGCCACTCTCCAATATAGTGATCAATTTCATCCCGCTGATACGTTCTTTTCTTCCGATTATTATCTTCTTTCCTTCTTTCTTTCTTTTTATTCTCTTGCCCTCCTTTGCATTGGCTTCTGCCATTGGACGGTGAAATAAAATAAAATTAAACTGACCTTAAGCTGCTCGGGAGTTGCTCCAGTCTTCGATGCACGTTCTGATCCAGCCAAATCCACCAAACTCAGCTGAAAACAAACACACACCCGATACAGTGACAAGAAAAGCTTGAGTGGAAAGATAGGCACTGGCATTTGCCACATCCTACTCAGATATCCACTCAAGAGTACATGCCAGGAAAGTAAACACAATTTTGGGAACCCACCAGCCGATCAACCGTCCAGTGTCTGCTGCAGAACCGGGTCAGCCGGGTCAGCGACCCGGTTGGTGGGGGGGGGGGTACTTGGACCTGCTTGTAAAAAGAACAGGCTATCCGGTTGAGAATACATTTTACACCAGGGAGTACCAATATGTTTACAACTCCCTGATGTACATGCAGTAGACGCACTTGAACAGACCCGGCTCTGACCCGGTTGCAAGGGTTGTGTCAGGTACATGTATACCCGGTTGGTTTGAAATCATAGAGCAGACCCTGAACACAAGGAAAGTTTCCAAGAGAAGCAGGTCATAATATTACATCAAAAATGGACTATCACTAGAAGAAGTAGTTGAAATGAGAGCATACCTTTCCGGACACAACTGTGCCAGTGGCCAAATTTGTGGAGGTGATGACAATACCGACGATCAAATGGCTGCGAGAGCTTTCGGCGTTCATCTCTGAAAACAAGGAGACACAGCATGTTACAGTATGTATGTGCTGACCACATATGGTGAACTGTAGAATGAAAGAGGACCTTGGTGCACTCCCAAGCAGATATGTTGGACACATTGAGCAGCGGCTAGAAAACTTACTTGTCGATGCAACGTGTCTGCTTTTGGAGCCTTGCTGAAAGATGTCCAGAAGCTCCGCGGCAGTCTTTGCTTCTTTTGTAGCACTCCCCGTCACCACCACCATTCCCTAGCAGGCAAGGAGGACAGAGCAAAGAAAACGACACAATCTTTTCAAGTCCTGGTCTAGGAACCTACACGTATTCCTTGAGAACACAGAGCTGAGTTTGGTATGTAATGCACTGAGAGCGGTGAGTGTTAGCATGCTTTGGTGAGGTGAAAACTGCCTAGCTACTGTAGTAAATAGCAGAATAATAACAATGGTCTACGTGGAGATAAAAGTTTAATAATAGCAATGAAAAGTATGAATGCCGCAGACATCACCACGCAACATGACAATTTGTTCAAGGTTTGGTTTTGTGTGTTTCCAAAATCGATTTTTACGTTCCGATCATCAGTGGAAATACGGAACTAAAGAGATCAAGGGAAAACAAAGGTTAAAAATCCAAAGAAGTGTGACACATGACGGGTAACTTGTGGTAAGTTTTACAAAAAGTGAAAAGTTTTTTGTAAAACTTACCACAAGTTACCCGTCATGTGTCACACTTCTTTGGATTTTTAACCTTTGTTTTCCCTTGATCTCTTTAGTTCCGTATTTCCACTGATGATCGGAACGTAAAAATCGATTTTGGAAACACACAAAACCAAACCTTGAACAAATTGTCATGTTGCGTGGTGATGTCTGCGGCATTCATACTTTTCATTGCTATTAATAACAATGGTGAATAACATTTTGACATGCAATGTGAAATAAATAAACAACAACAACAACATTAAACACACACTCATATAACACACTGATTGCAACCAAAGTAGAAGGTATACGGAGAAAGGTAGGGTATCGGAGGGCATCATGACTTGAACATGTTCAGACCAGCAAGTACTACGGGAAGTGCAACTTGTACAATAAGGGGGGGGGGGGGGATAGACACATGGATAGACACATGGATAAACACATGGATATACACATGGATAAACATATGGATAAACACAAGGATATACACATGGATAGACTCATGGATAAACACATGGATAGACAGAAATGCAGTAGCACACGTATAAGTGGTGTGCCCTGAGCATGGGTCTACAGTCGTCCGGCACTGCAAGACTGATACTATGTACATGCACACACTACAGTGACTGGGAGAAACATCAAGTACAAGTACATGCATACATACACACACACACACGTACACATACTCACGTAGACGCATACACACACACACACACACACACACACACACACACACACACACACACACACACACACACACACACACTTGTACTTGTACTTGTTGCACACTGCCAAAACTGGTCACGTGGGTCTCCCCGGGAGAGGGGAGAGAGACTCAAAAGGAATCTTGGAAAGATGACTCAATTGGCTATTGAACCGCCCAACGGCCGACACCGCCTGAAATCCCAGGGGATGTCGGACACACACACACACACACACACACACATGTTCACTCACATGTACACACATACGCACATGCACTTACGTACACTCACACACGTACATACATACCTTCTTGTTCTTTTTGATGTCCAGCTTTCCCGGGTAAGAACATAGTGTCAAGGCGAATACCATGATACAGTCGTTGGATTAACCCAATGTGCCAATGGACAAAAATGTCTCTAAGAGGTGCCGTAAAGGACCACTCAACAACAGTTCACTGACTGTGACTCGGAAAGAAAGACGTCAGACATCTGTGAGACAACTTAAGTGTATCTGTTCGGCTTGGGTGCTCAGTGGAGCTTGATGCAGACTACAACCATAGTTCTCACTTTGATCTGCTGCATAGAAAGCGCAATACCTTTCAGCTTTTAAATTCAGCATTTTCACCCACTGAGGAAGGCATCATGAGGGATAATATCGGAGAAGATACAGAATAAGACATTAGAGGGAAAAATAAGACATTAGGGAAAAAGACAGAGGGAAAAATAAGACAATAAAGGGAAAACCCCACACTACTAGTGTGCAATAAGTCGCAACGGCTAGCACTATGACATTACGGTGCAACTGAGCATTGTGCTTACCTGTTGGAGGGACGTTAATAGGAAAGCTGACAAAGCCACGGTGGAGCTTAAAGGTTTTCAAAATAGTTGAAATACCCTTTATAAGCGTAAGGCCACACTTTGTTTTTTCTATGTTTCTCGTCAGCAAATTTTAACAAAAGGTATGCGGGCGGGCGGAAAAAAGGCAAGAAAAAAACAAGAACAATTTCTACTGAAAACTGTATACATTTTGTATGTATGATTCACACAAGACACTGCGTATACAGTACTACATTGTGCAATCATAACAATGTCATGCTGTCAAAATCGAAACCCATTGTATAATCATGTGATCCCATAGACTTAGTACATGATTGCACTACATTATCACATCAGCCCACAAATATCAGGCAAACTGCAACATTGAGAGTATAAAGTTTGATAACGAAATGGCGAAGAGAACATACATTTATCTGCTATCGCATCAACAAACGCTTTCCCACTCGTCATTTTCGGTTTGTCACTTCAATGTTCTTGTGTCCACTTATCAAACTCTTGTCTCCACGCTGCTCATCTTTTCCTCGCCATGCGTCTATTGCTTGGATTTTCTGCCCACGACATCGTTCCACAGACGCCAGTTGCCGCGGAACTCGTTCGACTTACGGTATTCCGGGGACCCGCGAGGCTCAGGCAGTGAACGACTGAAAGCTTCGTTACGGCAGCCTTCATCGCAGAGAACGAACGGGGAGCACCCCTTTGCTGCTGTGGTGCAAACGTTTACGTTTTTGATTGACGCATCTAGCTGCTGCAGCATGTGCAGCGTACATACATGCACAAGTATGAACTTTTTTTCTTCCGAAATTTCTGAAAACCTATGCGGGCGGTGACGAGAAACATAGGAAAAACAAAGTGTGGCCTAATAGGACATAATCGTCACTTAGCACTGAAATGGATATGGGTTTTTTCTTACTCTGGTTTCTTTCAAAATCACTAGGACGAACTGAGCACATCCATCATATACTCTCAACACTATAGTCTGCAATTGCTTGTCCATTTTCAATTGCACACAGGCACACGTTCTGGACACAGCTCATGCTGGCAACACACACACACATATGCAGCAGCAACAACAGCATGTAAAACTCTGCTAGTCTGGGACGTTGACAAGTAGAGGATATATCTTTGCCGATGGCTAAGAGGTCCAGCAGTTTTTCGTTGTACAGTTCCAGCATGTAGACCGACACTTCAATTGAGAATTTCTTCCTGCAGTGCATGACAGCATTCAGACATAAGGCGCAAGGAAAGACACCCAAGAACACTGTCACGCATGTTGGGAATGTTGATGAACACTCCCCAGGACAGTTGGAGAGTTTCTTTTCGGATATTGACCAAAAAAGGATTCAGTGTTTTTAGTGGATAGTTGGTTATTTGATGATAGACACCTTCAGATTGCCTGTACTGATTGCAGTGCACTGCATATAAGTCCTTCACATCCCTACTAGTCTATGTAAAATACAAGGAGCCTCTACAACCCTACTTGATACATGTATCTACATGCTGTTGTTGGTTGACAGCATGTAACAAGGTGGAGGACCACCATGTTCGGAAACAATGACCTTTCTACAACCATCCACGGTTGGTAGAGCCCCGGTCGGTTGCGACCATCTGAACCGTATGGGTGTTAGCCCTGGTTCTGACCCTCATCAAGCGTGTATGCAGCAACCTTACTTGTTTTCTTCAATCAGGTCGTAGATTGACATGAACGCTCGTGGCGCAATGCCGCGCACTGGAGACTCCAAGCTGGTCTCTGCTCCGATCATTGTGTATCTACATGGCATACAAGTAACAGTAGCACACGGTGATTGTTAGCAAGCACAGCGCGCAACAGAGATGAACTTGGGACTTGGTTCCTCTACCACACTGTCGGGCTGTCACGACACTTGCAAATATTCGAAAACTTGTCTATAGGCTCCATTAATGTACAGTGCATTCATAATTTTTTTGGAACATCTGGCAAAGTTTTGAATCAATAAAGCAACAGACGTACTGGTCCAGAACTATTTGTTAATGGCCAATTGTGAGCTGCATTTCCGCGGCCAAAGTGAGGCTTGAAAACGGCCCGCATCTCAATTACTTGTGAATGGCCTGTTAAGACAGCTATAGACAATACATGTATTGTAGCTGGGAGCTGCAATACCTCGTCATCAGGCTTAGTAAGTAATTTAAGTTTCCCCAGTCCAATCCTTCCGGTGATTTCTAATGATAGAATCCACAAATTGAGAAAATTGAAGTCGGATTAGAACTGCCATTGCTCATCTAGCATACGGGGGACGTTTGTCCGTCTTCTTTCTGACTAGCGCAGTTTGTCCTCTACTTGAGCATTCCCTATTGCAGCACCAGGTTACTTACGTTTTTCCAGAGCCAGTCTGACCATATGCAAAGATGCATACATTGTAGCCGTCGAAAGCAGACTGTATGAGGTTCTGAGAAGAAAAAAACCCAAGTTTCGAAACACACACAGACACACACAGACACACAAAAACAGCCACGCACACACACACACACACGCACACGCACACGCACACACACACACACACAAACGCACGCGGACACCCATACACATACCCACACACACACAAACAAAAAAAACACTGGAATTATCATGAGAAGCATAATTCCCAACCAAAAGAACAATCCAGTTGGTAGGCTCTGGGTTTCCAGGTTGTAGCACTTCAACGGTGCTCGAACAGAGATAATTGCAGGATATTTGCTCAGGGAGCATTAAGATTAGGCCATTACACATACATGTATGCATATCGTCATGGTCACCCTTATGCTTCCTTTCAATCATAATTCAGAAAGTTGGTTAAGGAAAAGTGATCTGACGGTTTTCTAAGCAAGGAGGCCACTTTGTGTGTGACAATTGACAAAACTGTTTTGGTGTGGTGAGTGCATGTCAGACTTCAAACCTGATACACCACCAGCCATACTATAAAATACACCAGATATAGCCACGTTGGCCACACTTACGTTCGTGTCTTCAAAGACCTTCTCTTGCGAGTGTTCCGGTGTGAAGACCTGATCAAAGCTGAATTCCTTCAGACCACGCTGTGACTGAATGGTAATAGTGTACTCATCCGGTGAGCCTATCACACTATGGTTACCCTGGCAACAGACACACATCAGCATAATTACCTACTGTCAGAATAGACTATGGAAATTTGAGTTTTGCATACAGCAAAGAACACCACTGGAATTGCTCATGCACCTTCACAGCCCATGCTACTACACATGAAGAAAATCACACTCAGCGTAAGTTGCGGCAGCTCGAGAGAGTGCTCGATGCACCTAGGTACAGAGTCTTATAAAAGTATAGAGAAGGAAAAACAAAGCGTAGTTGTTGTTCGCAGATTACACGCGTTAGGGATCATCAGACTGCACTGTCCACGCTGTCCAATCATTCCTAACGCGTGAAACTCGGAGTAACAGCAACAATGCTTTGTTTTCCCTTCTCTATGCCTGTTGCTCTGAAAACGGCAGGCAATCAGCAATCAGCTCGTGCCTATATTGTCATTTTCGTCTAATCAAAGCATAACCCAGTGTTTCATTCTCACCCGATCTTTCTCGGACTTGCTGAGTGGCCTAGCGCGACAGTACACCCTGATCTTTCCTTTCATGTCTTCAATGATGTTGTAGTACTTCTTACGCAGGACCTAGTTGGGTTGGCAAGTGTACAGGCACAGATAGACAACACGGCAATAGACGATAAGAATGATCTGTTTGCAGTATTTATGATAGGCCTCTTTGGCAGTCAATTGTATGCAATTTGGAGCGACTCAAAATTACAACCCTTGCTCAAATAGAAGAGACACTACATGTTGGGTAGATGGACAAAGAACCTTTGGTCTACTTCTAACCGGCCACCAGACATGAGCGGAGGAGCCAGGGAGGTGACAATGCTGCCCATGCACTCGGTCCAGTCTCACCCTTTCATTGTTGTAGTTTTCGACTGCAGTTGCCAGCTCCTCATTCAGCTGTTTGACCTTCTCTTGTAGAGCCTTTGCTTTCTCCGCGTTCTCAACGGCCGCCTGGGAAACAAAAGTGCAGCAAAATCATGATTGTGTCTAGCATCGCCTATTGATCGAGGCAACGAATGCAAGCAAGCTAGGATGGTTGCAAAGCAATGCCTTTGGTGGAACGTCCTTTCCCCAGACCTGGTGATGATGGCTTGATGCTGTAGAGTGCTGTGAATAGTGCTGGAGAGATGGATGAATTATTCTAGAGCGTGTTGAAAGATGCCCGTACATAGCAGCTTACCTTTGCTTCAGTTCCCAATTTACCAATCTCGATTTTGAGTCTGGATATCTCATCATTAGCCTGCTGCAATTCCTGGAGTGGCAATGGAGTCAGTAGAAATAGTATGACAGCAGTGAGGATGGCAAACAAATTATCAATAATGATTACGACTGTAGGCGTGTTACTGTGTTAAGTGATGCTAGCTAAAGCCCGTTTCAAGGCTTATATCTTGCTCTGTTTGTACTGGAATCCGTAATCGAGGTATAGGCGGCAGTAATTCCGGGCACAATTTCCGAAAAGCAATGGGGGCTATAGCGCGACGATGCACTAAAGCAATGGGGGCTATAGCGCGACGATGCACTAAAGCAGCAAATGACTATGTTCATGTACCACTGTTTCTTCACTGGCACACACCTTGGCAGTCCGTTTCAAATCCTCTTCAGCCGTTTTATGTGCAGCAGTCTTTGCGTCTAGTTTCCGTTGCAGCTGCTCCACTTGCTTTGAAAGCTCTGAAAGCCAAAACCGTGGCACAGGGAAACGACATAAACAATGGGAGCAAGACCACAGGGGTTTTGTATAGCAATGCGATGTCTTGGTATCATCAACGTGTGTCAGCAGTACAATATCAAACAAGCATCTACCGGGTCAGGAAGTAAAATTGTTTGGAGCAGCGGCGACTCAGGGGGCCATGCACCACCAGCCCCCCCCCCCCCCCACACACACACAGTTTTCTCGAAAGGTCCATAATTACATTTCAGAGGTTCCAGCTCGATGCTCCAGTGTGTTAGGCCGTTCATCTCACATAATAAAACCCGAGATTTTTTAGTGACGTCAATAAACAAACACATCTTCGCGCCTTTATCCTCAGCTCCAACCTGACCCTCACTGGCCTTTTTTCTCTCGCTTTCGCTTTGTGTGGATGCCAAAAATTGTTCTCCTGGATCGAAATCCGTCTCTGGCCATGGCTACCTCCCCGTTGAACGTTGCTGATGGGCACCAATCCCCTGCTGCTACGCAGGATGTACCCGTGTTGAACATGGAAGTGGATGCGCCCCCGTTGCTGGGGTTGTCATCCTTGCCGAACGACCCAATGGCTGGTCTGGCACATACGAACTCTGTTTTTCCAGATGGAATTTCTGCAGGCGCATCCCCGGAGCTGGGACTGTCGCATCTGCCGGAAGGCCCATTGGCTGGCCAGGCAACTCCCTTGGCTCGCCCACTGTTCGATCCCAAGGGCGAGGAGGCTGCCACGAAAAGGCATTTGTATAAAGCCTCTCCAAAAGTGCAGAGCTATGTAGAGCAGTATTTCCGGACAATCCAAAGTGATGCTGTAGTAAAGGAGATGACCTCCAAGGACCCACGTCCCGATACCGCAGCATGTGTTGTGCCAACGGTGGACGACGCCGTTGCGTCTTGGCTCGGGGAGGAACTCCCGAAGACCATGGATAGTGGCCTGCACAAATTACAGCAGAATTTTTTGTCGGCGTGTGGCCCACTGACCCAACTCTGGGAAGACATTATCAGCAACGGGGACAGTATGGACGTTCCCACGGATGTAGTCCTGGATGCTGTTCAGCGATCACTGGTACTGTTGGGGCATGCCAATGCCCGGATGACTGCTCATCGCCGTGCCGCCATCTTGGAGGGTGCAGGGCACAAGGCACTGGCGAAGGATGCGAAGGAGCTGCCGCTGCCGAAGGAGGGCACCTCCTTGTTTGGTGACACATTTTACAAGGAACTGGAGCAGAAAGGCGAGGTGAGGAAAACCCTCGCCAAGTCCACGTCAGCTTGGACCAACACCCGCTGTGATCGGTTGCCGACCCACCATCGCTCTTCGTCAGAGGGTTTTTCCTCCAGGCCCTGGCAAAGCCGCCCCGGGGCGTATTCCCGCGCGAGCCGACCTGCTCCATACAGGCCTCAACGGCCCGAGTGGTCCCGTCCACCACAGCATCCCACAGGCGGTGCGAGCCGAGGACGTTCGGACTGGGATTATGTGGAGTAGACACTGCACAGTTCTCTGGTCATTCAACTCGATCTGCCGCTACGTCTGCTGCTCGCTCTTCTGGTGTCCCCATGGAAGTTGTGCTTGCCGCCGCTGATTGGAGTGGTCCCAGCACGTTTATTCGGCATTACTACCGGCCATCTGCAATGGCCCAGTTCACCCAAGCTGTCCTGAATGCTGATTGATCGCTCAGTCCGGACCGACTGCAGTGTCTGCCTCTTCAGACCGATGTTAGGTTTTGTTCACTTTGAATGACACACTGGAGCATCGAGCTGGAACCTCTGAAATGTAATCTGTAATTCTGCAAGAATTCTCTGAATTTGCAGTAGAATTATGGTTACATGAGGAGGTGAAAGCGAAGATGTGACAGTGTGTTCCCACCCATTCTATGATGAACGTTTCCGTTTCTACCCACCCTAGCTGTCACAGTTCCTAAGCAGTGGGTTGACTGTCTGCTCTAGTGATCCACATCTGTTGGATTGACCACTATTTTATGTGTTATTTGGCTGCGGTGCCGAATGAATAATACTTCCGTTTATCCCGTTATCCGTGTCATGTTTCCAAGGTGTGGACTGCACGCTTCCTATGGTATATGACTTTGTAGTGCCACCTGCCAATTCAAGTTGTATTCCATGAAATACTAGTTTTTCTGTCAGCTCGTTCAAAAGGCCAGTGAGGGTCAGGTTGGAGCTGAGGATAAAGGCGCGAAGATGTGTTTGTTTATTGACGTCACTAAAAAATCTCGGGTTTTATTATGTGAGATGAAAGGCCTAACACACTGTCACATCTTCGCTTTCACCTCCTCATGTAACCATAATTCTACTGCAAATTCAGAGAATTCTTGCAGAATTACAGATTATGGTTCATGAAAAACGTTGTAGAATTCCACAAACGCAAAATCATTACCCATATTTCTATAAACTGGAGTCACAAAGAAGAGGGATACTCTCTTGGACCTCACTATTTTCTGTTTGACTTGACAACATGCACTGGGAAGTGAAGAGGTCTTGGTCTGCTACTCAGGATCATCATATGGTAAGCGTGAGAAGACACAGCTCTTGATACATTGCCGGCATTTGTGGCTCTACATGCACTCCAGATGTTGAAGAAATCTGTGAGTCAGTACAATGGGCGTCGAACAGAGCACATTAGTCCTGTTTTGTGAACACTGGCTGTATCAAAATGACAGGACATCGTACACATATATGTATGTACCGTATTTTCCGGAGTATAGTGCGCACTTTAGATGTGCTATTTTAGGCCCTAAATCGCAGGTGCGCACTATGCTCCGAATATGAAATGCATGTACTTCAATGAAGATTGAAGTGCGCACCCCCAATGAAGATTGAAGTGCGCACCCCCAATGAAGATTGGGGGTGCGCGTTATACAAAGGTGCGCACTATACTTCGGAAATACGGTACGTACGTACGTACACACTCACAAGCCCCCCCCCCCCTCCCCTCCCCCAAACAAATACAAGCAAAACACTGAACTAAAGTTATAGCAACTGAAATCCAACCCCTGGAGCAGTGCGTTCACATTGCAAAGACCCAGCACGAGATTGTAACAGTATGAAATAAGGACAGCTAGAATCGGTGCTGCACTCGAGCACGAGAATCAGAGGTCGGATTTCACTTGCCGCCACAACAGTACATGGGCTTGTTACACACCCGCCCACAGACACACACACAGACACACACACAGACACACATACTCATAATTATTATAAATACACACATGTACACTACCTTTGTTCTCTTTTTCTTTCTTCTTGAGTTCTCGTTTCTGTAAAATAGTATTGCGACAGAGTAAGATACAAAAGGAAGGTTGTCAACGGTACTGGTCACACGTAATCTAGATACACAAGGAAGTTTGTCCACGGTACTGGTCACACGTAATCTAGATACACAAGGAAGTTTGTCAACGGTACTGGTCACACGTAATCTAGATACACAAGGAAGTTTGTCCACGGTACTGGTCACACGTAATCTAGATACACAAAGGAGTTTGTCCACGGTACTGGTCACACGTAATCTAGATACACAAAGGAAGTTTGTCAACGGTACTGGTCACACGTAATCTGTTTCCCATGGAGGAACAGAGGTTAGGAAATATAACGAGGTAGCTACAATGTAACTGCTACACATTCTCAGCCCGCCTATAAATCTTATGCTTCACATTCACACACGTACACCGATATTAGCTGTAGATGGTGGCATTGGGGAAAATGAACACTCACATCTTCCATTGAACCTCCGCCACCACCGGCACCGCCTCCAGCACGGCTGGCAGTGGTGAGCTCCTTGCCTAGCTGTTTGACCTTGGTGTTAAGTTCCTGGTGAGAGACAAGGACAACACATGAATCAGCCCAGTAAAGCACACTGCAGTAGTGGAAGAGAAGGCACTATTCACACGGTGCTCCGTAGCATATTTTTGACACAATACCTGAAGCACATGGCAGGCTTCAGGTTTGGTGAAAGGTGGTGAAGAGATAGAACACAGGCCATACAAAGGCAATCACTTCAGTTAGTCATAATTGAGTTCAGATTGCTTAAAACTTTGCAACAATGACCAACGAGTACTGATGCATTCGTTTTCCTATTATTCCACTGACCTGTACTTTGCCATTGGCTGTTTTCAGCTGCTTCTTCAACTCAGCTACATTGCCCGTCTCCTGGAGTTACCAGACAACAACAGATGGAAGTGTGCTGTATGTATTGACTTTTCCAAATCAAACCAATCGGTTAGATGCTCTTCACCACACAGATATCGAAATGAAAATGGGACACATACAACAGAGTCGAAAGGCTTTAACTTCAAGTGTCACACATTTTTAAATGAAAAAGAAGAAGAAAAAACACATCCCAACTTGAGAGAAGAATACATTGTGTTTCCAACAAGCCTGTCATAAACTAATCACAAAATCAGGCAGTATGGATATAGGCAAGCAATTCACCAGGATGAGTACGCAAATGAACTGTCTGCCTACCCCCTTGAACAATGGGGAAACATAATTATGATAAGGGCATGTGCATTTCCACCACCATATACCGTACTGGCAATATATGTTGCCGCAGTGAGGCCATGAAGCGTTACATTGGCACATGTTTGCCGCACGCAGGGCGTTACATGCAAAGTCGCACAGGAACCGTTACACAGGTTTCTATATTGCCGCAGTCCTTTTTTTGCTATTGCCGCATCACTTTTTTGCTATTGCCGCATCATTTTTTTGCTTTTGCCGCATCATTTTTTCTTTTCATCCACATTGAAGGCACAGAAATTCAGTTGCTATCCAACTGTTACAAACCCGACGGCAAAGGGCGACAACGATATCAATAGAAGACTGTTTATTTTAACTATCAGAGTGCAAAACGACCTCGGGAAAGAAGAAACCATTGTGATTGCCAACCACTGAATGATGCGCCTTCGAGTGTCAGGACTTTCTGCTGCGTCCAGTTTTGAACTTTTCACCACGCGGCACACGTGCTTTCACAGTTTTCAGCCTTTTTTTTGCAGTGCAAACTGCAATGAAAAGATCGCCGCACCCCGCCGGACGCGCGTTACGAACTCAACGAAAATTTGTCGCACTAGCCTGGTCGCGCGTTACGCCGCACCCCCCTGCGTTACGCGTTACGCGGCAACATATATTGCCAGTACGGTATTCTAATTTGAAGCTCAAGAGGTGCATAAGGGTTGTACCACAGCAATACTGACCTTGCCTCCAGCTTTGCCCGCTTGTCCACCTGCAGCTGCTGTCTTCTCCGCTGCCTGAGCACGCTTCTCCAGCTCTTTGATCTGCAGAGGAGAACATTAAATGCACCATCTTAAGGATACAGCATCTCCATCTCCTCTACAGGCAATGCATGCAAATATACGGGTAGATAAGACAAGCCGGTCTCCTAGAGCTCACCTTAGCCTCCAAAGCCTTGACCATCTTTGCTGAAGATGCTGATTGCTCTTCTTTCGCCGCTTTCAGCTTTGCCTTCAATGCACCGAGCTCCTTGTCCTTTTCTGAAGCAACGGATGCATGTAAAGCCTGCACCAGAGGAAAGGAAAGTTCCTCAATGCTGTCCCTACCTACAACTGGATAGTGCTACTGAGGCGGTGGGAGAAGACTTACAGGAAGCTGCAATGCGCTGACTGTCCCAGAAACCAATCACAAAGCACTACAACAATAATCCATCCATCTGCATGATGGCATTTCAGCACAATGATCCTATAGCAGGAAATGATGGGTGTAAATCATGCAGTATCCACTTCATCACTACTCAGAAAGACAGAACAGGATGGAAATAGGACATTGAAAGTCGCTGTGTTAGTATGCTGTTCTAGACTAAAGTGGTCTCCTATTGGGAAATGCCATGAACGTGTCCACGTATCAAACGCAATGCATAGGTTACATCAACTTTGATACGTACCCGGAATTCTTCAGTTGCCTTTTCAGCCTGCTTGACTCGGGTCTCCAGTTCGGTGACTTTAGACGCCTCCTTCAAGGTTTTGAGCTGCTCCTTGGACACTTGCTTGCGTTGGTCCTCCATCTCCTGCTCTAAGATAGCCTGCACCACACACAGGAAAAAATAGCGCCGGAAAAAGAATGTGAGTTTAATGTCACACATGCAGACTCTGCACAATCGTTTGGGAAGTCACTTGCGCCCGCCTATAATAATACTTCCATACCCATACCGGGGTGTTGATGTTGGATATGTCAGTGATGCATATTAACTAGCAATCAGGATATACATGATATAGAGGAGGACGTTGTTACGCTGTCATCACAATTCGTGAAAGTACCACATTTTGTGTATACAGTTGGTATCGGTTATAGCGTGGGTGTTTGAAAAACGACTTTCTATTCTTATTTCCGATATTTCTTACACACGATAAATCAAGTGTGGCATATCATATGCATGTGCGCAGGGGCAGGAAGATCATCGTTCAATGCAACGCAGTACTTCTGTCCATGTGGGTGGTCATAGTCCCATAAGCTTACATGTGGCTATGCAAAATGAGTTACATGGCCACAACAGTTGAATCTGCAGCACTACGACGCAACGAGAGTCACATCAGAACGGAATTTGACAGATGTTATTACTACAGGCGATACACTTTGTACTAATCTGGCATGTTTCGCTACACAAAGTCCATTCTTAGGACCGATATATTCTACTATGGGATAAAATTGCTTGTAAGAATAAATGTGCACTTGAAATCGATGTTATGATTATGAAAACATGAGGGTTCATTCTAGTAGGCAGTATATTCTTTTACACGACCACGCTATAACCGATACGCACTGTATATTCGCCATAAACGGGCGATTCAGCACCTTTTCTGGCTCTTTGCTACCTACTTCCATTCCACATTATGGAGAGTCAGCGTTACATCTCTGAAATTGAGTTTTGTGTACTATTCACATAGATGTAGCTTTGTGTTCCTTGTCACACTGTACATACCTCTCCCAGGCAAATACTAGATTGTATCAAACCTGGCGCAAAGCTCACAGTGCTTATCTCAGTAAGAGCACTCTGGCTTTGATGCTTTGAGTCGGTTCTAAAATGCTTGCTGGTCACTAGACGTCATTGTGACAGCGGTTCAGCGAGTCACTCCGAGTTCTGCGGATGACACCTTACAAGGTCGAAACAGCTAGCAGTCCGGGGATTGTATATCACACCTATTCAATTTGTGGATGGAAATTGATCTGCATTGGGTTCAATGGAACTGACCAGTTTGTCGCGATAACGCATGATTTCCTCGGCCGTGTCAACAGGAAGACCTTGTAGACGTTCTTCCTCCAGCTGCTTTAGCTGGTTCTGGATATCCTTCAAGCTCTGTGGATACACGACAAAACAGAAAACGATCATCATAGCATATACGTACACATGCACGGACATAACCCCCCCCCCCCCCCCATTTACACATGCACGGACATACCCCCCCCCCCCATTTACACATGCACGGACATACCCCCCCCCATTTACACATGCACTCCTCTCCCCCCCCCCCTCCCACACACACACACATATTCACACACACACACACACACACATCTGCACACCCAGGCATGCACGCCCACATAAACCAGTCGGGGAGATGTCCTATCTAGGACATCGCACTCTGAATGAGTCTGATTGGTTACCTGTCCCAGAGTTGTCATGGAAGCGTCGGTCGCGCACACGCGATGAAAAGAAGTGCTGCGTGAGCATTTCTGAATGTATGTGGAGGATGCACGATCGTAATGGCGATGGATTTCTTTCCGAATTGGTCAAGTTTGAAGGAATAGGCGGAGAATATCAGACATCGGCGGGGATTGAGGTAGTGTATATTCGATTCGCCATCGAACACCCGACCGAATGGCCGTTTTCGTTTGGGGATTTCATGTGGGGTTTCTCGTAGCCACGCGGCGCTTCTTCGGAAACGATTGGTTCTAATTATTTGAATGTTTTGCCTTTGGAATGTTTCTTCACGCCCCGTGCGTTCATTTCGCCCCAAACCTGGCCATGCAGAGGAGGAAGACGAGGCAGCAGGCGCTAGGCGCGTAAATCACTACCTGGAAGATATTATTTGGCCAAAGCTTGCTGTTGGCGTTTTTGATTTCTTGGATACGACAGCTCTTGGCTAAAACTGGACCTTGGACGGTCTTTCTTGGATATCAACCCAGGACGTGGTGGTCATGGACGTATCGCCATCGCTTTCAGCCAGGTCCTTCTGCTGCCTGAAACCAATGGCGAAAGTAAAAACTTTATCGCAGCAGCAGCTACTGCTCTGCTGAAAGTGCGAACACAAATTGCTTCGCCAATCCTCTTGTGCGCTTGCAATTTTCAATGCGACCAAAACGATTCGCTTGCCAGTTCCTTTGTCCAGGCGTCGTACTCCACAATGAGGAAAATAAAATTCGTGAAGGCAAGAGGCAAGATACGAATCTCGACTCGCTTGAGGCAAGCCGCCAGGAGAACGACAACTAATAAATTTTGAGACGAAAGGCCTTCGTTGCGCTTGTTTTGAGTGCGACATGTTCATCTTCCTCGGCCGCGACACAAAGTTTTGAGTCACGTGTCACGATTACCATGGGAACAGCATAGTATGTATGCTGGGCATGCTGGGTTCCGTGATGTCCTATCTAGGACATCTCCAGGACTGTAAACTCAGCAACCAAACTTACCAACTCCTTGGTTTTGATTTGCTCCTCCAGCTCAGCACGGACCAATTCCTCCTTCCGCTCTCCATCAGACTTGAGAGCAGCATTCTCATTGCGCAGATCCATAAGCTCCTGTATGCATAATCAAATTAATAGAAGCCACGGTGAATTCTGGCACTTTTGTGGCACATACCCATAGAATCACGTGAGCAGCTATGTTGTTGCTCCAGTCCGCAATACGAAAACATACTCGTAAGAGAAAACTATCCAAAATGGGCACAGTTGGCCTGGAGACTAAGTCGATATGCACATGTCGTGTTGTGCTACAGTCTGTATCACTATCATTATTAGACACCATCATTAGATGTATGTGCGCTGTGGGTACAGCATGCACAGCGTCAGGATGCACCAATATGCCAGGACATACATCAGTGACAGTGCGGGAAGGAATGGCGATGTGGATGAGCTGAGTTCAAGACAGGTGAAGTTCAATAATACTTTACCACTATACAATTTAGCACAATGTAGACTGTGCCATTTCACAACGTATTTGCAGAAGCACTGCGGGCAAAATACATGCACCTCCTCTCCCCGAACACGCACGTCTACGCCCGTTTGGGACTAACTTGATGTTCACATAGGAACATTACACTAACCACTTGAAGTTTGGACCGCTCCAGTTTCAGGTTATCCAACTCTTCATCCTTCTGTGCAATAATGCTCTCCAGACGAGTGATCTCTTCGGTCCCCGCCGCTGCCATCTCTACAAGTTTCTCAGCCTTGCTGGTTTTCTGTAACAAGGGGAAAATACAAGTATTTCAGCACCTGCTCTGCGCCTTTTTACTCCTCAGGGTACCTCAACTCAAACACTCTAAAATACGGTCTCTTTGTTGCATACGTCATTTAACCTGTTCAATTTTTGGGCATGGTTAATCGTCAGGGTGAAAACAGAACCCCCCCCCCCCCAAATAAATGATTTAAGAACTCAGATGGTGAGCCGAGGAAAAATTTGTAACATGGAACTCGATCGCATAACTTGTGCCCACAATTTCCATGCATGACTGATTTGTGAAGAATTAAAAGCACACTGTGTACAACCTCTCATCTCATAGATATGAGTCATAGATATGAGTCATTGATATGAGTCATAGATATGAGTCATAGATATGAGTCATAGATATGAGTCATAGATATGAGTCATAGATATGAGTCATAGATATGAGTCATAGATATGAGTCATAGATATGAGTCATAGATATGAGTCATAGATATGAGTCATAGATATGAGTCATAGATATGAGTCATAGATATGAGTCATAGATATGAGTCATAGATATGAGTCATAGATATGAGTCATAGATATGAGTCATAGATATGAGTCATAGATATGAGTCATAGATATGAGTCATAGATATGAGTCATAGATATGAGTCATAGATATGAGTCATAGATATGAGTCATAGATATGAGTCATAGATATGAGTCATAGATATGAGTCATAGATATGAGTCATAGATATGAGTCATAGATATGAGTCATAGATATGAGTCATAGATATGAGTCATTGACTGAGTGCCAGTCACAGAATGGCCTCACAGGCAACACATGCATATGGAACATATCCGGGTATACCGGTAAAACAATTTTTAAGAGTGTCGATCCTTTGGCTGAGAATGAAAGTAAAATTTAACGACGTCTGATGGGTGGTAGGCTAAACGTGGCTTTGTAGACTGAGCTAAAGTGAAAAGAAGCGCTGACGTGGGGAAATCATCCCGTACAGACGTACACTGGTGCTAACCGGCTTACCCTGCCTTTCTCCTTCTTTTTAGGCGTAGCCTCCTCGCCAGATTCACCATCAGAAGCACCGACATCAGCACGGCCTGCGTCCTCATCATCATCACCACTGTCCTCCTCGCTGCTGCTCTCTACTTCAGCTGCTGCAGTCACCTTGCGCTGTGTGTGCACGGCGCTAAGTGATTCTTCGGACAGGGTCAATCCTGCAGCAAATATTCCCAGAGTGCTACGCTAAACCCACATGGCTCTAGCAAAAGAGCAACATATGTTGCAGTAGTGTACATGAAGAAAGATTTTTGCGATAAAGACTAGAACTAGCAATGGGCGCTAGTTTTGGAGGAGAAAAATGGATGACGCACGCTGAATGGTCATATGTGAGAAACTCACCCAAATGATTGGCAACGTCCTCAGCGCTCTTGATATCCTCGACATTCTTCACTAGTTGCAGTGCTGCAATCCTGGATTCCAGCTGAAGCCGTCTGTTCTTGTTGTCTTTGTCCGAGTCTTGTGCTGCATCACCTGAGGAACCAGTCTCTGGATTTGATAGCTGATCCTGACAGGATGTTAGCTGGTCCGAGAGCTCGGAGCTTGAGGGAAAGTTTGCCCGCAGCACCTGTAGCATCTCGTGCAGACAGTGCAAAGCTGCGCCGTCCTGAGCGGAAGATTGTGCTGGCTGTGGTGCTTGGAGTTGCACTCTGGAAAACTGCTTCTTGAGTGTTGCTGGCGATGATGCTTCGGACAAGAGCAAGCGGATTGCTTCAGCCTCCATTAGGCATTGTGACGCTTTTGTACTGTAGGAAGAAATACAGCATCGTGCAGCACAGCTGAAAAGCTAGCAAAATGTTGACAAGATTTTTCTATCAAATGCAGAATGCATAGAGCACTTACGCGTCATTGGAGCTCTCGTCCAGGGCATCCTCCTTCGTTTTCAGTGTCTCGCGGAGTGTGTCCTTCTGCTCTGAGGACAAAGCGGGGAGCACGGCAGGGATGGCCGCTAGCTGTGCCTCTGCTGCCCTGACTTGCTCTTCATACTCTCCTATGTCAGCTCTGACCTGAAGATACCGTTGAAGCAGAAGAAATGACGTTAGACATACGCTGTACTAATGAGGAATAGAACAGGGACTTGGCCAGGACTACAAAGGGGAGGGGAGAGGAAGGGGTTGTTACATTGACACCATGGCTACTCTGACAGGAATTGCTGGCGAAATATTCTGATCTTATACGTAGACCAACTGAGTATTTTGCTCCTGCTCTCGTAGCAGTTGAGCACTCTTGTGTGCGGTAGTGCCTTTGCTGTTTGCGTTATGCAGAGTTTGAGCACTCTGGCAAGGTACGTTCGGGCCTGGTTTAAATCTGGCTTCGGAAAATATATTTTTCATTGCTACAGTCAGACCTCGCTTAACCGCACACATCTGTTTTCCACAAAAATATCCGGATAGGCGAGGTAACCGGATAACTGAACACACATACTGTATATGCATGTGGCATGTCAAAAGCAGTGACATCATACATACATGTAGACAGGTCCTATGCAGTACAACTAGCGTGCCCAGTATGTAAAACAAGAGAGAAAAATGACAAGCAACTGAGTGCTGTCCGCACACACCCAGCAGGTCAAGGATCTCATTTGCTTGTACAACTCCTTGATACTAGCTTCTGCAAGCGCTAGCCAGCCACATGCAACCGGATACGACGAAGCATTTTGTACACATTTTAACCAGTTTGTACACAAAATCATGCCCTGGTATGCGGATCGCGAGGTCCGGTTATGTTGTATGCATAACATATGCTGCACATCGGTAACCAGCGATTTTCTTCCGGATGGCGAGGGATCCGGATAAACGAGGACCGGATAAACGAGGTCTGACTGTATCAGGTTCAGCCTCATTTCCTCTGTGCTACACTGACGAGTCCACAAAGGACGAAACAGTTATGTCCGCAGATTGAGTATGTAGACCAACAGAAAGTTAGGAGCACTGAATGACTTATGCCTACCCAATAAATTCATAAAACACGATAGTGGAGTGTACATTCAGCTCTTGCACACATGATCAGTTCAAAAGGGCAGTGCAACCCTCTCAAAGGAGGCTGTTCCAAACTGAGAGTGGGTGGGAGAAGGGAGGGGCGGGGGGTAGCAAAACCAGTGCATGTGATCTTAGCTGCATCCCAGTGGGAGATCATGCACCATACTCTAGTCGTGTCATTTCCTTGTTATTCTAGCCGTGTGGTGTCCTTGCAAAATGGTTGCACGTGTTAAACGTTTAATTCATGGCACGTCTTTCCTACCTCGCCTGGTTCAGCAGAATCAGCAGAACCCACTAAGCGAGAAGAGGCGCGACCTTGCCTTGACATTGCACGTCTGCTAGGAGATGGTTGTACACGCCTTTGTAGAGGAAAATATGGCACAACACCCACACCACTCCAGAGTCAACACAACACAACACAACCCAACACGTACACATGTATATACAGGGGCGTCGGAAGGTATTTTAGTGTGGCACGGTCAGTCATCTGAAGTACAGTTTAGTCGTGGGGGAGGGATGGTTGAGCCGAAATTTTGGAAATTTAGAGCCTAGATCAGTGTATTTTATTGATTCACCTGGTACCTGGGGCAAAAAGTGGTACGGTCAATGCCGAAGTGACCGTACCGTGTCCGACGCCCCTGATCTATTCACAACCTTGTACTCGCTCCAGCAGCCTTTCTCCTAACTTTTCAACTCTCACAGAGTTTGTCCACTGACTCCATCTCTTTTCATTTGGTCAGAACAAGGCCAGTACATGCTCTTTACGTACGAGATATTCTTGATGCTTCCTTCAGCCGCCTTCAATCTGCTTTGCAGAGTGTCCAGACGAGTGTTGACGGCTCCATGGAGATCAGCCATCAAGTCCGTAGCTTTTCCACTGACGCCGCTGCAGTGAGTCTTGGCTGTTTTCTGCCAGTCAGCCTCGCAAGCTGCAAGATGCGTCTCATGCTCTTTTGCCTTCTCATCGATCTTGGTCTCAAGCAGAATGGCACTGGCAGCTACCTCCTTATTGTGCTGGGTGCGGAGACTTTCAATATCTGAGCAGAAAACATGATGCAATCGGTGGAATAAGCAAACAAAACCCAATGAAATGTTGCTACGCAAATACCGATAAAACACCTTAGATCACAATGGGATTCTCAGTGGTGGAAATCTGTAAATTGCATTGTGTAAGATTGCACTATTGCATGCGTACATCAGGTGTTTGTCTCTGCAATGGAGCTGGATACAAAATAACTGTCAGTTCATTTAGAAGAAAAACGGAGCTTAAAATGCATCTGTCGACATAGTGGTAAATGCACACCAGCCCACACAACACTTGCTATTTACCGTAGCCACCATTTCAATTCTATAATTATGATGCTGCATTGGAGTCTCCGCATCCCACTACTGCTTGTTAATTAAGTGATACGTTTAAGGGAGTGCAAATGGAAAAGTCTGTAGAAATGACCGCCTAGCTGCTAGTTTAGTTCTAACATTCTATTTAAAGTGAGAAATAGTTTGGCGGCATCTTGCAGCTTCATCCGTAGAGAGGAGTTGGGTGAAACGTGGTACGTAAAGGAATTGGTTCGGTTTGCAGTGTTTGGGAATGCCATTTCAAGCCAGTGAAAGTGTTACACCTTACCAGCAGCTCTCAGCTGCCTTTCAGCATTCAGTTGTTCAGTCATTTGCTGCTGGAGAGCCTCCTAGATTATTCAGACATGCACGCACATGCACGCACGCACATATAAGCACCCACCCACACATACACACATGCATAGAAACACAAAATTAGTGGCATATCAAGAAAAGCAAAGGAAAGCAAGGTAAGAAACATTAAGCAAGAAGAACAGGACAGCATGAACTGCACACAACTCATTCTACTTACACTGCAGCGCCACAAATACCATGCCAGTTTGGAGACAGCTCTTGCGTCATCATGAGCCAGTAAAATCTTATCAATCTACCCCGATATTCCTTGGTCTGGCACAAATATCATTACAAGGGTAGGTCAACTATACCTGCAATACTACCGGGAAGATTTACCTTCTCTGCTTGTAGCTGCTCAAACAGTTTCTTGATTTGTACTAAGAGGGACTGCTTTGTCTCTGCCAAGGCCTTGTTTCTTGCAACCAGATCCTGCAAACACATAGAATTATTATTTTTTTAATCCGAAGAGAACAAAGTGTAGACTATGCTAGGTATCTACAATGTCTCAATAATTTCATTGTCGACCATTTAACTATGCTGATCACGTGATTATAACGAAGATGCAGCATTCATCCAACCACATAATCATTCATGTCTTGTGCTCTCTTTCCATCCATAGGCATGGGAGAATGTTACCTGTTACCTGCTCATAAGTGGACATCACAATTATAGCATTCCTATAAAAGATCAGAATTTCCATTGCTCCTTTGACATGTCAAGGAAGCACAGATGTCTTACCTCAACCATTTTCCTCCATTCCTTTTCCTTCATTTTCTGCTCCTCTCGGGTCAGTGTCAAGACTTCGCGGAAGCGCACAATCTTCTGCCGGTGCTGATCCTTCAGCCGTCCCACAAAAGCTTCAAAGTATACCTGTAAAACATGGACGCCAATGACAGTGCTTCGTTCTCAAAACTTCAACATAAAAATAATTGCCAGTGGAGGCGCCATCATGGATAAAAAAGAAAGGACGAAATGTTATGAGTTATGACTAACTGCCCACCAGCGTAACCAGATCGTATGTAGTCAGCGAGTGCGAGTCTCAGAACTCCTTGTCAGTTTTGTGCCATTTTGTCGCACTCGGTGACAGTATATGATCTGGTTACGTTCGTTGGTGGACAGTTAGTCATAACTCGTAACATGTCGTCCTTTCCTTTTATTCAGGATTACTTTGGCTCAACATCCGAGTTAAAAAAGTTTTGTTTTTTCACGGCTGAGCGTAGCGAAAGAGTGCAAAAAACGTATTTTTCACTTACAAATATTTTCGTGCATTTGCTCTTGTTCTGCGCAACCGTTGAACCTGCCATCGTGGTCTTTGTTTTTCCTCGTGGTAGTTGAAGTTGCCCGCCCACCCACCCTGGTTTCATGGGAGTCGTCTGCTGTTCTTCTTGACAATCTATGCCTATGTGTGTGGCTCATGGCCAGCAATCAAGGACATCTGAGAGTTGTAATTTTTGTACTCCTCCGAGGTGTGATTTTTGGCGTGCTGGGCCAAGCACAAGGAAGCCATCTGCAAAAAAACTGCAGAAAATGGTTGTTGTTTGATCCTTTGGTGTAATCTTTGTTTCTAGTCGAAGCTAGTTGCTGTTTGGAGCAGAAACGCTGAAATTGACTATTTTCTGCATGTACTCATACATGTACTCATGTACTCAGGCATGCAGTCTCACTCGTATTTTAGCTATTTTTCTGGAATGGATGCTGCTCTGCGCCCCTTGGTGAACATTTCCTGCGCTCGTGGAGCAGCTGAAAAGGACCACTGGTATGTCTGGTTCCTGGTTTGAAAGTGGAGAGTCGACTTTTGTGCCTTGAAAAAGGAGTAGAGAGCGATAAAGGTACGTCTGTGGCTGATTTTTGAGTGCTCCTCGTACATTTTTGATCGTGATAGAAATTCTCAGACCAAAGTCAGACCAAAGTCAGCGCGATGATGGTCGTACAGTTTTCTTGTGAATTTTTTAGTTGTTTCATCTCGTATCTATGTTAGTATCGTGATGGTGAAGTGGAGAGGGTGATTTTCTTCCTCTAGGCTTCGTTCGGCCGACTTTGCTTCGTCCTCGTTGAAAAGTGATCCTGAAAAAAAGGTCGATTCGCAAAATTATGTTGATTTTCAATGTACGAGATGACATGCGATTGCTGGCTATGTTATGATTATGACATACACCGGTTATTGCATACCATTTCTTGCTATCTCTATTCTTGGGTCCGACTGGCAGCGGGGCAGGAATTAATGAAATAGAAATGTTTTTTGGCCGAAAGGCGTGTTTCCCTCTAGCCCGGTTGAGCGGTCGCGGCTAGGAATGTAGGGAGTCATTGTTTTTCAGGCGCTCCCCCCTGCTGCCCAGTCACCCATGCTCACCACTGGCCATGCTGTTTCACTTGATTTCACGGCCTTTTCTCCCGCTTGCTGGCGGTTCTTTGATGGATTTAGATGTTTTTCGGCTATTTATCTATTATGTGGCTACGAGTGTGGTTTTTTGCTTCTACTCATTTCTGGAAAACCACCACGGTGGTGAGTGTGATTGCTCTGGTAGACCACTACCCCATGTACTGAACAGTCGCTTTGTGAGTGAAAAATGATAATTATTCTTTTTCAAACGAGTAGTTCGTTAGAGACAAGGTGCCAGAGGAGGCTAGGAAAGCTATGGAATTGGGCCCAAAGTTTGTTCCCCTCAAGAGAGTAACACAGGATATATCTGGGTCCAAGTTTATACCAGGCAGGTAGCAAAGCAAGCTTGGACCCAGATGATGTACAGATCATCAGTTGTCTGAGGATTGCCTTAGCTTTGCTATGTGAATGAAACGCAGCGTTACAACAATGACCTAGCCGGTTGTCTCTGTTCTCTTGTGCCTTTGTGAGACGCATAGTTAAATGGGTCAGTTGTTGCAGTATTCTACCCATTTGATAAGCACCGAAAATTGAACAAAGCGGCAACAGTTAGAGGCTAGGTACCTCAGTGTCCTCTTCAATGCGTCGATACGCGGAATCCATTTGCACGGCAATCTGGTTGTGCTTGGCTTTGACAGATTTCATCTTCAGTCCCATCTAAATAGAACAGTATGCAGATATGTACACACAACCGTTATGGTATGGACAAGATTATCTCTTGTGACAGACATCGATCTTAAGCATCGCACCTGTATTTTACAAGTAATGGCAAAATCCATTTCCTACAGATGGAATGGGTCAACAGGTGCCACAGCATGCAACCAAAGTAACCGATTCGTGGAAACCATTTGGTCGCAATGAAGATTAGTGCAGCTTGAGCGTACTGAAGAGCCACTGAAATCCGTGGATGAGTTTTACGAAAAAGTATTCAAGAAATCAGGCCGCAATAAGTGCTTCCAGAAATTCCGATTTCTCACGTTTAGATACGGATTTGTTGCTGTTCAGTTGGTGATATTTTTGTCTAAACGGATCACAAGATCTGAATTGATTGTGATACGATATTCAGAATATCGCAATGCCGGTGTTTCTCTAAACCCCAGGCTGTTTTCTAGAAAATGTATGTCCTTCGAAGTGCAGGTAGCAACCAACCTTGGTGTTGTGTATTCGGGGGGTAGAACATGTACAGGTATGAATATTGTAGAAAGGAAACCAATGAATCATAACACCGATGCGAGTGTCGTCGTGACATAGAAAATGCTACATTCCCCGCCGCTTGATGTGTTTCTCAACATGTCAGGTGATGCGGCCATGAATCTGGTTAACTTTACATATTGTTGCCCAATGAGTCCTGCCGTGCATGGATCTCAGCTTGCAATTGCTTACCTTGGAAATCCAATCTTGTGCAAGGCTGTACGGCACATATTGGATTACTTGCCCGGACAACTCCTCATCCTCATCCTCTGCTTCATCTTCCGACACGGCACCTTGGTTGCCTGAAGAAAATAATGCAAAGACACACAACCCGCTCTGTGAAAAGGAAAGTGGAAATCGGTAGCTCCTGGAAGTTCTGAAGCTAGCATCTATCTAGATGAATAATACAGCTCTATGAGGTAACTAGCAACAAACCATTGGTGGAGGGTCAGCAATCCCGATTATTTAGGTCACAATTGTTAGCTGCTTCGGCTAAACTAACTTTCACCAAGCACTCTGAGAAGACGGTCTTGTAGGTTCAGGAGTAGAATACTTTGCCAGGAGAACACAGCCACAACTATTAGTATTAGTATGGCAAGGTATGAATACCATAGCATGCGTTCTCCTGTTTCACCGCCCAATTCTCTACCGCTCTGCAGGTCAAGGACGGATGCACGACTTCTTGTCATGATGTTACTTGGGTTGCAGCTCAAACATACTGTGCACAGTGTCGGTGTGGACATCCTCGCCCTGATCTTCTTCAGCTGGTTGGATAGCTGGAGTGCCCTGCATGAAGCAGTAGACACACACATGCACACACAGCTCCACAGGATTATACTTTCAGAGAGCAATTTCAGGCAAAGAAATCCTTGGCAGCATACTATTCAGTAGGCCAAGAATTATAGAATGCCCGAATTTCGCTACCTGAAAGTATGCGACCTACCCCACCAGTTCAAAAATGTACATTGTCATTGTGCAACAATAGCCTAGAGGCCACTCCATCACTTCTCCTGCTGTGGTGGCAATAGTATTCAAGAGGCACTGTACTACATACTAGAAGGTGAGCATCTGTTCCCTCGCCCCCTAGGCTATATAGAGACCACAGGAATTTCCAGCACACATGGCAGTTTCTAGGCATCAGCAACAGACTAGATGAAATCAGTAGGTAGCACCAGATGAGCTTACCCTGCTCATAGACTTCTGATCATCCGTGACAAGATCCATTTGAGAAGCTGCAAAACAACCAGGAAATACGTGCAAACAACAGGATTGGAGAAGAGCTCCAAGTCAGTCTAAAAAAAGGAACAGTGATCTGAAGACAGTATCAGTGGGAGATACTGCATTAGAGAAACGAACAGGACTTAGGGACACCACTGGGAACCTAGCTCAAACGTTGATATCCCCGGAACTCTAGATTAGATTTTGTACCTGATTGAGCAGGGATGTTCAATTTGACTGTGATGAACTCAGTACAGCTTCAAATCTTCTCACCTGGTCCAGGCATTGGCGCAATTTTTCCACGAGTTTGCAGCCGGGAAAATATGCTGGTACTTTTTGGCCGTCCGGTTCCGGAGCTTGTTGGTCTCACGGGATCATCATTAACGACATCTAGATCATCTGCCGTACTGGATACAGTTGTCACTGGGGTTGGCAATGGACAGAGTAACAAAAGAACAGTCTTTTAAAGCATGAAAGGCTACACTGCCCCACAGACTTTACTGTAGCGCTGTAAAGTCTATGGGGCCAAAGGATGAGGAGGCTATAATTTCACCAAGCACAGTATACCGATGAATACGTATATAGGTGACTCAACTGTCGGAGCAATCACATCAGTTTTGCTATCGAAATACACTGCTCCTCAATGAAATCCGCTTGCATGAGTCAAGTACTTCCCGGGCGCTGTGCAGCCCTAGACCTGCATACAATGGGATCTGAACTGGAACAAGGCAAACTTGAATCACAGGATTGGTCTTCATTGAGCAGCACTGCACATTATGCACTGATCACACAGAAGCAAATTTTAACATTGGAATGTATGCAGGAATCAATACAGTCAGACCTCGTTTATCCGGTCCTCTTTTATCCGGATCCCTCGCCATCCGGAAGAAAATCGATGGTTACCGAATTACAGCATATGTCATGCATACATACAGTATGTGTGTTCGATTATCCGGTTCCCTCGCCTTTTCGGATATTTTTGTGGAAAACAGATGCGTGCGGTTATGCGAGGTCTGACTGTATTCACACAAGTCCATGCGTACACAATCTGTACTACTCTGGTTTGGTAATGGTAGAAAGACAAAACCAGCCGAGAGATAGCGATCTAATGATAACAGCGTGTGCTATACAAGACATGGATTATGTAAGGCGATGTGCACGTATACCTTGGCTCTTCATGGACATGTTGTCCACTGAGTCCATATCTGGCAGTTTACGCGTGTCCTGCACGGCTTCCGGCGCACCCCACGCCACTAAGCACAGGAGAAAAACACCAAGCAACAAGATCATGTTACCTGCACATGTTGCAAATTCAATTCATATCTGATTCCCACTTTCCAAAATACAGAACTGGCTTCCATGACATTGTGTGGGTACGCTAGATATTGAGCGTGTTCACAACGTCAAGGCCAAGTGTCCTTCGACACCGAAAGTGTCAACGGGTCCGGACTTCACTTGCCGACGGGTGTAGAAAGGGAATTGGTACATGCTGTCCCCGGGGAAAATCGCGATTCCGCGGGCGCGTTTTTTGCGATTTTTTAAAAGATCGCGTTTTCCGCGATTTTCCCGCGTTTTGAACTTTTTTGTTGCACTACACGTACAGTCAACTTCGCGAATAACGACTGTGGATATAACGACAATTCGCGAATAACGACCAAATTTCCATGCCCAGAGCAAAGACCCATCTAACTGTATACATTTAACTTCGGATATAACGACTATCTGAATAACGACAATTCGCGTATAGCGACATGCTTTTAGTGCCCCCAGGTCATATTCACTGCTTGAATAACGACTTTCTGGGCTTTTGACAGCTATTTCAAGTACCTGTCATGCAGAAGTACCAGAACCTATGGTGATGGATATAAAGGCACACATGCAAGAAAATACAGCCAAGGGGGGGGGGGGCTTTTTCTTCCTTTTTTATGTTGGCTTCAAAATTGTTGGATTTACCAGCACACCTACATGACATGTATATGTATACAATGTACAGTGCGTATCGGTTATAGCGTGGTCGTGTAAAAGAATATACCGGTACTGCCTACAAGAATGAACGCTCATGTTTTCATAATCATAACATGGATTTCAAGTGCACATTTATTCTTACAAGCAATTTTGTCCCATAGTAGAATATATCGGTCCTAAGAATGGACTTTGTGTCCCGAAACATGCCAGATTAGTACAAAGTGTATCGCCTGTAGTAATTACATCTGTCCATTTCCGTTCTGATCTGACTCTCGTTGCGTCGTATTGCTGCAGATTCCAATGTTGTGGTCATGTAACCCATGTTGCATAGCCACATGGTAAGCCTATGGGACTATGACCAGCCACATGCACAGAAGTACTGCGTTGCATGTACGATGATCTTCCTGCCCATGCGCACATGCATAATGATATGCCACACTTGATTTATCGTGTGTAAGAAATATCGGAAATAAGCATAGAAAGTCGTTTTCAAACACCCACGCTATAACCGATACCTACTGTACAAGTAGTTGTACAGTGGTCCCTCTATAATCCGGCACCATTTGTGCCACGAAAATCTGCTGGATTAGGGAGGGTGCTGGATTAACAAATCTGATTTACTGCTGCAATGTGCATGAAGAGGACATTTTGGCTACTGAAAATTGTGCTGGTTTATCGAGGGTGCTGGATTATAAAGTGCCGGATTAGAGAGGGACGACTGTACATGATTGTACAGTAATCATCATACATGTACATGTACATGTCTCTGGCCCTGTAGATGGCTCAAAAAGGCATATTTTTCAATTGATTTCCCTTGCATATTGAATTTTTAGTTCCTTTCACTGCAATATGAAAATAAAGTACACATTGACATAGAGCAAGAAAAGAGCTTCATTTTGATATGCATGTCATACTATACAAAATATGGGTTCACATACATTCAAATGGGACTTCGGTTATAAGGACACTTCGCGAATAAGGACACTTTTCTGATGCCCCGCCGAATGTCGTTATTGGCGAAGTTGACTGTACACACAGTGCACTGTTCGGTCAGCAACGTCTCATCATGGCGGCTTTGTACTCAAATATGACGAGTGCTTACACCAGAGACTTATTTCACTACAAAAAAAAAGAAATTGTACATACTCACTGAAAATTGCCTCATATCAACTGCAAACTTGCCGCATATCAATAATATTCACCGCATATTTACCGCATATTTACCGCAAATTATGCCATGTTATGCCGCGTTTTTGCGATTTTTCCGCGATTTTCCCCGGGGACAGTACATGTACATGTAATTCATGGCCGGGAGTCGTACCTAGAGTTTATTCGAAGCATCTCTTGCCTTGTAGACTCTACCAGCCTGGAGCAGTGGAACCAGCCCGCAGCCGCGAAACATGGATTCGGCAACACCTTTTGGAAGCCTACTTGGTTGATAGGCACGCTATGAGCTAGTCGCGCCGCCCCCCCCCGACCTGATTACCATTAATTTTACAATCACCGGGGTCATGATTGCAATCCTATGAAACACCCCCCCCCCCCAGATGTACTCACAAGACAGAAACGCCCACGATATTTGTTTGCTGTCAATAGTGTAGTTCATATTATTGCTTATCATGTGTAAAACAGGATGCTCGCACGTTGATAACATTCCCCAAGCACCTCTGGCATCCACAGTTCATTCAACTAATTACTTTGCAAAACACATTATTCTAGGATTCTTCCCTGACCATTCTAACGTTCAAACGTGCCATTATTTTTGATATTCTTGTCAAGATTTGAACCAATGCCCAAGCCAAGGAGCATTTCATTCATTCCTTCGCTATTCTCGTGTACTATTCGCCGCTTTAGGGAATCGGGACTGAGGGACACAGGTCCTTGTTCGCACCACAACGGTAGAAGGGCGCGATGTCCATCAGTCCTGAACATCAGTCTAAAACATGCGCTAGACGGCAACGACAACAAGACGTCAGGAGCATTTTGATAAAAGAATAATTTCTCCAAGCGTTTGGCACGCGCTTACTCTTCTTTGCGGTGGGTGGCCGTGCGAGCTCCTCCATTTCGTCTTGCTTGCGTTGTGAGTCAAACTAACATCGTCAAGACGCGCACGTATAGCTACCACATCGCGTCTGGCCTTCAGGAAGGACTACAGAGAGAGATACTGAGCCGGGAGAGAATACTGCCCGCTCCAGAGTTTTTTGGATTTCAGAATGACAGTTCGTCAGCCCAAACACTGCAGTCTGCAGTCTGAGTTGTTGTAGTCCTAGACAGCAAGGCGGAAAAACAGTGATAACATCATCCCTACTCGAAGTCACTGTCCCACTAGATTTGTAACCATGCTAACACTAGTCTGTCACTAGCACAAAGCCTCATCATCAGAGTCAAAGGCGAAGTAACACTACGCGCGTAACACTACAGTCTACACACAGTAACACACACACGCACACACACAAGTCACATGTATGTCGTGATCATGGTGACGACTAGGTTTACATGAAGGGCTTCATTGCAAAACGAGATAAATCCATTTTGACCAATTTTCAGGAGGAGCGATTTTCTGTGATCAACAACTGGGTGGGTTTGGGTCAAATCTAACTTAGCAGATGAGAAGAGTAGGGTGATGTATGCAAATACAGACTTTCTCAAAAATCAGGAGCCATCCATTTTCTCAAGCAAGGTGATTCTTCATTATTTTCGGGCAAAACCAGACCACGTCGCCGGACTAATCAGTATTATGAGATTAGAAAATGCAAGTGCAACGACTTCACTGAGTTGAGAACTCTGAAGGAGCTCACCAGCAACAGCACTGCCAGCAGCAGCGTCGTCCCTCCCTGACGCCTCCAGCATACTGCCCTTTTCAGTTTCGAAAGCGAAAAAACAACAGCTACGAAGAAGATGATACAAAAAGAACGAAATGACAACGTAGATGTAGCTGCTACAAAGCAACAACACGAAAACACTGTACTTTGAACTCTGACATCGACATTTTGCACAGACTCAGTTTGTAGTCGCGATGTTTGCCACGTGCTGCGCCAGCACTCGCTGGCTTGTCACAGGTCACGCTGGCCCGCGCGACAGGATATGTCGCACTTTGCTCGAAAACATCGGTGGTGTTTATCGCGTTTTGCAGTAGAACGTCAACTTCAACGTTGATTTTCAGTTGGATATGTCTCGTTTTGGAGAATTCTTTTTGGCCACCAGATGCAGTGATCCCTACTGATTCGATTGACACCGAAAACGCCATATGCATGAGATTGGCGTTTAGCGCGTTTTGCAATGAAGCCATTCACATGGTGATCTGGTGATACATTCTACAAGTCATTATTAATTTTTGTAGTCGAGATGCTAAGCTAAATCAGTAAATGCATGAGCGAGCAATTATATTTTGCGCGCATGGCGACATGGTACTACAGTCTACAGTATTACCACTACTCACTAGTACAAATGTAGTACTAGTAGTGACACTACCTGACTACTGGCACTAGTCGTAAAGTCTAGTGACTAGTGGATCTACTCCTACAGTATATTCTGGTCAGTTTTCTTGGCTTTCCTTTTTTACACGTGATGTAAAAAGCAGTTATTAGTAGGGCTCAAACGGTCACGGTTTTACCCCTAACGGTTAATTGCTAATCTAACGGTCGGTTTAACGGTTATAACCTATAAGCCACGGAAATCCTGCGGACTCTTTTTTAACCGTATATTTGACTATACTCATTCAAAAAAATGTACCCCATTCGGTACAACGCACACTTGTACATTCTCTTGCATGCTCATTCATACCAAGAGACCAGATATGACCGAGTTGACAGCCCAGAAATTGTGTACGCGTGCGACAGCCTGCGAAAATGCATACTTTGCAACGACCTGATACTTGAAAAAATTGACTGAAAAGTTACTGCGTAACCGTTATCTTTATCGGTTAACCGTTAATTCTTCTTTAACCGGTCTGCAACCGGTTAAGGAGGCTCCCACCTAAAGAAGTAAAAATAAAAGGTCCATGGACACCCTGTTTTTTATGCATAGAATGGTGGAGTGATGTCTCTTCTTCAATTTGGTATAGTTTTTAGGTAGGGTCACCAGGCATATAAGAGGTATTCTGGTGTATTTAGTGAGTGTACAATTTCTTGATTTTCGGCCAAAAAAATGGTAAAAATATTTGCTTTTTGACCCAAAGAAGCCTCCTAGAAGGAGGATACTAAGCATTTTCTTCATCATATGTTTAAGAACCACATTTGGAGGTATCTTGGCTACACAAGATAGACTGTGTCTTGGTTTTGCCCTTGGCGAGCCACTTTTTCGAAATTACGGGAACCGAAATTTCCATCGGGTGTTGAATTGTGAAATGGTTCAGCCTGCAACATTTTGTCCATGGACATATTGATTTTTGTGGCTTTCTGTGATCCTTGAGCCCCAAGGAAACCGATAATGGACAGTTTTGATGGTGTCACCAGGCACTTTAAGCCCCTACCAAACAATATAGGTATCGAAATATGGTATTTTTAGGCCAATTCTGAAAATAGCATTTTTAGAAAATCTGACCATTCTTGCCTTCTTGACTAAATATCACTACCAATGACATGGTAGTATGGTAATATTATTATAGAAGAAGTTATTTTCATGCTGCAACCTCCTTTGGACATACCAGACAGTCTGTGCTTGGAAAGGTACATGTATCATTACATGTATGTCATGTAGCCTTCAGTCCTAGCACATTGATATACGAGTAGTGTACATGTACATGTAAGGCAGCGAGGTTTCATAACAACCTCGACCATGAAACTGGCACATGAATAATGTGAAAGCAGGCATTCAAAATAAGGCACACTAAACACTCACTCGCGTGCGCACACACATAAACACCCACCCACATGCACGCACTCTCGTGCACGCATCATTGTAACACTACTAGTCCATAGTAGGACTTAGTCAGTTAGTGTAAATAAAAGCATGAAGACCAGCCACTGCACTGGGCATGCATTTGCTGGTTGTCACTAACTGTGACTTGCGTTGATAGCACCAGACTCCAGAAAAACATGGCATGAAGGGCAATATGCATCTACACACGCTGGCGTGCACACATACGATAAACATGTAGTGTACTGTCATGCTCTCTCGGCAATTCTTTTTGTGTCTCAAATACGGTTCACAAATGCGCATTCACATGCAACTCCTGTACTGTAATCCCATTACCACACTGTCCTTGCGGACACCAGAGAGGAGAGGCATACAGAACCAGCACCGTGAGCCCTCCCCCCCCCCCTTCCACGCCTAGCTTTGCACACGCGCGCACACATGCACGTGCATACACACATACATGTACACAGACATTTGCATGCACATGCACACAGTGCACTCGTGGGGACATGTGCATAACCCAGATCAACATTGCGTGCGAACCCACACATGCGGGCACGAGCACGCGCGCACACACACACGTGCGTACACACACACACTCATACACCTGCCCAACGCTGAAGCGAGGATAGCGAACAAACTACGTTAGACATAGCAACTTGTACTCGGATTACACCTTTCAACAGCTTGCACATACACACACGCGCGCGCATGCGCGCGTACACACACACACACTCGCGCGCGCGTACACACACACACATACACTCGCGCGCACGCGTACACGCGCGCGCGTACACACACACACAAACGCATGTACTTGTGCATAGGAAAGGATTCAAAATAATCAACCACAGGCATTTACCCAATACACACCTGAGTGTGCACATCTTAGTTGTGGCATCCCCATTTTTACAAAAGCAGGATTTAGAAGCTCGTCCCTGGTTCAGAACACAAGCTTCTGGCCAGCGTTTTCCTTGCACCATCAGTGCAGTACAGTGGTTGACACGAACCTCATTCCTACAGGGACAGTAGCCCAAGTTCAGCAGCTCTGAGATGCGTCGTCCACTGAGCTCAGGATACTCTAGGATCCACAGAAAGTTTCAAATGGTACTCGTGCGACTGGAGCTGCAAGTGGGTCCACTTACCAGCGAGTGGGCAGCCACTTCACGCTCCACAGGTAGTCCATGCTAAATTCCAGTACCAGTACTAGTATCACTACGTTCGACATCGATGTCTTCACTGACTTCAGCCTGCTTTTCTCACCCTTCTTCGTCAGTAATATATTAATATTTTGTTCTTCGTGGCCACATCGTACCGCTTCAACAAAGTTTTCACAAAAAAATCAAGCAGCGTAGGAACTGCCTTTGTTTTGCATTAGCCATGGCCAGTGATTCTTTCCAGCGTAGAAACAGCCACGGCTACAGAAACACTGCAACGAGTAGAACTACATCCTGGAACAACTGCGAGCACAGAGAAATCAAAAAACTTCTTTCTGAACAACAGCTTGTTTCCGCATGGAACACAACATTTTTTGAATCTCGCGGCAAAAAACAGATTTCGGAGGTGCCCTTTTTACACTGCGCTGCGCAACTGTTCGGAGCCTCCTTAATCGGATGAACCGTTTGAGCCCTAGAACTTATTAGCTAGGCATGCTGCCTATGCATCATGTTTGTACTTTGAAGTAGACATCAAGAACTGATGAGGCCTTGAAGGTCAAAAGAGTACTCACTGATCATAGCAACACATATCCAAAGTCATGTGCATGTACTTACATTAGCAGTTTAATAATAATAGTCAGTTCACAGGCACACCTCCTCGCTCTCTCGCCGTTGCATCTGCCGCCCAGTGATACATCATCAGGCATAGCGGTGTCCTGGCTAAGTTTCCCAAGCTGGCTGTGTTTATGGACACGTTTCATACCGCCAGTGGCAACGTCGATGTGCGAACTTGAGTGTAGATGCATCTGGTAGACTTGATCCGCACAGGGAGTCTTGTTATCTTCAGACACGCTGAAAATAATAAACTATATCAAGGCTGTGAAAAAGGAGGATAAAAAAAATGTTACGAGTTATGACTAACTGTCCACCAACGTAACCAGGTCTTATAGTCAGCAAGTGCGACAAAATGGCACAAAACTGACAAGGAGTACTGAGACATTCGCTGTACTAGGATTGTTGTTGTCCAGAATCTGTAAAGCGGCTAATACGCCCCTTCTTGATAGAAGCGTTACCTGTTTCCATCGGCAAATGGCTCTCTGAGTAACATCTCAAGTTAACACTAGCTACACTCACCAACAAAGCCATCGGTTAAAGTGCGATACATGTACTTTGTCACAGTTTTCAGTTGGGTGGGTGTCCGACAGTTGCAAGTCTCTCCAGAAGAGCGGCAACACATGTGAACACACATACTATGACTTATGTAAATCAACATTGCAATTGAGCAAGAAGACAGGCCTGCCAATAAAAAAATGCTCTGGCTTGTGTCGTGCGTACTATCTATTCATGAGCACATCCTAAATTAAATATAGATGAAAGGATTCAAGTTTTGATTCAAGTTTTGACGAGAGCTTCGTTTCTATAAAAATCACAGCGAATTACAGCGAACCGAATGAAGTCTCCATAATATTACGTCCCACTCAGTGAGTTGCGTAGACTGCAACACGGTAGGCTGCTGCTGTTGCCTGCACAAAGAGTTTGATAAACGAGTGCCTCGGACCTGGACTATCACCAAGCAAAGTGTTAGTCCATTCGGTAATGAACTACCTGCTGTCAAAATCCATGTTGCTCCAATCATCCAATCAATGCCTGCCAGTTTCGAATGTTTGGTTACAGTCGACCCAGCACTGCATCTCTAACGGTGACGGAAACCGCAATGGCCGGCGCGACCTTGAGAAACGTTGGCCACATACCGCGGAACAGACCAGGCGCGCCTTCCTGCTTCACCACATCGCGCAGCGCCAGCCAAGTATAGTGTGTGACGACCGCGCGCTTGGTTTGATTTGCCGCCGAGACGTCCGCAGCCTTGGTGACGACGTCGGCCTGCATTCGCCGTCGGATAAGATCCAGCGGATAGACGACGGTTTGAGCAGTCAAGCCCGCAGCGGCACCGCACGTCAGGAAGAACCCTACGCTGGGCTGGACGTTGCCGTACTCCATGGCGGACATCTTGATGACGTCGTACGTCGCCTGCTGGATGGCAACGAACGGCGCAACGGCCAACAGTGTTGGTCGGATGCCCTTCCACAAGCTGCCCGTGGAGTGGATGTGTTTGAGGGCACTTCCCATACTACGGTAGTGCGCGTCACCGCCGTTCACAGCAAGCCGCGTTCGCACCACGTCTAGAGGATATGTACAGCATGTTGCCGTGACACCTGCACAACCACCGGCAAGTGCACGCCACATGTACTCATAGCGATCCAGCTTGCCGTCGGACGGCAAATACTTTACGAGTGACGCGTACGTGAGGCATGCGATTCCGGCATGCGGAAACACGCGCACGCAGTTTGCTCCGTTTCCGGCCATCAGAGCCCTCCAGCCAAGCTCACTCTTTGCAGTGATCTGTCGCATTGCCGACAACACCCCGCTAACAGAGCGGCCGACCTGCGCTTCGATGCGAACACGTTCTAGCGGAGCGGTAAACGTCCTCGAGCACACTCCGCCTAAACCGCCCGCCAAGACGAACCTCCACAGGGGCATATTGCTTGGAGGTACGGGTACGCTCAGGTCACTGCCAATATCCACACCGCTCAACTGTAACCAGCGCTGCGATATGGTACGCAGGTCAGCCATCGGCACCGTGTCGAAGAACTTCTGAAACTCCTCAAACGATACCTCACCATCTTGGCTAATGTCCACCGATGACAGGAGCCGCGTTGCTTGTGCAGTTGTTAAATGTACATCCAGTTTTTCCAGAGCAGCTCGCAGTTCATGGACAGTAATACTTCCACTGTGGTCAGTGTCAAACTCGGAGAACGTGTTCCTAAGCGCTGCTTCATCAAAGAGCAAGCAAAACTCCTCGAAGTTTACATGCTTTGAACCATCCTTGTCGATCTTGCGCAGAACTGTTTGGAGCTCGCCATCGCTGACTGGATTTCCTAAATCTTTCAAAGCTGTGCTGAGCTCGGAGACACACAGCTCCCCGGAAGAATCGACGTCATGCTTCTGGAACGTTTCCCTTAGCTTTCCTCGCGTTTGATGCATTGCAGAATAAAAAGTTCATTCAAATTGAAAAGTACAATGTATCTCCACACGACAAAATGCTCTCGACAAATGAGGGTTGGATGATCGCAGCAGATAGTCTTTGGGTGCCGTTCTTCACCAGCTCGATCGTCATACTAGTGTAAGTCACTTCATATAATTCTTTACTAGCTATTGCCGTCAGTAGCAACTAGCACAATAGCAGCTACGAAGTACGAGACAGCGAAATACTGTCTATAGCAACAACCCCTGACTCGTCTGAGCGATCTTTCCTCGAAAAAAAATTCATAATAATTATAAATTTTTCCAATACAAACTTGTTCAAGCAAGACACTATCTTAGTGTAGATAGAGAATTACTAGAAGCCAAGATGGGATTAGGCTTGCTTCTGCAAGTAACAATAATATAAATTTTTGTGGTTGTCCATGCAGTGCTAGCTAAAAATATAGCTGCTGCTGAAAGTAAGTTAGTATGCACTTACAGGCTGTCATGCTCATAATCATCTGCAGCAGGAATGATAAAAGTAAAACTGGCGCAAGGCTGGCTAACTCGATCGTTCGAACTTTACTTTATTTTACGCGATCGGATTTCATGGCACTGTACTAGATCTGACATTTCCTGACTTGGTATTTCTTCAGTGCGCATGGGTGACTCAAGCCCATTATTTACGGCTTTACCTAGTCTCAAATGATCCTCACTGAATGGTCTCGATGCCGCGAGTGAGGAAACAGCTATGATTACCGTGAATCATGGCACTGACCAAAATTATTATTTCGAGCATGGCCCATCCTAAGGGTGAGGATTCACCTTGGGGATGGGCCATGAAAATGTAGATGATGTGTTAGCGGTACTAGGTGGCTCAAGCTGCCACTGGTTGTGTTTCTCAACACAATGATATAGGGCCGGTCGGGTAACAATATAACGCGAATGTGCAATTTTTTTAAATTTTTAAACTTTCCTAGGTGGCTGCAATGATTTTTGTTTATGGATGAAAAAACTTCAAGGGAAAGTATACCATGATTTCCCCGATTATAAGTCGCACCACCATTTTCAGGCTTGAGCAATATCGTTTTTATATATTCACTTCAGTAGTAAGTCATGCTTGATTGCAAGTCGCACCTCCTTTGTTGGGAATGAAGTTAGGTGTAAAAGGGTGCGACTTATCATTCGGGGAAATACGGTACCCTAAAATTAAATTTTCGCCAGTTGTAGTCTTCGGGGTGCTGAGTCGAATGGTCTTGCTCCGACTGAGTCCGAGAAAGCTGAGACGCTCCCCTCCTCCTTTTTTCCCCAATCGAACTCGCGCACTCACCGAATCTGGGTGACCCCCCCCCCCCCCTACTAGATGGGGATTTGTATGCAACTTGAAAAGTCACTAAAAGCCCCGTTTCCTTCTAAAAGCACCGTCACGGATGACCGTGATTGGTCCATATGTTGTAGTCTTTTGGACGCTGAGTAGACCGGTTTTGGTCCGAAAAGGCTGCGATGCAGCGCTCGGCCCTTATTCCCAATCGAACATGGGTGAGTAAGCGGTCACGTCCTCATGCGTACATCAGTCACGTGGTCACTGTGCCTGCAGGCTACAACTTGTACAGCGTTCCTGTCACTCGAGTTGAACCTTTGAGTTGAGCCTTGGTGTGAAATACCGATATTTATTTAGAAACGAAAACTAGTCATTTCTCTCAGTTAACCCCTTAACCCCCCCCCCCCCCCCTTCGTTCATCTTCGTCTCCGTCTCTTCGTCTACAATAAATGTCCTCCCAACTACCTGTTCCCGTCTGTTGTGTCTGGGAGTATGCTCCTCTTCGTACCCAACATCTATAACGTTCAAATGGTGAAGAGTTGCGTGCATGTATGCACTCTTGTTCACTTATCCACCCGTTTCCAAATATTCACGCAGTATGTGGAACTCCGCTCAAAGTACGAGAAAACGGGGATGGGATAGGGGAGAAGCTACCATGATCATGCTAATGTCGCCGTAGTAAGTAAAGGTTTTCTTAGAGAAATGACCGTACATGTACCTGCATGGCCACACCACAGTGTTCTAAAGATAACAGTTTCACATAATGGTTCGCCGCACCGTGGTATAGATATAGATAGTGCATCAACATCAAGTGGAATATCTATCAAAACCCGTTGACTAAGTGTCTCCAGCATCATCAGAATAAACTCAGCATTGCAATATGTTTTAAAATAAGAGGATCAGTCTAAGAAAGGGTTTGCTCCCCACACCGGAGCTCGCGCTATTCCTTTCTTACAAGTCATCGCCGAAGTCGCAACCACTACTTAGGATCAGTCTAGCCAAAGTATGATTTCATCTACCATGATATCCGACAGGAATTTGTGCGCATGAAAATTATATCAGCACAACGAAGGACAAAACAATAATATTGATTGATTTTGATAACAAGCTTCCTCCTCGGAGACAAATATGCTAGAGTGCTAGATTTTGATAAAAATAGGAATATCCTCTTGCATGCCTCACACAGAGGACTCTAGATGAGTATAGCTACGTGATTTGCAAGTGTAACTCACGGCCACAGATGTCGCCGCCGAGTTTTCAGAAAGAAACAGCGACGGCGGTTCAGAGCCTATCGTGAACCGTCTTACATGACCATTGGAGCTACTCCAAGTTCTGTTCATCGACTCATCATCATCGCAATTCGACAAGACTGTCGGTGCACACGTGGAAGCAATATCATGCGCTGCTTCAGTATCCACAGTGGACACGCCAGATCGCTGGGCATTTACAGCCTCTAAGCCTGGAGACGGACTCTCCCTGGGCAGGAGACACGCTACACGCGCCTCCATTGGCTTTGTCGCCTCCTTGCTTTTCCGCCTGTTCAAGGCAAGAATCCTGCCAGCATCAATGTTGGCACGTGACGAACTCCTGGACCGTCCAGTCGCGATGGAACTTCTCCTAGAGGCTTGCTTCCTGTCCGAGTAGATAGCATACAGCCGTGGAAAGAACAGAATTACAAGAATGGTATAGTGGTTCATGTTGAGAAGCAGGGCGCGCACCACCATCAGGATATCATCCGATAGGGCGAGCACGATGGGAAAGACGGAGACATGGAGCGCGACGAGGACGATGATCGTGTAGCACAGCAGCTCTGCCTCGCTGGGCAGACTGCTGTAGCCCTTCATCTCTCGACAGCAGAGGCGTAGCCGTCTGGTCTTCATCACCAGGCAGGTGACCAGCAGAAGCAGCGTAAGTCGCACGACATTCGCCATGACCGTGTGATCCTCCTGCTCCTGACAATAGACCTGCACCTGGATGACCGATGTGCCTGAAGATATGCTCGAGCTTGCATGCACGTTGTGAAATGCAACAGCGCTGGAAAAGCCCAGCAGCAGAAGGCCAGCACTGGCCAGGGCCGACTTGATTTGTAGGGGGAACGTGGCGGCCACATGCTGGGCTACGAAACGCAGCCCTCTGCCAATGTCTGTGCTGTTGTCGCACTCCACCACCAACCGCAGGGATCGGAGTAGAACGACAACCAAGGACATAAGTAGAACCATGTTCCGCATTACGAACATAACGGAACAGCTCAAATCGGCCGGCTCAATAAAGTGGAGGATTGCTGTCACTTGACCGAGCAACAAGATTCCCAGTGTCAACAAACTCAGTTCAAAGTTTGCGATGTCAACCACATCGGTACTGCGATACGTGTAGAGGAAGGCCGCTGTTATCAAAGTGAAAATGATTCCCAGGCATGAGAGCGTAACAATCAGTTTACCTGCCAGTGATGCATAGCCATAAAAGCGCTCCCACTGACTGATGCAGTGCGTTCGATTCAGCCCTGGTACAAGACCACTAGCACAGGTAACACACGTGTTATTCGCACTGTCACTGTATGTCCCGTCCGGACATGGCACACAAACCCAGCAGCATTGAGCCAGCGTGTAGCTAATCGCAACGTCCATGTAGCGTGCCCTTCGAACATGGCCACCATCGCACGGTCCAGAGCACGACGATTCCGGCACGCTGCTTGCGTTACCCGGCCAAATGTGTGTGTTTGTGGCGTCGGCATGGGTGTAGTTCCATGTTATTGTCACGTGACCGGCTCTCAGCTCACCTCTAGATTCCCAGTAGCCAATCTCCTCGAGCGTGTACGTGCTGTGGTTCCGCAGCATCACGGCATGGATGCTGAAGGCAGGTACAGTTTCCTGGTCCACTCCAAACACGGGCTTGCTCTGGCCGTTGTGCACGATGCTTACGTTTCTTAGTCGGCGCCGGAGCTCCCGACCGCTGGGCAGGGCAGCTGCAGGCTGCTGCTCGTGTTCCCTCACAACATTTTCAAGTACGTGGAGTGCGGAATGCGCAGCTAGCCACAGACTACCAGACGCAATCGGTGGTAGCATGGTATTCGTAAACACCTGGCCAGCAGTCTTGCTAGTTTCACACGCCGTGCAGTTGGTGGCCTTGCCGTTGAAATTTAGACAACATTCGAACTGCTGCTGCCACGCAACGCCTAACCAAGGGTTGTCACGTACAGTCTCCTTGCTCACTGTTAGCTTGTCCAAGTGCCGTTTCAGGCGTATCTCAAAATCCTTCGCCTCGGATAGGAAGTCATCGCACACTCTGAACAGAGGCCCGATGACTGTGTGACGTCCGAGGCACAAACCTTGATCTCTGCAAAGTCCAGGTGCCGGGATGATGTCTGCAGCTCTGCTTAGCCAAGCATCATCTGCCAACCAAATTATGTGTTTTAGCGACAGCTGCCGATGGAACTCTTTGTCTTCCTGCGCCATCTTCCTCAGCTCAGCAAAAAGATCCTGCACAAACAGATAGCCACCAATGAACACCACCACTAGTGGGGTGTTCAAGCCGGGTGCTGGTGGCGTGTCCACAAGCCGGTGGATGATGTAGCGGATCTTCTCCGTTTCAGAGCGCTGGAATTGTTCGTCGACTGCAATGCACGCCTGCAGGCTGTCTCCGCTTTCTCTTTCCATCGCAAGCGAGCGGAACACAGCGGCCATGTCTGATCCCCTTCCGGAGTCCCTACCATTGATCAGGGCAATGTAACGCCATCCGAAATGTCGGAGAATATCGGTGAGTGCGTGAGCGGCGTGAAAGTCTGGAGCTGTAGTTCTGAATAGGTAGGGGAACTCTTGCTTCCAGCGGAAATCGTCAGATGTTGACCAGTAGGAGATGTGTGGTACTTGCAGCACGCTCAGAGCGGATGACACTACGCCGACTTCGGAGCTCAGCGCCGGCCCCATGACCACACCAATGTACGGCGTACGCTGACTGCGCATTGTCGGGTCTGTGCTCGAGGTGTTCGAATGATAGCGTGGGCATCCGTCGCAGCGCCGATTGGCTTGTGCCTGGCACATGGTAGATGAATACGCCGCGGCCGGCATTCCACATGTGTCGTGCATCTCGATACCGACCAGCACCTTGGCGAATAGCGGGCTCCGTAGCACGGCCTCATCAACAAGCAGCTTCATCGCCTCCACGAGCTGCACCATCATCTTTCCTCTGGCTATACGGCACGCGGATGGGTCTGGCGCAGCATCGTGCGAATTGTACAGCGGTAGCAGGCCAATATTGAGTAGTGGCAATGCTGACTGATCACGCAATGTTCCGCCGTACCTTTCCCGAGGTGCGTACGCAAAGCACTGAATTCTCTCGGCAGGCCTGTTGAGCATGCTCAGAGTACGCTCCAAACTGTCAGGTTGGTCATTCCAGGGGCAGGGTGACAGCACTTTGGGCACCTCTTGTGTGAAACTTGGGCTGGACAAAAGCACCACGTACACGCAAAGACGGCAGAATGTTCCCCGGCTCCACGTGCGTTCTCTTCTCCGCGGACTTGCGGGGAGACGCTGTGCCTGCATTGTTCACGGAACCGCTTCCCGGACCACCGCTAGCATGTCAATCGGAAAATGTTGCTGCTGCCTCGCTAACACACGCGCTTACAAGAACACTACTAAATCGTTCCGTCCACAAAATAATGCTGCTGCAAAACAATGGATTTCATGCCATCTTTCAGGTGATTCCCCGTGAAGCTAATCAGTAATCGATCACGAGGTATTTGCTGACAGAAAAACAGCAGAGGCAGAGAAATAATTCGAATGTCGTGGATTGGTACATGGTGGCTCTTTCGCGGAGAAAGGATCATCCACGGTATTATTAGTTTGGCTCTGCAGGATTCTGCGATCGTATCCGCGGCGCGGGTCTGGGGTTACTCCAACTCCAAGAAACATGCCGCTCGTGGCCACACACACCTGACACACACCAGTCATCATGCATATGCGGAAACCTGGAAACAGGAAACAGCCGGCTACCATGCATTAGGCATTACGAGACGCGTTGATCTACTGACTGTGCATGTGACGTACATAGCCTATGATGTAGTGACAGTCTGTATTGATCTGCAGTGTATGTAGAGTCTGAGTGTGACCCAGGCCGGGGCCAGGGTTTTTTTTGTAGGTCTACCCTGCAGCCTGGTACATGGTCGACATGGTCTACGATAGTCGATATGGCCATACTACTACTAGCAAGAGTACTATGGGTTATGTACTGAGTACGCAAGCTCACGTTAACGCCGAGACCATAGCCTCGGTGTTGTGGGCTTGCCTCACCAGCACAGGCTTGCTTTGCAGCCCCTACTCTCCCTGCTGTTTTGTCATTGTATTCTGTTGTCTTCTCCCCTTCTGACGAGTAGGTTGTGTACTTAGTAAAAAAAAAAAAAAAAAAAAAAAAACTCTTGCTACTACTACAGCTGGCCGTAGATCTACACAATCGTCATGGTAGTACAGGGAGTCTGTCAGGCACAGGCGGCAGAACTGACTCAGTGACTGGCACTTGACAGTCACGTCATGCGTCAGCCTGGTCTTGACGTCACGTCAGGACAGTAGTCGACTAGACCATGCATGGCAGACCTACAAATTTTCAAAGCTAAAACTAGTAGTAAAAGTAAAAGGACGTGGATCTGCCGGCGGTAGATCATGGTACATGTAGGTCTACACAATCATACTGGACGTGCAAGAGCACGGTCAGGCACCGACATTGCGACATAACCAGACCTGATGTCACTTGTCAGGCGCTAGGAAGTAGGATAGGCAGAAGCTCCCTTACATGCACATCCGCATTATCTGCTCGTGATGATGCAGATCTTCTTGGCAAGTGACGTTAGTTTCGTGCCTTTCAGCCAGTGCAGCCTGAAACAGGTGCCTCATTCTGTTGTGACGTTATGTTGTACTTCAACTTAAATCTTTACTTACTTGTCCAAGTCTGTTTTGTCACACTGATGTCATCATGTGCCATGTGCCATGAAACATAATGGCTTGTGCAAGTTGTGGTGTTTCCGATATCAGTGAACGGTGGTGAATCACTGAATCACCATGATCATTGATCACTGATATGAGAGGCATTTGATTTGACAGAAGTCTTTGATAGGACCACTATGACCATGGCATGAGCCTGCCACGCCCACGGACACGCAAGGTGTGCATTGAACCTTGATTACCATACAAGCACTGCCTGTCTGTGAAGCAGTACTCTTCATCAAAGGTCTATTCACACTGGTCCATGATGAAATAGATAATCCACTAGCCATTGGGTCGTGAAACTAGCTACTCCTAGTTCTAGTACATGTAGTACAATCATGTACTTTGAAAAGGTTTTCAGTAAGCTCCTATGCAATCATGTACTCCATAGCCTAGGCAGCTGCGACAGCATCATGACCTGCAAAACCGGAGAAAATCTTGCTGTCTATTTCTTGCTTTTTTTCTTCTCTTTTTTTCTCCATACAACTTACCAGTAGCTTGATTACACTGCCACTAGACATGACTGTCATAAGGCATGCTGTACTCAGGTTTCAACACCCTATTTTAGTGTTTTACAGTTCTATCAATCAAAACTATCGTATACATTGTACAAATGTCATGTTCATGTACATGTACATGTACATGACATTTGAACAATGTACGGTGTATGAGAACAGAACAACAAGGTGTATTGTGTATGGTGTAAGCGTGATTAGGACGTGTCAATCCGAGATCTATAGAAGATGTGCAGAACAGAACAACAAGGACAGTCAAGGCTTGTTTGCTGCGACTTGTTTGTTTGTTTTATTTTTACTCCACCAAGTGAACAGGCATTTCTGCCTTCTCACCAGGTCCGGAGACCTAGTTCCGACGAAATGATGAAGAGTGAATTCCAGTAAAAGTTTCATGCTATCGCAATCACCAGGTGTTGCCTGATGATTGCGAGAGCATGAAACTTGAAGTCGCAACAAACAAGCCTTGATTGTCCTTGTTGTTCTGTTCTGTATTACGCTCTGCCTCCACGGTGTTGAGCACTGTCAGCACACTGCATCGCAGCCTTTTCGGACCGAAACCAGTCGACTCAGCATCCAAAAGACTACAACACATGGGCCAATCGCGGTCATCCGTGCTTTTATAAGAACGAAATGGCGCTTTTAGTGACATTTTGCATACAAATCCCCATCTAGTAGGGCGCAGTCACCCAGTTTCGGTTGAAGTGCGCGAGTTCGATTGGGAATAAAGGAGGAAGGGAGCGTCTCAGCTTCCTCGGACCAAGACCATTCGACTCAGCACCCCGAAGACTACAACTGGTGAAAATATTAAAGGGGAAGTTAAGGCAAAAATTAAAATTTCACCAGTTGTAGTCTTCGGGGTGCTGAGTCGAATGGTCTTGGTCCGAGAAAGCGGAGACGCTCCCTTCCTACTTGAATCCCAATCGAACTCGCGCACTTCCACCGAAACTGGGTGACTGCGCCCTACGAGATGGGGATTTGTATGCAAAATGTCACTAAAAGGGCCGTTTCGTTCTTATAAAAGCACGGATCACCGCGATTGGCCCATATGTTATAGTCTTTTGGTCGCTGAGTCGACTGGTTTTGGTCCGAAAAGGCTGCGATGCAGCGTTCGCCCCTAATTCCCAATCGAACATGGTAGAACAAGCGGTCACGTGCTCCTGCGTACACCAGTCACCTGGTCACCGTGCCTGCAGGGTACAACTTACAGCCTGTTTTGACCTTTTTTGGATGCAGTCCTGTCACTCGAGTTGACCCTTGGTGTGAAAGTTCTCATGGTTTCATGCCAGTTCGCCGTCTCATTGCCCTCGGATCCAGACCTGCCACTTCCTTCTCGCAAACCGTTCCCATATCGCTTCCGTCGAGTTCCCTCTCAGTGCTGGGACTCTATGAACGCTGATTTCTCCTGCCACGACTGGTCGTTTCTTCAACCAGAAGGCTCTCCAACTGTTGACGCTGCGGTAGATCACTTTGCAGCCGTCCTTGAACGAGGGTTCCAACAGCACCTCTCTAACTTTGCTATCGGCTACAACAACCGGAAACATTCCAACCCAACATCCTCGACATCTAGTCCCCCATGGGTGACACGGTCCCTCGTATCTGAAGTGAAGCGCAAGCGTGATCTTTTCAGCATCTACAAGAAATTCCCAACGCCGGTTAACCGGGAGGCTTACCGAGTTCAACGCAACTTCGTCAAGCACCTTTCTCGTACCTCACACCGCTCCTTTCTAAACTCTCTTTCTGCAACACTCTCCTCCCCCGATCGCCCATCACTCCACCAATTCATTCGCAACCAGTGCCGCGGGACCTCCCGCGCGCCAATCCAGTACCTGACGGACTCCCATGGCAACCGCCAGCACGATGTGAAGGCGATTGCAGACACACTGAACAAGCAGTTTGTTTCATCCGGCATTCCGGAAGATCCGAATTGGGTCATTCCATCGCTGTCCCCAGCCCCTGAACTTAGCGCACCACTCACACGCGTCGTTACCACGACTGCTACCGTCTGTAAGCACCTCAAACTCCTGAAGAATTGTAAGTCCCCTGGCGAAGATGGCATACCCAATGAGGTTCTCAAATGGCTTGCGCCATCTCTGTCCTATCCCTTGTGCCTGCTCTTTAACATGTCATATCGTACAGGAGTATTTCCGTCCGTCTGGAAATCTGCTGTTATCGTCCCGATCTATAAGAAAGGCCAACGCTCTCAGGCTGGCAACTACAGACCAATCTCTCTCCTTCCCGCTGTGTCCAAGGTCTGTGAACGTATTTTCTTTGAGTCTCTGTACTGCCACGTCACCCCAGCGCTTTCACCATCTCAATCCGGTTTCTGCCGTGGAGACTCCACAACTTTCCAACTAACACGTCTAGTACAAGACATCTACACCCAGCGGAACCTCAGGCGGCATGTTGGCATCGTGTTCTTTGACCTAGCGAAAGCTTTCGACACCGTCTGGCATCGTGGTCTGCTTGCAAAGCTAGAGTCCGTCTTCTTGGTACACGGTCCAGCCCTGCAATGGCTCTCATCCTATCTTTCCTGCCGCCACCAGACTGTCAGAGTATCTACCTCCCTATCAGACCCATTACTAGTCGTGTCTGGGGTACCCCAGGGGTCCATACTTGGGCCGCTCCTATTTCTACTGTACGTTAAAGGGGAAGTATACCCTAAAATCAAATTTTCACCAGTTGTAGTCTTCGGGGTGCTGAGTCGAATGGTCTTGGTCCGAGGAAGCTGAGACGCTCCCTTCCTACTTGAATCCCAATCGAACTCGCGCACTTCCACCGAAACTGGGTGACTGCGCCCTACTAGATGGGGATTTGTATGCAAAATGTCACTAAAAGCGCCATTTCGTTCTTATAAAAGCACGGATGACCGCGATTGGCCCATATGTTGTAGTCTTTTGGACGCTGAGTCGACTGGTTTTGGTCCGAAAAGGCTGCGATGCAGCGTTCCTCCTTTATTCCCAATCGAACATGGTTGAAGAAGCGGTCACGTGCTCCTGCGTACACCAGTCACCTGGTCACCGTGCCTGCAGGGTACAACTTACTAGCGTGTTTGACCTTTTTTGGGTGCAGTCCTGTCACTCGAGTTGAACTCGAGTTGAACCTTGGTGTGAAAGTTGTCGCCTGCTGGCGCGGTGACCAGGTGATTTGGGCACCCAGGAGCACGTGACCACTTGTTCAACCATGTTCGATTGGGAATAAAGGAGGAACGCCGCATCGCAGCCTTTTCGGACCAAAACCAGTCGACTCAGCATCCAAAAGACTACAACATATGGGCCAATCGCGGTCATCCGTGCTTTTATAAGAACGAAATGGCGCTTTTAGTGACATTTTGCATACAAATCCCCATCTAGTAGGGCGCAGTCACCCAGTTTCGGTGGAAGTGCGCGAGTTCGATTGGGATTCAAGTAGGAAGGGAGCGTCGCAGCTTCCTCGGACCAAGACCATTCGACTCAGCACCCAGAAGACTACAACTGGTGAAAATTTGATTTTAGGGTATACTTCCCCTTTAATGACTTGCCAGCCCTTGTACCAAATGCAAGTCTTTTTGCTGACGACACTGCTCTGATGTGCTCCGACAGCTCGGCAGACAACCTCACGGCCTCCATGCAGTCCGGGGTCAACGCTACAGTAACATGGATGGAAACCTGGAAACTGAAGCCTAACCTCGCCAAAACCGAGGCCATGTTCTTCTCTCCCTCGCCCCCCACTCAACTTCTGTATTTTCCTGGTCTAAATAGTACACCTATTAAAGTTGTTACGAGCACAAGCACCTGGGCGTTATTCTCGACCGCCAACTCTCCTGGTCTCCACAAGTCCAGTCTGTGTGCAAGCGTGCGAGTGCGTCCTTAGGTATGCTACAACCCCACTGCCAACACTTGAATGATAACTGCAGAAAATTGTTCTTTAAGTCGTACATTTTGCCTATATTTGACTATTGCGATATAGCTTGGTGCGGGTTGTCTCAGACTTTACTCCACAGACTGGAGGTACATCAACGCTTGCTTCTGAAAATTCTGTTTCGAAAAGACCAAACATTTGCCTCCCTTTGTCTTTATAAACTTGCTTCCACGCACCCTCTTCTTGCCCGACATCAGCAGCATCTTTGTATCCTTGTGCAAAAAATCTTCCTAGCCCAAGTCCCGAAACATATTGCCAAGTACAACTGGTTTGTTACCACTAGACCAACACGCAATGCCTTATCACTGCCCCGAGCTAGTTCCTCTCTGTTTTTGAAATCCCCTTTCTTCTCAGCATACTCCCTTTGGTCTAACCTGCCTACTAGCATTAAGACATGCCAGGATATCAGGAAATTCACAGTCCAGCTTTCCACACTGTCTCATCCGAAGTGATCCCATGTATTATTAATGTGCCTCCCTTTCTTTTTTTCTCTCCCTATCTCCTTTCCCTCTCTGACAGCATCTTTCTTTTCTTTTTTCCCTTTTAGCTTGCCGTGGTTGGCTATCACCTGACCTCTCATGTTTATTGGCAGTCTTCGGACGGGCCAGGAGATGTTGAATAAATAAATAAATAAATAAGTTGTCGCCTGCTGGCGTGGTGACCAGGTGATTTTGGCACCCAGGAGCACGTGACCGCTTGTTCAACCATGTTCGATTGGGAATAAAGGAGGAACGCTGCATCGCAGCCTTTTCGGACCAAAACCAGTCGACTCAGCGTCCAAAAGACTACAACATATGGGCCAATCGCGGTCATCCGTGCTTTTATAAGAACGAAATGGCGCTTTTAGTGACATTTTGCATACAAATCCCCATCTAGTAGGGCGCAGTCACCCAGTTTCGGTGGAAGTGCGCGAGTTCGATTGGGATTCAAGTAGGAAGGGAGCGTCTCAGCTTTCTCGGACCAAGACCATTCGACTCAGCACCCCGAAGACTACAACTGGTGAAATTTTAATTTTTGCCTTAACTTCCCCTTTAATTAATTATTGGTACATTTCGATTCTGTCCTCGAAAGAGTGTGAGGATTTAGAGCACGTTGTACAGTGATGAAGTACGCAAAAGCCCGAAATCGCTCCAATAGCAATGCTTCGAGTCGACACGGCCACACTGATACACTGATGCTCTAGTCTGAGCCTATTCAGTGATGAGACCTGAGAAGATCGAAACAGTTTGCTGTCCGGAGATCTAGCGACTTCGAGTAAATCCATAGAATGATGGCTATACTGCATACCGGTATGTGTTTGTGTGCATCGTTTGAAACTTGAAACATCAGTCACTCTACCATTCCCATGGCCCATGGCATGGGAATTGCCTTGGTCATCATGACTGCTGCCATGGCCAAGGTGCATCGACATTCCGGAATCTTTCTTCGTGCCTTGTCCTGTCTGACCTGTTCCGTCCCAAGCACACAGACAGCCACGAAGCTGGTCTCTCCCAAAGACAATAGCTCATCATGGGCATGAAGAAAATGCCTTTCCTACGTTAATTCGCAGCACAAGGACAGCGTGTTCTCTGACTTATAAGTTATATCCTGAGCTTGACCTTTGGCTTTGGACGGATCTTGAGAACGAGGTGGCCGAGGGAAGTGCCGGAGGTCAGCACCAAGTACACAATATTGGTGTACCTGGTACAAATACTCTGCCCGCGTTGGACTTGGAGGCAAATGCATACTGTAGCTGGGGAGATAGTCCTTCCTGTGCTGTTTTGTTTTAGTTGTGTAGGACATCTGGAAGTCGCCCGAAGACCAGAGGCACTGGATGCGGTCGAATGCCAGTCTACTACATCATACGATGTTATCTCCCTGCAGCTGGCTAGCTTGCATGAATGTCAGCCTGTCGATGTCGATGCCCTCCGTTGGTGATGTAAAGGGGGCTGGCGTATCGTCGATTACCACTCGAGTTTCGGCTTGGGCTGGGAAATGGCAAGGGGAAGGCGACACCTTCAAAAGGAAAAAGCGGTACAGTATGAACTGTACTCCAGTGATATGCTGCTATAAAGCGTCCAATACACAACATTGTACTTTGAAGTTGTGAAACGTCACAGCTTGTGCAAGACACTGATCGCACATTACTACCAGACTGCTGATCCCACCACAGTAGGTACACATAATCATTGTAGAATCATGTCGTGGCAAGTAGGATGTAAACGCCGCATGTCGAATGGCCATGGCTATCACTTGTGCTTGTAGATTGCTAGTGATAGAATGGTACAGGGCGCAAGTGCTAGGTGGCCCGGCGTAAGATCCATGGAGCTGTATTCCCGGTGCCGAAAGGCGGGCACACCATCCCTGAATAGCAACTTGCCCATGTCTAACCCGGGCAAGACGAAGTGAATACTGTAGTGCAAGTAGTACTGGCCGAAGTTCGATGGCAAGCTATCAAAATACATCAGAACCAGTAGTCTTCTATAGCCAAGACCTGCCAGGAAATAGGTGTCACAAAGAATACACAACTACTTGCTACGAGTAGGTGACGTGGCTGGAATCGTGCTGTGAAAGAAATAGGTGTCTGCAACTCAGCATAATTGTTCTTGGGATCTTCACACAGAAACACACCGTTAAGTCACACAGACAGGCAAACAGACAGACAGTAAACACACAGTTAGGTCACACCAACAGACAGACAGACAGCAAACACACACACACACACACACACACGCACGCACACACACACACACACACACACACACACACACACACACACACACACACACACACACACATATATGCATGCACACATCACAGTCGCACTGTAATCACGAGATTACGTTCCACGCCATGTTCCTGGTCATTTGTTTCGCTGGATAAAATCTGAACAATAAGTTATAAGAACTGCAAAAAAATATTTCATCCATGTACAAATCCATAGAAATACTCCTCTCATCCAGTGTAATTATAATCTTCAAATAACTCTGGGTTTTGCATGGACTTTATCAATAGTTCAGACATAATTTATCAGAAGTCAAAATCAAAGTGAATACTCAAACAATAGGTAGTCGTTGGATTGAGCGCTGGAAGCAAAAGGAGAATCAGTACTAAGAGTCACTGCAGGTAAAACTTTTCCATTGGCGTCATGGTGACCAAGGGTAATCGGACTTTCAGCTGCAGGTAGTCTAGCCGGGGTGGTGAAAGATGAGGCACGTCGTTGTGTGGGGCGCTTGAGCAGGCTCTGCGCTCTTCTGGAGAGAAGATCGACACTGATGAAACTGGTCTTTCTCAGAGCCTTCTTGGCACGTGTGCTACTGGCACTGTGTCCATTGTCTCTGAAGTCAATGGACTCAAGCGAGTCACCAAGCTCTTTGCACACACCGAGCGGACTTCCAGTCGATGCCTGGTTAAACGACCATTGGCGACGCTCCCAGTCTGGTGAGTTCAGGGTGACGAGCGACCTAGGCCGGGCATAGCGCATGTCTGCTTCGGAGGCAAAGTCGCGAGGTGTGCCGGGAGTGGAGAAGAAAATCGCGTAGATCCTAGGGAAGAAGAGAATGGTGAGAATGGCATCGTTGTGGATATTGATCAAAATGGCGAACATGATACGTCTGACAACTTCATCCGTCAACGAGGCGCCTAGAACGAGCGATGAATTCAGAATACATAGGACGATGGTCAGGTAACCGAGGAGAACGGCCTCGCTGTGCACGGTTCCGCGGTGCTCAAGCAACGAGAGCTTCAGCCGGCGTATCGCGTAGGCCAAGAAGAGCAAGCCGAACAGGATAGCCAGGGACAGCATACACGCAGGGACGGTATAGAACAACCACACTCTGCAGTAGCGGTGCAGCTCCACCTGCGATGCCATGGCCACCTCTCGCTCATGAGCCTTTACCGGCTCGATGATCACAACCAGGATGAGCAGGAGAAGCAGGCCCGAGCTCAGGACCACTAGCAATTTCATCTGCTTTGCGAATGTCTTGGCGACACGCCGCGAACGTGCTCGCAACTTCGGACCGATGCTGCGATACAACCGGCTGGAGGATATGACGCGCAGGTATCGGATCAAAATCGTGAATATTGAAGTCAGAAATATGGACGTGACCACCACAAAGGACACTGAGCAGTTGCGTATGTTTGGTTCGGTGAATATTAGGATTGTGCTTGATTTACCAAGAAAGACGAAGAGCAATGTCACCATGCTGAGTTGACAGTTGGCCATCTTGACAATGGGGCTAGCTCTCCAAGCAATGAGTATCACGGCCGTTATAATAGTACTCATCACGCCCACTCCAGTCAGGGTGAGTATGACTATCGCTGGCGTGGACGAGAACGTGTAGACATACTTCTCGAGTCGCACGCACTGCGACTGGTTGCGGTTGGCCGTGAAGCCATCGGCGCACGGCTGGCAAGCATCTCCCGTGCTATACTGGCGAGCCGGGCACACGACACAGATCCAGCAGCACCGCGCCAAGTTGTAGTGGATCTGATTGCCGTTGTAACTCTGCGTTTGCACTCTGCCGCCGCTGCACGGTTCAGAGCAGGTGGACGTAGGCGTCTCCGGACTGCCATTCGCCCATAGATGCAGACCGGCGGGCTTCGTCTTGTTCCACGTGATCGAAATGTAACCTTCGGCAGCGCCGGTGTCCGACGCCTCCCAGTTCCCAATCTCCAGCAGATGCCAAACCCCATCGTTCTGTGCCACAACAGCATTGATGCTATAGCTGGGCGCTATCTCCTGGCGTGCATGAAACACCTGGCATGTTGCGCTTCGCCCTTTGCCGTCTCGACACGCCAGAGTTATGTTCTGAATCAGCTGTCGCAGGGCGCGGCCGCTGGGGAACTCGTTCATCAGGTTCCGGCGAACAATGTCCGCTGCGATGTTCTCAAACATGCGAAACGCCGCTTGGACAGCTATCCACAGACTGCCAGATGATATGGGTGGCATAACGGGAGAACCGAATACATCGCCCACTGATTTGGATGTATCACAGCTCCGGCAATTCGGCACCTCGCCCCAGAAGTCAAGGCAGCAGTTGAAATACTTCTGCCAGGCAATAGCCAGCCATGGGTTCTTCACGACACTTTCCTCTGTGACGTGCAGACTGCCGAGGTGAGTGTGTAAACGTCGTGCGAAGTTGCGTGCGTCCTCGATGAACACCTGCGGCACGCGAAACAGCGGCCCAATGACGGTGTGATGGCCAAGACACTCCGACCGGTTCTGCACATCCTGGCAGAGATTGGGTGGGGGCAGGATTCTCGGAGCAGAGCCTAACCAGCCATCACTAGCAATCCAGACAAGGTGTTTACGGGCAAGCTGTGCCTGGAATACGCTACTTTCCGCCGCCATCTTCTTCATCTCAGCGAAGATTTCTTTAACGTATAGATAACCGCCGATGCATACCACCACTGTGGGTGTGTTGAACGGCGAATCATCTGCTCCCAGGACTAGCCTGCGTATGATGAAGCGGATCTTCTCTTTGTCCTGCCGGGTGAAACGTTCATCCATCGCCAAGCATATTGGGTGCTTGGAGATGACGGCACGGAACGTGTCCGCCGCATCAGCCCGTGCCGCAGGGTCCCGGCCGCGGAGTAATGCAACGTAGTGCCAACCATAGTGACGCAAGATGTCCGTGATGGCCACTGCCGCGTGCTGGTCGGTCGATGCCGTGCGGAAGAGGTACGGAAAGTCGAACTTGTCGATGAACTCGTCAGAAGTCGCCCAGTAGGAGATGTGCGGTACTTGGTAAACGCTCAGTGCGGAGGTAGCAGCATCCACGCCCTTGCTCAGGCCTGGTCCGATCAGGGCTCCGATGTGCGGTGGGCCCGTATCTAAACTGCACTGCGCTTGTGGGTTGACGACACCCGTGGCCAGTTCGCTGCGGCGTTTCTCATTACATAGTGTCTTCGCTTCGGTCGAATAACGGCCGATCATTCTCATTGCCCCATCATAAGTTGCAACCGCCAGTCCACACGAATCATGTATTTCAACCCCATGTAAGGTTTGTGCTAGGAGAGAGCTGTTCTGCAAAGCATCCTCTAGCAGTAGCTTCATGGCTTCAACCAGCTGTACCATGAGATGGAACCTGGGATTCGTACATTCATCTGGTTTCGCTGCCTCTGATGTAGGCCCATATAGTGGCATCAGAGCCACAGATAGCATGGTTGTACCCGCCGTAACCTGAGCGCGACTCAGCGGAGAGTATCCGTAGCATTTGAGACGTTTCCCCGGCATGTGCGGTTTCAGCAGCTCCGCTATTTCGCCGCTCGTACCAGGGTCAATGTTCCACATGCAGGGAAAAGTCCGTCTCTCGATGACCGAGTCGTCCCCAGTCAAATCAGGACTCCTCCGACTACGCTGAGATTGAGCGGCACTGACAGCGAGCTGAAGACTAAGCACGACGCATGCAGAATACACTATTAGCGACATAGGCCACGCGATTGACATCGCCATGGCTCACGTCCTCAAGCCCTATAAATAAATCGTCACAAATCTTCTTCATGGCATCAGCGCAGGGCTGGCTGTGATCCGAAATCTCCTTGCACTTGCAGTGCGGCGAAGCGCGAAGCAAACACGGTCCGGAGAACCTGATTTCCCTCCTGAAAATCCCAGGTCTAGGCTAGGACTAATTACTGAAGTCAGAGAGTAGATGTGATTAAACAGCTCTTGCTTCCGATTGACAGCTCGCGCGGTTTCGAACACCACCTCACCTGTCTCTCTCCCCACAGCACTCCACCTCCAGTGTTGCAGAAAAGAAATCCAGATGTGGGATTTTAATTTAGGACTCTACTCGAGTTGGATCTTCTCCGTGGGACACACTGTAGCTACTGGCATGGCCGGACAAACGGGACGCGGCACAGCTGCAACTGCATTATGTCGCATGTGTCGCTGAAGACTGTGAAGTAAAGCACTGAAGGTTCGAGTAGATCTACTACATTACAATCATGTAGATCTACATGTATACGCACAAATAAAAGGCAGCGACGGTGGTGTTATTGAGCGATCATTCATTCAACGGTTTTGCGTCATTGGTTGTGCAGCGCAGATGTACTCCGGCACTCACTTACTGTGTACAAAATGTAATGTAGATATCTACATTGTACATGACATGTTTACATGATTTATATACGGCATAAGTACAAATTTCAGTTTACGAAATCTTTCGTTAGATCACTCCACCATGTACAATGTAGATCTACCACTCAATTACCAGCAATAAAAATCAATATTTCGTTTTTGGTCGAAGTCTGTCACGTGCACCCCAACGTTCAGAAAAAAAACTTTAGTTTGATACAAACTACATGACTTGTACATGTACCGAAGGATGTACGAGTACTCGTACCCAGACTGCCAGAGTGCTGACAGTGCTCAACACCACAAAGCCAAAGGCAGAGCGTAATACACAACAGAAGGACAAGGACAATCAAGGCTTGTTTGCTGCTACTTCAAGTTTCATGCTCACGCAATCATCAGGCAACAAAGCAACAAGGCAACAAAGGTGTTGCCTGATGATTGCGTGAGCATGAAACTTGAAGTAGCAGCAAACAAGCCTTGATTGTCCTTGTCCTTCTGTTGTGTACAAACTACATGTACATGTATTTTGTGCCCCCTAACTCCAAACGAAACTAACAGTTACTAGTGCTTAGTCTTTGTACTTATGCAGTAGCCATTGTAAATGTACATGTACATGTACATGTAGGTCTACTCACGTACATGTACATGTACATGTGATGGTAGGAGTGGTCAATCCCCGACCCCCGGGCAGAATTTGTGCTTGTACGTTGTAGTGTGTATTGGAAAATTATTTTGTGTGGTCTGCATGGCAGCCAGCATATCAATTATCATTATGATTGCGTCCTGCACCCATTTACCGAATAATTATAATATTAATAAGGAGCTTTGGTGGATAGCGGCAGACAAGGTTGATAACTTGATATGAAGATTCACCGAACCTTCAATGTACCGATGTACATGTACATGTACATGTACATGACTACTACTTCGAAGTACATGATTGTATTGACAGGGTTGAGATCGGTCACTTTTTTGGCAACTTCATCTTTGACACCTCGGCGACTTCGCCCTCGCCCTCGGCCAGACGGATGATCGAACGACCAGTTTCGCATGCGGCTGCATGCACAATGTTTTCCAGGAATAGATTCCGAATACTAGTACTGTAGTGCCATCTTCGTGAACACTTTCCTTGGAGACAAGTACATGTACATGACATTGTACATGTACATGTACATGTACTTGTATGCTGCAATGCAAAGAAGGTCACCATGGTCACGCTTCAGGTTCTTGAACAAAACCTTGAATGTTTTCGCCAGTACACTTTCCAGCTTTCTCACAGAGTCACTGGCGTCAGGCGAAATACGGGCAAGAGCAAAATTGAACAAGGACAATGGATTTTATGCCAACTTCTAGTATTAGTACGAAATAGTCGTTGCGACTTCGGCAATGAGTATTAGGAAAGGTTTTCAGTGTGCTCACCGCACGAGTGGAAGGTTCGATGGACTTCTCCTGTGCTCTGGATGGCAGTCGTGAGTCAGTCAAGTGTCAAGTCAAGTCGACGGAATAGCGCGAGCTCCAGTGTGGGGACCAAACCCCTTCCTAACTTCTAGGTATGTACCCTTATCACTAGGGTCATGCACATGCAGTGTGGTTTCGGTTTTTCTGCATGACATCAGCACAGCACATACATAACTGATTGTACAATATCATGTTCATGTACAGTAAAACCTGTAACTAAAGACCACCGTGACTAGCGACCAGCCTGGTACTACACACCACTTCGCCAGGCACGGACAGTATCACATTCAACTATGGTTGTGCGTTGCAACCCTCTAACTAAGGACCACCTGCCACTAAAGACTGCTTTCTCTGGCCCCAAGGCAAGGGGTGGTCGTTAGTTACAGGTTTTACTCTACATGATGTAGAAATGAAACAGAACCCAGCAGCAAGATAACAATATTATTATGCAAATCGTTGCTTGTTGTACCCAATACAAACACTTCCGGTACCCTAGACGAGCATCTGAAACTCCAACGCCTAGCCTTTACTACTTTAGCCTGAGTGGGTGTTTGTCATAATTGCTTGACGCTAGTCTTCTCATTTTGTAACCGTGAACAGGCATGGGTGAACGCTAGAACTACAATAGTCATGTACATGTACATGTACATATCAACACAATTGTTTGACTATGTACATGGCATTGTACAGTGTACAATCATGTACATGTACATGTATATGGTAGGTCTACATGAACATTGTACATGTACATGTATGTTATCGCCGACAGCATGCTATCCAGCGAGAAGGCAATGATTTAAAAAAATATATACTGAATTGATAATGCTGAGAAAGGGTTTGCTCCCCACACTGGAGCTCGCACCTTTCCGCGGACGTGACTTTACACTTGACAGACTCACGACTGCCATTCGGAGAACACGAGAAGTCCATCAAACCTTCGACTCGGAAAACCTGCAAGAAAGCACCAGCCCCTGCTCAATATGCAATACACAGTGTTTCGAGAATTCAAATTGATAATGCATGGCATGATGTGAGAAACGTAATTAATAATAATTTTAAAAGAGATCGTACAAGAGACATGGCAGGCTTGATGACGTTCACCGTGGTGAAATATTTACTCAGAATCTTACCGCGATCGTACGAAGCAAGACCTTTATTCACAGAGAAGGAGGACAGAACATGCTAAACAAAATTAGCAAAATTTAATGTGAGACTAGTTTGACTAGCTACGGCAATCAACGGTGCTGTCACGATCACCATCAGCACATTGTACTGCACAATCACAATGTACCTAGTGATAGACCGAAAACGTGATGGTTGAGAAATATTGCTGAAGACACATAGAAATTGTGTTGTTTGAATCCATGCCAGCCATTGATGCTGATACAAATATCTGTGACCCTTCAATTTAAAATAATTAATTAAGTGAGCGTGTATGGGTCAATGGCCACTTTCAAGTCATTATCTTCTAGAAGACAACCACTTCATATTCCATTGTTATGTGAGTCCGCCAGCCGGTTTTCAAGCACCGCCGCTAGGTATTTTGTTGGCACGATCATTTCCGAAGGTACTAGGTGGGTCGATGTTTGCATGTCCATGCCAACAAGATGACTGTGTTCTGGAACCATGGAAGTGGCCAGGTGGCCCACAGCCGCACACTGAACACCTGAGAGTGAAAAAAATTAATTACAGCCTGGTGCGTTTGTTCAGGATGCCTTGGTACGGGTAGCTACACGAGTACACGTACAATTAAAGTCATGTACGTACATGTATACGTAGTGCATCGCGTGAACTAATCTCTGACTACGTGTCGACTACAGATGTTCAGTGAACACATGCATGTACATAAAGAGCTCTTTTCTGTTTGTCCTTTGAGGCTTTGTCCTTCTGAATCCACGGAGAGTGATGCTAAACGCGCCTCATGATATGGCCTGCGCATATTTACAAACACCTTGGGACATTGCTTCTGCAATCTGCTGAGTTCCTTCAAACCTTGGGAGACACACACGGACAGAGACAGACAGAGACAGACAGAGAAAGAGAGAAAGAGAGACAGACAGACAGAGAGAAAGAGACGGAGAGAGGTAGAGACAGAGAGGGACAGAGATAGATACTTGTAGATAGATAGATAGATAGATAGATCAGTAGATGGATAGATAGATAGATAGATCACCTTTTTTACCACCCTAGGTCACAATTTGATGTGTAACAATGCAGCACAAATCTGTACTGATGTGTTGCCAGAAAATCGCGCTGTTTCTCTACCCTGGCTATGCTCTATACATCTTTTTCCTCTTATAATCACGCTGATTTTGTCATCCCTTTTCCTCGCGCTATTGAAATGTACCGCCATCACCTTGCCCCCTTCTCCGTATATATATTCTAGTGATTGTTAGTCTTGGTCATATTGCTGTCTGATGAAGTGTTCTGACACGAAACTCGGAGTAACAGTGGAATGAGACTTGTTTGATTCATTGCTGTGTAATATTTGTAGATAGAGAGATAGATAGATAATATTATAGATACTCAATCTGCGGACAGCATGCTGTTTCGTTCTTTTTGAACTCATCAGCGCAGCACAGAGGAAATGAGGCCGAACCTGATAGCAATGGAAATAAAAATTTCCAATCAGGCCCGAACGTACCTTGCCAGAGTGCTCAAACTGACAAGTCAGTGAGCTCTGCATACGCAAACAGCAAAGGCACTACCCCACGCAAGAGTGCTCAACTGCTACAAGAGCAGGAGCGAAATACTCAATAGATAGATAGATAAATTTGTGAACAGCAACTATGTCGCTCTGTTAGAGCTCCTCAGCACAGCTCAGAGGACCAAAGCGCAGCTCTTCGCAATGAAATACGTTTCCGTGAAGCAAACCCCCGCCAAGAGTGCTCGAAATGCTCCAAGAGCAGTGAGCGTTGCAC